ACGCCATTGCCGCCGCCCGGCTTGACCAGCTCGCCCACCTGGGGCAGCTTGTGCACGCGGTGGGCCTTCTTCCACTTGTCGAACCGGCCGCTCTGGAAGCTCGCCGCAATCTTGACGCCGCTCTCGCCGGTGATGAGGCGCGCGCCCTTGGAGCCGTCCTCGTCGTTGGCGCTGTTGACGTACTTTTTGGACTTTGCGTCCCAGCGCATGCGCGGGCGGGTCGGCGCGCCAAAGGCCTTGGCCGTCTCGTCGTTTGTGAGATCCATGGCGGCGTCGCGGGCGAGCTCGACAAAGGAGGAGGCGTTGTTGCCGCCGGAGTGGACGCCGTAGCCGCGCTCTTCAGCGGCGTTGACGGTGCGAGGGGTGTAGGACATGAAGACGTCGTTGTCGCGCCAGTCGGTGCGGCCCTTTTCCTTCTTGGACTTGCCGGTGTTTGTGACTGTGACTTCGAGATCGTCGTTGCCGTAGTCGTCTTCTTCTTCATCTTCGTTCATGTCATCGTCGTCATCGCTGTCTTGGGCCTGGGCACCGCCGAAATCGTCGTCGACTTCCATGTCTTCATCGTCTTGCTTGTCTTCCTGCTTGCGTGGCTTGACTCTCTTGCGTAGCTCCTTCATCACTTCTGCTGCCGCACTTGATGCCTTGTCTCCCTGCCCAATCTCGAAAATGGTCTCCTGAGGCTTGAAGTTGCTAATCTTGGCTAACATGGCGGCTCGAGCCTCCTCTGCGTCGTCGACGTCCTCGCCGAAAAGGGGATGCAGCTGTGACCAACCCCGAGATGCTACTTCTTCTCTTGAACGCTTTGCGCTCTGACTTGAAGCCGAGTTTCGAGTCTTCATGTAGAGCTTCTCTGCTTTCGCGGCAACAGCTCGTAAGGCGCTGACATCTTCGCTTTCGTTCATGAACTTGTTGAACCATTCCATGTGCGTTCCTACTGAATCTCGCTGCAGAGACCCAACAACGACATCTTCAGTGTATGATGGATTCTTCTCTGCCTGCCCAACAACCAATTTCTTGCCCAGGAAAAGCTGCAGATCCAGCAGATACGGGGCGTCAATATCTCGCACTAAACTGTAAGCCCAACCCCTCTGGCCGGCACGAGCTGTACGACCAACTCTGTGGATAAATACTTTAGGTTGCGGGGGGAAGTCGTAGTTGATGACGTTGGCCAACACGGGAATGTCGATACCTCTGGCAGCGACATCTGTGACGACTAACAGATTTGTTTTGCCATTTCGGAAATCTTCTACCTGTATTCTTCTAGCGGTTTGGTCCAGGGAACCATAGACATGAGAAGTTGCAAATCCGGCTTGCTGTAATAGGTTGTAAAGGTACTCGACGTGATGCTTTGTGGCTGTGAAAATGATGGTGGAGTGCTCTGTTGGCTTTCCGGCGCCGCCATCTGGTCCACGCTTTCGCTTCTTGGAATTGTTTTCCGTCGTATCCTGTGCGCTCGCGGGGGGGCCGAGAGGGACTCTGATCACATCATGGAGGATATGGAGCAGGGAGCCTTCCTTTTCAGCTCCCTTGACGGAGAAGAATGCAATTTCCAGGTCCGGGGACATCTTGGTATCCGCATCGAGTCGCACAAGACTAGGATCCTGAAGACCGGCGCGGGCAAACTCGACTAATGAAGCGGGAAGCGTCGCGGAGAAGAGGAGAGTCTGTCTTGAAGGAGGGAGCGCGTGTAAAATTTCGGTCAACTGAGTAGCGAAACCCATTTCGAAGAGTCGATCGGCCTCGTCGAAGACGACGTATTTGATTGATGAGAGATCAAGGTTCATCTCGACCTTTAGATGCAAGAATCGACCAGGGGTGGCAATCACAATATCCGGGTTGGCAGACATGAAGCCAAACTGCTCCTCCAAGCTATCACCTCCGACCAAAAGCACGGCCTTGAGATCTGTTCCGCGACCAAGTTCCTTGACAACCTTGAGGGTCTGGATGGCCAGTTCTCGCGAGGGCGAAAGGATGAGCGCTCGGGCACCAAACTTGGAGCTGTGTGCGCGCAGTCGCTCAATCATGGGGATGACGAAGGCGGCCGTCTTTCCCGAACCTGTTCTGGCCATGCCAACCACATCTCGCCTTTCGAGAACTAAGGGGATCGTTTTTCTCTGGATCGGCGTCGGGACTGAGAAACCCTTGCGGGCAATGGCTTTGAGGATATTTGCATTGAGACCTGCATAGAAGAGAGTTTAGTTAGTGATAATTTGGCCAAACGAGCGCAGATTGCCTTTTTTTCTTACCCATTGCTTGGAAACCACCGCCCTTCTTGACCGTTCTGCCCTTCAGATTGGACGCTTTGCGATATGAAGCTGCCTGCTGCAGCGCAATGAATGCCTCATCGTCATCGTCGCCCTCTCCTCCCGCGCCGGCGTTGAGAAAGCCATCAAAATCGAGTCCATCTTCGCCATCTGCGCCGAAGCTCTGTCCTCCATTCTCGCCTTCGCCGGGGTATAAGGAGTCCAGAATATCCAGCTCCGGCTCGGAAGCAGCAGGCGATGCTGCACGACGGCTGGGCATGATTGCGACGCGCTGTATGCAGTGACGCTGATTTATTGTTTTGTTGTCTTGCGCAATCGCTGCCCCAGACCTAGCAGTGCTGCTCTAAGCCATGAAGTTGTAATCTTTTTTTTTCTCCAAAAGTTCGGGCTTATCTTATCAGCCCGGTGGGGTGCGGCAACAAACAATTATGGAGCCCCTGCGATCCAAGTCTCTTGATGCGCATCCACTTCTCTTAACTGCGAATCATCTTTGCCAATCGCCCGACTGAGAGCACGCGAGGGCTGCTGCTTCGTCGACCTCTTCAACCACTTGCCAGACGCTCGTTCCCCCCCGCTCCCTTGTCTGATACCATCGCAATCTGCACGGGAGAATAATTGCCTATAGAGACAGAAGGCAAAGAATAAAGAAGACTTGTTTTAGAGCATCATTCGATAATCATCATGGCGGACGTTGACGCAAAAGAAGATAAAGATGCGCTCGATGCTCTCGAGCTAGAGGCCAAGGAATTTGACAAGGTTTGTTTTGCGCCTCCATCAAGAGAACAGCTGTGCCAACTAAGTTGACTTGTAGGATGCCGAGATTGATCGAATCCTAAAGGCGTTTCGCCTCGATGCGTGAGCACTCTCCTTCTCGATGACACAACGCTTTGCTCCATCTTACACTCTAACGCCTTCATCTACAGATATGCCGTCCTAGACCTGCAACCCGGCGTCCCCGAATCAGACATCAAAATTACCTACCGCAAAAAGTCCCTCCTCATCCACCCCGACAAGACAAAGAACCCGCGCGCGCCCGACGCCTTCGACCGCCTCAAGAAAGCCCAGACCGAGCTCATGGACGAGAAGCACCGCGAGCGCCTCGACGAAGCCATCGCCGACGCCCGCATGCTGCTCATCCGGGAGAACAAGTGGACCGTCGACAGCCCCGAGCTCAAGACGGACGAGTTCGCCAAGAAGTGGCGCGACAAGGCGCGAGAGGTGCTCATCGACAACGAGCACCGGCGCAGGCGCCAGCTCAAGGCCCAGCTGCAGGAGGAAGGTCGCGAGCAGCGCCGCCAGGACGAGGAGCTGGATGAGAGGAAGCGCAAGAGGCAGCATGAACAGGACTGGGAGGCGACGCGGGACGTGCGGATTAACAGCTGGCGACAGTTTCAGAAGGGCAAGTCCGGCGGCGATCCGGATAAGAAGAAGAAGAAGAAGCTCAAGCCGATTGGTTGAGAGGGGGGAGGAAACCGAAATATGAAGTTAATGATCCGAGCTGCGACTTTTTGTTTTGTCTTGTCTTTTTTTCTTCTTCTTTTCTTTTCATAAAGGAGTACATGATTTGGACGATATTAAGTTGGGGGCCCTTTTTTCTTCTTCTGTGAGTTGCTTGAGTTTCGTGATGGATTTGACATCTAACAATGGTAGCCGATGATATCAAAGACACATATAAAAGATGACAGATGGCACCTTCTTTGACATCCATTGTGATGCAAAGCGATGGCGGTATTCTATCTAGCAGAAGCATTAGACCATGGACCGCAGAACACATGGCAGAGATGATGAAGATTTAGTTGTTACATCGCTACGACAGTGGATACAAGTCATCATACCTAAAGCACATAGAGCAGGCAAATACCACTATACATGAAATATACATATGCTATATCATATCATATATTAATGAGGGGAGATTGGTCTCTGCGAAAACAATGGTCTCTTCGCCCCCTTTTCTCCCCCCATTGCTTATTTTCCTTAAATAAGAGGCAGTAGTTGCAGCTATTAATGTACACAATGCTCACAATAAGCGTCCACGCCGAGCATAGCAATTGAGCCCAAAAAGCTAGTGGAAGAAGCTTTTGGGCATAAAAAAGGTGACACAACCCCCATCTTGAGCAAGCGCCATCCGTCAATGATATCCTACATTAGTCGAACCCATCTTTTTTTTTTTTTTTTTCCTTTTTCTGTTTTTATTCGTAGTGGTTTGAAAACAACCATCGAATGCAAGCTCTCCTTCCATCCTGCACACTCACTCGCTCACTCTTTTTTAACATGTATTCGATTTCCCAGGTCTATGCAAAATGAGATCCCCCTTCCTCCTTTTTTCCGAGGCTACCAACGTTTCATGCATGATCGCGTTAGGTTTTTATTTCTTTTTTTCTTTCAGTTTTACATTTTGAGTTTGTATATTCGAATGCTGTAGACGCAAAATGGGTTGAACCGGACAAGGTAAGATAAATCGCGAACCCTACCTCAAAAGGATGGAGCTTAGTCAGAAGTAGGCTTGTTCTCCTTCTTTCCCTTGTCATCGGTTTTCGATTCACTGGTAGATCCTGATGTGCCTGATGAGGCTCCATCCTTCTCGTGAGCAGGATGGTTAGTCAGCGTATGCCATACGGACTTGAGGAATCCTTCGTCCTTGTGGGAGTTGGGGTCATTAGGGTCAGAGCTGGAACTGGAGCTGCATGCCGGAAAAAGCTGTGCGTTAGTAAAAATCCTACAGGTACAAGCAGCTCAGGTTTTGGAATGTCCTTCTGACCTTGACGAAACGTTCATGACGCGGCGAGCTGACTTGTCGTCCATCTCATCGGCGAGCATCTCGAGAATGGTTCGCTGGCTGGCGCTGAGCGACTTGGGCATCCTGACTCGGAACTCGACCTTCAAGTCACCGGATCCCGCCCTTCGTGAGCCGAGTCGCTTCATACCCATGCCAGGCAGAGTAACCTTGTCGCCTGTGTTGGTGCCGGTAGCCACCTTGAGATTAACGGATCCGTCCAGTGTGGGAATCGTGACCTGTCCACCCAGGATGGCCGTGGTGAGAGGAATGTTTGCTGTGTAGAGAATGTTGGAGCCCTCGCGACCAAACTTGGGATCGGTCGCCACTCGCACGAAGACGTAGAGATCTCCGTTCTGGGCCCGGGAATTGGGGGATGTGGATCTTCCGGTGATGGGAGCATCGCCGGCGCCGTCTATCCGGAGTCGCATGCCGTCCTCGATACCGGCCGGAATGTCGACAGTAATGGTCTTCTTGTTGCGCACAACACCCTGTCCAGAGCACGTCCGGCACTCGGAACTCTTTGGGATGGTTGAACCAGTACCGCCGCAGGATCCACACGTCGAGGCCATCTGGAAGCCACCCTGCGCATAATGCACCCGTGTGCCTGTTCCATCGCAAGTGTGGCACTGCGACCGCTGTGCGCCAGCCTTCAAGCCACTTCCAGAGCATGTGTTGCAAGATTCCACCGGCGTGATGGTGATGGATTGGCTAGTGCCCTTGGCAGCCTCCATGAAGCTGATGCTCACATGGGCCTCGATGTTATCGCCCACCAAAATCTCCTGTTGGAAAGGGTTCGATCGACGGCCCCCGCCAAATGCCGAAAACAGATCCTCAAAGTTGAAACCTCCGCCAAAGCCGCCTCCAAAGCCACCCTGAGCACCGAATCCTGCAAAAGGATTGCCGCCCGCAGCTCCGGCAAACGGATTGGCTCCAGCTGCTGCGTTGGGATCGAAGCTCGCATCGCCAAACTGGTCGTACTGCTCCCTCTTCTTCGGATCGGAGAGGATCTCGTAGGCGGATTGGATCTCGCCAAACTTATCCTTGGCCGTAGGGTCCTTGTTCGTATCGGGGTGAAACTTCTTCGCCAAGCCGTAGTACGCTTTCTTAATCTCAGCAGCCGTCGCAGACTTGTTTACACCGAGGGCCTTGTAGGGATCCTTTTGCGACAAGGTATTGGTAGCATGGAAGGTCTATCATGAAGTGTTTGTCAGAATCTGTGGAGCATGTAGTCATAGACCTGGGCTTCGGAGACTTACCCTCTGTGATACACGAGCCGACTTGTGCTCTTTCCGGGCATTGGGTCTTTCGGATCCAGTGCGAAATGACGCCGTGTGAAGCTGAGCGCCTTTACGCAGGCATTGCTGGATTTTCGGACGTCCCGAGAGGTTGTGGCTCTTTGCAAGTGCCCGCGCCGGAGCTGCGGCCTTGGAGAGGAGATTTGACATGGTTCGGCACGGCAGACCCAATGTGTTGTGTTTTCTATCTTTTTTTTTTTTTGTCTTTTTCTGCTTTATCCCGTTTACGCTTCTTCCTTCTTCGCAATCAATCCTTCTGCGCCCAAGCCGAGCTGATGACCAGACAAATCAAATCGATGAGAAATAAGACAACAGAGACTGGAGAGAAAGGCTAGAAGCGAATCGGCTTAACTGGCGCGGCTCGAAATTTGTCCCCTCTAAAAAGTTATTAAGCAAAAAGCTCTCCACCAGGCGATTCTATCGTTATCTGGCGAACCAAAGAACTTGCAGGAAGATGCATCGAAAAAAAAATAAAGGTGGGGTCGCTCTCTCAATGTCTCCCGCATTCACCAAAGAGCCTCGAGAGCTCAACTTGCCGCGTTTCTACCGATTTTAAGCCGAGGTCATGTGCTTGAGACTCAACTGCTTGGTACAATATGCCGTCATAAGCCGGCCGATCCCGCTCCGGGTGCCGCTTTTGCGAAAGCCAATTAATCATCTCTCAATGGTTGAGCAGCCGTTATCGAGCTGTCTCTTGTCCAGATCCATTGTGTTATAGGCTATAATTGATGAGTTGCTGCCGCGATCTTCGGATGCTGCAGAAGTCGCCATTTGGGATCGGCAATGGAAATACAATACTTCACAAAGTAAAGTATTGTCTTGAGCTTCTCCCAGACCGTGTGGTAACTCGTATATTATTACCTACTAATATATGTCACAGTGAACCCGGAAAGAACAGCTTTATACCACTAGCTCAGCATCTGTGAAGAAAGAAAAGATGCGTCGCTTGTTAATAGAATCTTCGGATAAAAAAGGCGACACATGATGCTTTCTTATTCTACGCGCCGACCGGGAATTGATAAGCCAGCCGCTTGGACCCGCCGCGTGCAACGGGGGTCTGGATGACAGGCAGACAGACCGACAGCGGTGGACCAGACAGGGCCATGGTGTTTGTCGCTCAGCTGCTGTAGAATGCCTTGCATGAGTCTGTCTCTGCAAAAGCAATGCCGGATAAACTGTTAGTCGCAGCGACAGAAGCAGAAATGCAGACACAGACACAGAGGCACCCCCCAAGAATAAGAACAAAATGAACTGCACCAAGGCAGCCTCATGCACGCCTTTGCGCAGTCCTGACGCCGTTGGTCGACGACATTCGCGTACCTACATTGCGCTGGCATGTCATATGTAAGAACTGGGCATGGGACGCACAGCAAAGTGGACCGTCGAACCACCACAGCCCGGCCCGTGCCCTATGAAGGATTTCTTCAGTGTCTGTCATCCTCGTGTGCCTGTCCCGTGTCCCTCCTTTGTCTCGCATGGAATGTTTCACGCCACCTTTTTCTCTCTTTTGTTTCTGGAGAGAGTAGGTGATATTTTATTCAAAATTGGAAAAAGGAAAAATCAAGGTAGACAAAGGCCTTCATAAGTATTTCATGACTATGCTGTGTTTGCCAATTCGCATCAAAGAAACCATTTATAAACAAAAAACCATTAATTCGCCCTCCCCTCTTTGGGTGACGCTGTTAAATGCCTGCCACAGGTACTTGCTGGTACACTGCTTTGTTCTAACACACACAAAAAAAAAAAGTCCGAATCCAAAAAGCTCTTTGGTCCCTAGCATTGCACCACCAAAGGGCGCCACGGGAGCCGACATGACTCGCACTTTGAAGGAAGATGACAAGCAGTAAAAAAAAAAAGGAGAACAAGTTCAGAGTGCCAAACGACTCCCACGGGTATCTACCCCATACGCACACAGCTGGTGTGTCGTGGTCAGGAACCTAGAAAACGCCAAAAACACCGACCCATGCTAAGCAAATCTTGGAGCCTTGCTCTTTTCTCTCAGAGCTCTTCATTTGTATAAGGGATCAGTTCAATCTGCCACCTCGATGCTGTATTTAGTCGGTGATTGGTCCTTGACACCTTGGTGGTTGCGGACTTTGTAGATGAAGTCGACAATGACATCGTTTTCTTGGATGCCCAGCCCATTGAAGTGCTTGCGCACGGCCAAGGCGAGCTGGTCTTTGGACTGTCGCTTGATCTGCTGCTTGCGGACCATGGTGGGTGAGTATAAGCCCAAGCTGCCGGGTCGTGACAGTACCCAATTGTGAAAGGAGCTGGTGTAGGAGGACGGTGTGGTGAGCTCGTGCTCGCGGAGGTAGGCGTGGAGGGATCGCCGCTCGAAGGAGGCCCAGGGAAGCTGTTGGCGGAGCTGCGTCAGCGTTTGATGTCTTCAAGTAGGAAATAACAGCCGCAGTGGGCTTGGAGAGATCAAGCAGCTGTAGGAGAGGAGGCAATTTGACGTACGCTGGGTAGAAGAGGCTCGGTCGGCACTTGCACGGGCGCCGACGTGGGAGCGGCATGCAGCTCGCGGTTCAGAGCAGCGTGAGTCTGCTGGCTGGCGCCACGGCGCATCTTTGTAGAGCCATGGCCGTTCTTGCCTCCGGTGGGAGTATCGGCTTTATGGTCGTCATGATCTTTTCGCGAGGTCTTGGTCGGAGCCATGGTAGGCGACTGGAGGAGGGTGGACCGAGAAGCGGCGGACGCAGGGAGTGTTCTGGCTGGAGGCTGCTGCTAGCAGAAGAGGCTATGGCAGTGACAGCGCGGGATATGGAAGAACAGAGAACGCAGGCCACGAGAGAATCGATCGTCACATCTCATGGGCAAAAATGCTCCGCAGGTGCTTGTGTGTGGGATTGCGAGGCTCAGAGGAGGAGGAGAAGCGAGCGGGCGACCTGGACCAGGACCCTGCGGGCAAAGTAGCAGCACCTGACTGCTAGCACCACTCCAGCAGGTCCTCGCTACAGGAACATGTACCTACTCTTTTTTCCCGGCAGAATGACGCGCTACCGGCCTTGACACCGCCGCCCATTTCGGCGTCCCGGGTACCTGCCCCAGCGAATCTGCGTGCGGAGGTACTTGCGCCATGGAAGTGGGGTAACACCACAGGCGCCTCTGGTGGGGTCAATTTAATGCGTCGCGTGCACCGAATTGGCGTGCGTGTGCCTTTTCCTTCTCTTTTTCTGGCCAGGGGACTGCACCGCACCGCCTATCAGCGCCAGTGGTTCCTCTGAATGGGCGTACTTTTACATCGATGGCTTGGGCTAAAAAGAGCACGTACCTCTTTACTCTCCTCCATTGCTTGGACGTTGCCCACGGCGATAAGCTTGAGGACCGCTTTTAATCTTTTCTTTTTTTTTTATCATCTTTATCTACTGGTTCTTCTCGTCCTTTGCTGTCTCGATCTATTCTCGATATTCTCTAGTCTGGCTTTCTTTTCTTTTTCGTTCCTGGGCCAGCTGCTAGCGCCGTATAATTGTGCGACGGTCTCGCAAAAAAAGAAGAAAAAAAGAAAAAGAAAAAAAGTCAATCCCCGCTGCGCAAACCGAAAACCGAGCCTCTGAAATCGACTGCGACTTTGGGTTAAGATTTTCGGCAGCCACTGGTGGTGCTTCTCAAGTTGAAACAGACAGCAGGAATTATAAAAATGCCACGTTCTTTAATAAGAGGCTCGTTCATCGTATGCCACACAAAAACGTTTCATAGATGCCAATGAACTGTTTTGAAACAAAATTGCGTGCGGAACAATGCGATAAGATATCAGTGATGTCACTGCGCCCAGAACCGGCCGAGAAGCTGGTCCCTTGCCGTTCCCGCCCAATTAGGACTAGCGCCGACTGCGCTCTAAAGAGCCTCTCCGAAGTGCTCTGTCGAGGTAATTGAACTTTACTTAATGAATCGCTGTAGAATTTTATGATTCGCTGTAAAAGGAGTGGACAGAAAGTGAAGATATCATAGAAGCGGGTGGTAATAGTATCTAAAATTGTATGAAATTCACTGGACCTCTTGAACATTATCAACCAGACTTTCTGGCTATCGGCCATACAAACTTAGCACTTGCCACACAAATTCCGCACTAAAAGCCAATAGAGAACGAAGAAGGCTATTTAGACACAGATGCGAAGCGAACTGGAGAACAAATTCAAAGTGCTGCAAATTGGACAGGACAAATGAAACGACTGCGAATAAAACGTCAAAACTTCCGCTCCACAAAAAATGGCTGGACGTGCTTCGGGGGGTGTTAAAAATGCTGTGCAATCCTGTGGCGTTTGACATGCATATGCAACAATGGTTGAAGGACTCGGGGAGGGTTAAAATTGCTGTGAACCCAAATCACGGCGACTGCGTACGAATCACCCATGTAAATATTGCGTCAAGTTCCATTTCGCTGTAATTGATATATTCGTCATTGTCTACGAGAAACATCACGCGGTATAGCGCTAATTGCTGGCAAATGCATTTGAGTACTCTATAGTAACAAATGCTACCAAAGCCTTTTCCCTAGTCACATCTTCTACTCATCGCATGATTATCTCATTTTCAATATACTTCTCTTATATCATCAAAATGAATCCTTCATCTTCTGCTACGTCTATTCACAATGTGTGTATAGGCATGTCGTAAATCTGCAGTTACAGCAGTTTCAAATCTAGTCCTTAACATGTGTGTTGAATTTTTAGCTGCGCTCATCATTCTCTGAGGCACCGTATTTGTTTTTTACCCCTAATTGTCTATTTACTCAGTTCATAGTACTTGTTATATTAATAGATGTATTGTATGTTTTTCTCTCACTCTGAAAGCCGAATGTCCATGTTTCTCTCAAAGATTATCTCATCAACAAAGGCGAACATCGTCTTGAACAGCAAATGAGTCTCCTTTTCAAACAGAAAAGCAGATATTTTTAACTATAGCATAGATCTAATATATATATATATATATATATACATGCGTGTGTGTATAAGAGCAGCTTCAATTTTTTAAATTTGTTTCCATCATCTCGTAATCAGTCCTAGTGTTCAGCTGTCACAACAAACCTCTACAATGCCCAGATATTACCGTGATTACAAGGTATGGATATACTCTTCAAGATTTATCCGTCTCTAGTAACATCAAAATTAACCATATTCCCTCTCCATAGGGTATCACAATCCGAGACAGATGGCGTCTCGAGGGTGAAATCGGCGCTGGAGGCTTCGGACAAGTCTATCTAGGTACCTTTCTGTCTCTCATGTCTACATCTCTATAAGCCCTTTGGTCCTGCCATCAAGTTCAAGTTGTTAATACTCTCCATTTAGCTACCGATCTCAAAACAAACAAATTCGTCGCCGTCAAGCTCTGCTATCTCAAAGCCAATCCCGGCAACAGCAGCCTCCAGCACGAGTCCGTCTTCTACAAGATGCTCCAAAACCAGCCCGGCATTGCAACCCTCCACGACATTGGCTCTGACGATCGCCAAAGCATCGAGTTCATGGTCTGCGACCTCCTCGGTGCTTCGCTATGGGACCTGCTTGGACGCTGCGGGCACCGCTTCTCCCTCAAGACGACGCTCATGTTAACTGACCAGTTGATATCTCGGGTGGAAATGCTGCACTCAAAAAATCTCCTTCACCGAGATTTGAAGATGGAGAATATCGTCATGGGATTTGGTAAGGAGAATGGCAAGACCGCATACCTTCTTGATTTTGGCTTATCTGGCTATTTTCGGTCCCGCGACGATTACATTACTGCGCCTGATTATCGTTTAGCTGGGACCATAGAAACTGCATGTATAGCATGGCATTTAAATCGGGTGAGTATATCTTCCCTGTTTATTCTATCTTTTCCCCCCTAGCCAAGAGTCAGTCCTAACCTGTTATGAATACGTACCTTATAAAGCCCCAATCTCCTAAAGACGACCTCGAATCACTTGCCTACGTGCTCATCTTCCTTTTCCGCGGTTATCTCCCCTGGAGCATCGACGGCGACTCAGATGCTTCCTACCCCTCGTCCGAGCGCGCCCTCAAGATGAAGCTCTCCCTGCCCATCGACATCATCTGTAAAGATATGCCCCCCCAGTTCGCGAGACATCTCAAATACGTCCGGTCGCTCAAGTACAACGATATGCCAAATTACAGTAAGCTGCGGGACATGTACCAACGGTTGATGAAGCGAATGGGTTATGAGTATGATGGCGTCTATGACTGGGACTTGACAGAAAAGGAAATCGATAGCACAAAGCAGCCACCTAGTGATGCCATACCAGCCTCTACACGAGATCAGTCGTTGAAACAAGAGAACGCTGTAGCACAAAGCAATTCTCCGATTCAAGACAAGCCATTTGTTCAAGATAAGCCCTTGGTACAAGACAAGACTCTCGTACAAGACAGCCCTTTAACACAAAGCAAAACTCTCAAAAGAAAGAAAGACGAAGATAATAGAGAGGATGATCAACAAGACACGCAGAAACAAACCATACAACCTGCCAAAAAGCGCAAACCTGTATTTACCGAGAAAGTAACCGACAAAGACCAAGATCAACCCGTAACAAAGCGTCGGCGCAGACAACCCAAGGTCCAAACCAAAGACGCCAGCACAAAGAATGCGCAGGAAGAGGCCACCACTACTGAAAAGGTTGCCGAGACCAATGAGACGGCTGGCAAAAATGTTCCTAGGGGGAAGAAGCCGGCGACTCGGAAGGGAGCACATAAATAAAAGATGCCATTTAGGAAAAGCCAGCTCAGATGATGTGCAGCGTGTAAAGTAGGAGTGCTCAAGTGGGAAGGAGAAAGATGTCTGGAGAGCAGCATTGATTTTTTTTTTTTTGTTCATTTCACAGTATTAGAGCTTACTACACAGGGTTAGAGTTGTATTGAATATTTTTCATTTTTTTAATAAAAGCAGAGCTAAATGATGATATGTATGAGTATATAACACGATTTTCAAGCAGTAACAGAATCAAGAATTTTCTTTCACCCATCCCATTCCCACTGGCCGTAGACTTCATACCCGTAAAAAAAAAAGCCAATTTACCTAGGTAGCCATGCACATCCCGCCATTGTCATCGAGAAAGAAAAAAAAAAGATAAATAGAAAAGGGGGTATTATTTTTTTGGAAACAAAGCAAAAAAATATTGCGCCGTCCCATAAGTTTGGAGACAAATCCGCCAGTTATCCGCAAGTAAGATTCGCTGTCGCTCAGCCGGCTCTCCTTTCCCCCCTCTGACGGACCCTTTTCCTTTCAATCGTGACGAACAAAAAATAAATAATCTTGCAAGAAAGAAGAAAAATTCACAGCGAAAAGAATATTCCCAGCATAAAAGTCATCAGGAAGACGTTGCAAATCGCGTATGCCAGAGCTTACAAGACGTTGCCGCCAGAGTTTAGCACAATGCAGTTATGCAAAAGGTTCGCTCCTTCATGCAATAGCTCCCATCGAGAATTGTCAAAAGTGTCCTTTAGCACCATGAGCAATGCCGTGTTGCCATTTATACCCCTCATATTTCGTAGCTCATTCGGGTCAGTAACTCCGCCGTATTTCGTAAGGTATGCTCTCATTTGCTGCCATTGTTCTTCGTGTCCCACCGGCGTCGACCCGGTCAAGAAAGGTCCCTCCACAGCATATCCATAGCACCAGACGACCAGCGCGGCAAAGTAGAGGACCCAAGGTCGATTCAATAGCACATCATCGCGGGTTTCGTATGGCTTGTCGTGGTCGGGGCTGGTTGAATACGGAGGGCCTGCTTGATCTGGTACGAGAACCGACAAGAGAAATTTCAGCGCGTAATAGGTGGCGTCGCGAGCTCTTGCAGACGGGGCCCAATATTCCTTGATCCTCCTCTGAGCGCTGAGAAATTCCTGATGTCCAATAGAACGGCCAAGCAGCCGCTTAGCGCGAGCGAACATCTGACAATCCACAATATCAGCGTGCATAGCCATGTGAGCCAAATGATGTAGCACTGTACGGCTCTCAAACACGACATTGAAATCTTGCTGCTGCAGATCCAGTCTGTAAGGATCAGATTCGTTCAGCTCCAGTGCCCTGTCAAAATTTGATTTCCACGAATCGTATGCTCTGGTAAGAGTTGCCCTCCACTTATCTCGTCCGCCTAGGGCTTGGATGACACCTCCTCCAAGTACGTTGACTTGAAGATCGCGCTGGTGCATATGATATGTGACACTGAGAAGACCTGCCATGAGGACTGACCGGCCAAATGGTGTCGTGCGCACATCCTGATGGCTCAAAGTGCGCTTCAAACCTTCGAGAAACGTTACAGGCTTGATGCCTCGAGACATCAAGTTAGCTTCGACTCGGCCTACTTCTGCGCTACTCGCGGCTCTCCAAAGGGACTCATCGCAAGGCAGTGTCAATCTCATTTCATGTGCTACCATCACCGCCGAATGGCCAAACATGGTTGCATGAGTAGAGTCTATGATAAAAGCAGCAAAGGCAGCTCTCCGAGTTGCCTCGTTTGTGATCCAGTGGTTCCACCATTCGTCTGCTGTGTGAGCTATGCCAGAAGCCGAAGATTTCCGCGATCCATCGGAGCTATGCTGTGGCGGTGAGTCCAACGTCGATTTGCCAATGAGGGAACGCCCTCTCCTCATCAGGGTAACTGTGGTGGCGTGGTGAATATGAGCACGCTCGTGAAGCTCTCTCGTCGAGTACATCTTTTCGTAAAGCTCGAGCAGAATCAGGGTCTGGAAAACCCAGAGTTTGGCCGGAGGCCGAAAGCTTCGTTCCATAAACACTTCCCATCGCAGATGCTCGGCTAGGAAATTAGATACTTCGGCTCCAGCCATTGTCACTTTGGTTCCATGGGTCCTATCAAGGCAAGCAGCACCAATTGCCATAATGGCAATGAGCAATAAATTGGGCGTCTTTTCCGTAGCAAATGTCGGCTTGTGCAAAATTGGCATTTGATCGCTAAAATGGTACCAGTAGGAGCCGACGTATGCTTGCATCATCCTCCTGCTCAACATGTGTTCCCCGGAAGAGCGATCGCCACTCAATATGCTGATACGTCGCTGTCTCGCGGATAAATCTTCGTCGTCCTCTTTGAATCGCTCACTGATCAAGTTATAGATCTCCTGGCTGCGCTCTTCGGTTATACTTGCCTCTGGGGCATGCTGCTCCAAGAGGTTATTAACGGCCATGACATCTTGCGGGTCAGAAGGAAAGAATCCCACAGTTGAATGATCTAAGTAGTGATCTCCGTGATTGCCATTTTGCGAATCGCCGTAGCTGAACAAAATTCATATTAACTTCTTGAGTCCCAGCTATGAAGTATCTTGTTTTCGAGAATACTCACCTTAGAAGAGGGGGTGGCAGCGCCTGTGGATGGGGAGAGCCATTCTGCGGCAGGGAGTTGAAGAGATAGGCCATAAAATCCTCGGGCATTCCGACGTACGGAGACTTGTTGACGCCATCGTCAGCAAAAACTGGTCCACTGCTTGACATTTCCATGTGGTCGAGTATCATCATTTCGTTAGGATGAGAGTGGTGAGCATCGGAGTACTGTACTGACGCCGTCGTCGCTGTATGAGGCAATGCTCCATCTCTCGGCGCCGGGGCGGTTTGAAGATGGGAGTATTGTGCTGGTGGCAAGCTCAACGGAAGAACATTGTGCTGAGGAATAAACCCAGCGGTTTGCGGGGTGCTACTAGACTGGCTGTGGTAGCCTTGCTGGCTGGACGCTGGCGATATCACACCATAGGGCCCGACATTGGTCTGAATTGACGGCCGACTCGGCGGCCCGTGAGAATGAGCCTGACCAGAAGGTATCCTGCGAGAAGGTGCCGCACTATGTACGATGGGATCACGCGCAAAAGCATCATGTCCAACAGACGATGCGCTACCAGCGAAGAGAGGAGGGCCGACATTGTTTATAAGCGGATAAGGGTCCCCTGGAGGTTCTTGAGGAGAGGGATGATAGTGATGTGTAAGTGGGGGTGGTCTAGGGTCATTATATGCAGGCACGGGCACGGGCGCGGGCGCGGGCGCAGGCATAGGAGGACCAGGCCCTTGGCGGCTTGAATCAGCAGGCACAAGTTTGGGAGAAGTAGCAGACGCCGCATGGCTAGCCATGGAATCTCTTCTGTTTAGCTGCGAGCCCTTGGCCGTATGTCGATCCATGTGACGTTTCAGCAAGTCGCCTCGAACAAAGGTCCGAGGACAATCTGGGTACTCGCAGTGAAAAATCTGCTTAGAATTATGATTAAGCTGATGCCGGTATCTGACTTGTTGTTAGAATCGCCTATCTGATATGTTGGATGGTCGCAGTTTGGGAATATCCCGCACCAGGGCGTGGCCTCATATACGTGCTGATACGAGGCAACAGTATATCAACTACCACGGAAGATGCAAAAAGGGAGGCCACAAGGTGGTATATCAGGGTCGACTTACAAATGCTCTGCTCTTGAGTAGCTCTTCCCACAGCCCTCGGCGCTACATTCAAATCTCTTCTCGAGACCCTTCCGACTGCGCCTCCGCTTTCGCGTTGGCTCTTCGGAATTTGATGAGCCCTCATTTTGATCATCACCGGGTTTCTTCTGGCTCTCGTCACGGCTAGAGACGCCATTTTCCGTCTTGAGAGCCCGACGAAGCTCGGCTTGTCCAGAGCCATCTGGCGACGCGCCGCTTCCATCACGGGCGGAGCTCATCGCGGTGGAGCTGGCCGGTGAGATGGGTAAAGTTGGCTTTGCCGTCAGGGAGCGACCTAAACTAATAGTCATTGCTCAATTTGAAACTGTTTCTCTCGTTGGCAGAGAAGTCAGGGACGAGAAATCGAGGATCCACCAAAAGGGTGAGGGTGAGGCAGTCGAGGGAGCAGCCGGATCGTCGAGCTCGTTGAATGAGAAACGAGGATGAAAGAAGGAGGGATTGCGCAACGGCCTCGTCTCGGACCAACAGCCGCTCCAAGGTCCTTTTTTTTCCCTTCCCTTTTCTTTGGCCTCTCGACTTTAGCCTTGCGGGACACCCCGTTTATGGGACTCGGCAGCGGAAGCGGGACACTCAGGACAGGAACAGGACAGGTGTTGGGGCTAGTATTAGGCAAAGACACGATATCCTTCTATATCAGCCCGTCTAAGAACCGGTTATTGGGATGCGCTCAATGCAACATGACGGCCAGAATCAGCCCGACGGAACGACCCGGCCAGCGGATTAGATCCGGGGCCGATCATGCGAGGGCACGAAGAGACACGGCGAGGGCAGGGAGAAGACGATGGACGGCACGGCCGATAGCGCACCGTTGTGTGACGGAAATTAGGGCTCAGCAACTAGCAACGACGCCGGCAGCGAATGACCCCAGCAGGCAGATGGCAGCGCAAACGGCGATGAAACAGCGCAGAACAGCGTCGCGAGTGGCAGAAGAGAAGAAGAAGAAGCTCCAGCAAAACGGTCTCGAGGCTGAAGATGGATACCGCAGTCTGGGGAGGGGGGCCCGTAGTCAAGTGCGGCTGTGGAGAAGCTGAGGGAGAGAGATCAGTCCACGATGCCCTCGAGGCCGGAGAAAAAAAAAGCTGGAGCCGTCCAAAGCACAGACGCTGCAGCAACGGCAGAGCCAAAAGAGAACTGGACAGCAGCAGAGTCGGCGAGAGAAGCAGCAGCAGCAGCAGCAAAAGATTTGTGTTGCAGGCCCGTGACTGCGATCGTCTGTGCCCGCAGCCGCTGGTGGCGATGAAGCTGCTCTTTCTCCCTCGGCGTCTGCGTCCCTCTCCTTCTGCAGACGGTGATGGTGAAGCGGATGGAATGGATGGATTGGACAGGATGGCGCGGACAGTGGACGATCCGATGGAGATTGGGCGTTGCAAAAAAGGATGCAGCTGGAGCAGACCCTAAAAGAGCAGGGAGGATCCCCCCATGGAAAAAGGCTGGACCAGGCCGCAGAACCATGGGGTCAGTCATTTCTAGCGCACCGGCTAGTGCTGTAATCAATTGCTAGATGCGCCTGTAAAGCGCTATTTGGGGCATCGCCGGCCAGTGAGCGCGAGACAAGCGGGCCCTTGCAAGCGATGCAGAGGTGATTGGGCGAGCAGGTCTTTTGCATGGGGGGTTAAGGATGGGTACTGTGATGGGGTGCGGAATATAGCACATGGGGGGACAATTCATGGAAAAGAGGCTGACTTGTGAGAGAGAAAGAGAGTGAAAAAAAAAAAAAAAAAATAACGACGAAAGATCAGCAGTTTTTTGTAAGATGCGGATCAACTCTCACTCGCTCAGCAGCGTGGGTATTACTAAGAAACAGCAGATGTTCACACACATGCATACCTGAATACACAACCACGCAACACGAAGCACATACTTAAGCACGTAAGCTGTATTAGAAAATGGCTGGGCTTCAATACATAAACACCTTTCCTCTTCGTCGCACTCGGCAAAACGCCTGCAGCTTGCTTGCAGAGCGGATAATGCCCAGTCAGCCGCGCGGGCGTCCGAAAGGTGAGTGTTGGCAAAAGGAATTGAGCCGATGCGCATTCCCAACGGCCGATGGCCTTGTCCGTGCTGGTACAGGCAAATCACGCCAGCTGCTAAGCCAAGTACGAACGAGACTCGTCCGCATGCTGTTCAAGGCAAGCAAAGAAGCAACGAGATTTTGCGCAGAGCCATATACTTGTATGCACGGGACAGTCGGTTCCGGTCCCACGCCCGGCAATCCATGTTCATGTGCCTTGAGGGAGGAGGGATAACCCCAGCATGGACGCACCATTCACGACCCTGGCTATGCCCGACATGTTGCACAGCATCTGCGCGTATGTGCCAACCCCAGAAACGCCCGCTTCAAGGCGATGCCGTCGTCCCATAGGTCTGTCTGCTCTATTGCAGGGCTTGCTGAAGACAGGTGAGGTGGTATTCAACAGCACGACTATGAGCTCTTTACTCAAAGAGAAGAAGAATCCAACGAAAGGGGGGGGACAAAAACCGTCCGACTGTTGGAGTTTGGCGTCAACCATGCACAGAACATTGTGCCCAGCCGCCAGCTCATAACGCTTATTCTCAGCCTCGTATGTCACCGTCGGCTGGCGCGGCCTGAGCCGCCCGCTGTGGAGTTTGGAAGGAGATTGAGTGGCTGTAATCCGGACCCAACACGCTGCGCGCACGGAAGTTTATCGGACGATGCTGCTAGCAGTAAGACGCACGAGCAAAGTAGTGCAAGCAACAATAAAATCCGGGCGCGGGAAACCCCCAACGTTTGGAAAGTTAAAGGCCATGGGGGTAATCCGGTCCATGCCGCAGAGATACCCTGATCATCGATCTCGCGATGCTCCGCAAAAAGCCTCCAGAGCGTGCGGACCAGCTGCCATTAGTCGCCGGTAGCGCTTCAGCGGGCCTCACACGTGCAACCCCCAAGCCATGAGCACGCCGTCGGTACCGCGAGGCCCCCAGATTCCGAAGCCAATCCTCCGTTTCGCATGGATCGTCGCCTCGCTGCCACGGATCAGGGAGGTCAAGCGAAGAATGGATGCCGCGTGGACAGGCGTTAGCCTCTTTGGCAACCCGGCACAAAGCCGCAAGTGCGGGGGCTAGCGGTCGAGAATCCTGAAGCCACACACACCTTATAGGCTTGGGACTGATCTGGTAGGCAGAAATCGGCGCCGAGTGGCACCGCAAAACATCAGGTTGGCGGCTGGGGAGTCTAAGTCTCGTTTGTGACCGTGTGGCCGCGGGCAGGGATTTGCTGAGCCCTCGCCAGCTGAATGGCAGACGGCAGCGCTGCATGCATAGTCAACTCCATGCTGCTATAATCGGGTTAGTATTCAGGCAGCATCAGCACGAACTGCGGGTGGCAGTCAAATAGCAGTACGCACCATGGGCGAATAGTCCGTGTGAAATAGATTTGCAAGATTTGGGCTTCGTCGGTAGTATCACAAGATACCGCAGTATCGACCTCATATGAGAGAGAACAAGCAAGATGAAAGACTAGGCCTGCCTGCAAGACACAGAGATCGGATCTCGCTCTGTCGGGCCGAATGGTCCCCATCCATTGTGTATTGGCCGTACTTGACAGCGCGTGCAGGTACATGTATACAAGATACATGTATACACTACGCACCTACAATGACAGGCACTGGCTTTCCATCACGACAATTCAATTATGGACTATTCGCAAAGATCATAAAGGGGTGGCTATCCAGCGCCTAGAAGCACGTGTGACATCCCTTAATGCTTCAACTATTGCTGCCACACGTTTCTTCCTAATAAATCACAAGTTACTAGCTTGTAGTTGGCGGCCAGCGGCTATTATATCCGTCTACGGATACACCAACGTGCTATTTTGCCGGACAACCATTGTTTCTGCACATCGATTAATATTCACGGCTATTTGCAAGATATTACCAAACAGAGGCCAACCCTGAGGAAAGGCGAACAACGACGATCGCCCAGTTGCTCTCACTCGGCCATATAGAGCCTTTTCGTCCTCATATAAAGAGAGGAATTCCCCACATTGTATCACAGCTTCACACCGAAAAGGAACTAGTATATAAGCCAAATGCCAGCATAGCCGCGCTCTTGACAGCTGATATTTGTATTATTTTCGGTTCCCCGCAATCCCCTCTCTTTCGCCCCGCTGGTTGCTGATCCCATTACCCCTTTGGAGTACTGGTCAAGGGAGAAGGGTAGTATTCTTATAATAAGATTCGCGTATCACGGACTTGGCTTACAAGTCTAATCTGACATGCCGAGGAATGCTCTTTCGATAGACCATGCGGATCGTCGTTTGCTGACATGTGGGTTTGGGGGAGGTCTGGTTATAAATAGTAGTGTTGTAAATATCCAAATATCCAGCAGCAGGGAGGCTATTCTCTGAGAAGGGCGCCTGATCTTGTCCTGTACTATCTTGAAATAACTGGACGAGGATTTCGTGCTAGGTAGCCACCATGTTTGGATTTGGTACAGCTCGCACAATCGCGTGGCTCGCCTTGATAGCTGCCACTCACGCGGTGCCCCTCGACTTACAAGGGAGAGGAGCTGCCATACTTCCCAGCAATGACCCCTTCTACGCCGTGCCTGCAGACGTGGGCAATTCAGCCCCAGGGACCATATTGAAACATCGTCCGCCACCGGCGCAGATTGCAGCCTTCGGACTGGCCCCCGTGAACCTCCAGGGCAGCCACCAAATCCTGTACAGGACCAACGACAACTTTGGAAACGCCACAGCAACCGTCGTCACTGTCTTGATCCCCCATAACGCAGACCTAAGCAAGGTCTTGTCCTATCAGGTAGCCCAAGATTCGGCCTGCAAGGACTGCGCTCCTTCCTTTGCACTTCAACTCGAATCAGCTGCTCTAGGATCTCTAGGCACGCTGGTCACGCAGGCTGAGCTGCTTCTTGTCGAGGCGGCTCTGAATCGAGGGTGGGTCGTCATTCTCCCTGACCATGAGGGTCCAACCGCCGCCTTCTTAGCCAACCGACAGGCTGGCCAAGCAACCCTTGACGGAGTCCGAGCCGCCCTCAGCTCTGGTAGCTTCACTGGTATTTCCAAGGATGCTACCGTTGCCTTATGGGGCTATTCTGGCGGCAGCCTTGCTTCTGGCTGGGCCGCGGAGCTGCAGCCAACCTATGCGCCGGAGCTGAAAATCGCTGGTGCTGCGCTAGGAGGCACCGTGCCCAACATTACCACCGTTCTCTCGGAGATTAATAAGAGTGTTTTTGCTGGCATCCTCCCCGCTGGCATCGTCGGCCTGGCGAACCAATATCCCCAAATCAACAGCGTTATCGAGGAACACGTGCTGCCGCAGTATCAATCCCTGTTTAACAAGGTGAGGAACCAGTGCCTCACTGCCGATCTCACGGATTTTCTCTTCAAGGATGTGTTAGGCATGCTGGATGACCCATCTCTGCCCTTTACGCAGCCCGATCTTTTGAAAATCCAAAACGACAACGCTCTTGGCCAAGCCATACCCAAGATCCCGCTGTACGTTTACAAGTCTACTGAAGACGAGCTGAGCCCAGTCAGTGAGACAGATGCCTTGGTGAGCAAATATTGCGGGGGTGGTACTCCTGTGAAATACGTCAGAGACATTCTCTCGGAGCACGGAACTCTTGCCATCACTGGAGCCGTAAAAGCGTTGGCTTGGTTGATCGATGTGCTGGATGAAGGAGAGGTCCAAAATAGCTGCTCAACATCAACTGTTATATCGTCGCTACTTGATCCCAGTACATTGGAAATCCTTCCCGGTTTCATTATTGATGCTTTGCTGGATCTTCTTGGAAACCCAGTCGGGCCTGTATTGATAGGATGATCGTGATTGATAGTCACTGGGCATAGCCTCTGAGGTGCGCTCTAGGCTTAAGAGCGATTGAATACGATAGTCATCTTGGGGGCTGGCTTGCGAAAAAGTTAGACCTGGAATTCGGATTGGTTGCGTAGCACCGTGACATATTTGGCTAGGAGTTACCCGGAAGATATCAGATAAAATAAATACTAACCAATACGAAGTATATCTATATAATCTTTTCCTAAGTGATAGGAAGGCGAAAACTTTTGTGAGAGTTATTAGAAAAGACATCCTGTTGAGTTCCACCATGAAGTTTTCTATACTGCTGGAATGGACAGTCGCGGTGTACTGGCATTGAGCAAACTCCGCCAGTCACCAGCAGCATCAGCATGCTCTTGTTCCACTGCTGAGGATGACGTTCAATATAGAGCGATGTCGAGCAAGATGACACGTCTGTATAGAGACAGACACGAATGCCTCTGCATAAGTAGATGCATTTCACAGTCTGCAAGTTCACCACATCGTGAAAAAAGCTCGTCTGAGGTTCACTCCCTTGACGCTTTGGGAATAGCAGAGCAGTTGATCTGCCATGTCACCCACGGTCTCCGTACCGTGCCCGAACATGTCCGATTTGCACGGAGTTTGCTTCTGTCCGCGCCAGCTACAGGGAGCTCAGATGCAAGGCCCGCTTCCCCACGCGGACTGCTCCACACAGCGCTAGCAGCACAGTGCATGCTAACGGAGATAAGGACCACTGTCTCTTGGGGAAGGTGATATGGCATCATTCTCTTAGCGAGCCGCTCTGATTGGAACTTGGAATCTCCATTCTCAGCTTCGGCTTTCTAAGAGACTGCAGCTTTTTGCAAGGAGATCTCGCGACAAGATGGCCCAACTAACGACTTTGCCAAATGAGATTCTTCACAACATCCTCCAGTGGCTGACGCCGAAGGATCTCGGATCCCTACCCCGCGTCTGCCGAGCACTTCACAGCTACGTGAAGGACAACCAGAAGCTGTGTCACGATCTCTATCTGCATCATTTTGTAAGCATTTTGTGGTTTTTATTTCCCTGCTTGGCTTACCGAAATCAGGAGCTGATTATATGGACTAGGACTCGCCTCCAACTGAGGAGGGATTTGATTGGGAGGATGAACTACACAGCATCGTCAGATTAGAGAATATCTGTCTGCGCGAAACAGCTGAAGAGAAAGCAAGCTTTTCCTTTTCCTCTATTCTCCCCTTTTTATACCTTTCAGCACCGAGTAATGCTCATCTACACCTCGGCAAAGCTGTTTACTAACTGGTCATCTAAACTGTCTTTAGGAGGGTGAACTGAGTTTTGTATACGATGTTGTGACTCGGATGCTCCAGCATGCCTCTTCTACGGGAAATGCTGTAGAGGCCTCTGACACTCAGTACGCCTCAAGAAACGTGGATTTTCTAAATAGTCTCTTTGAGAACGAGGTGAACCGCGAGGCCTTCCTTCAAAAGTCGTCCCTCTTTGAGAGGGTCTACAGATCCCAGCACCAAATACCGTCTAAGAACCTGAGCAAAGAGCAACGACAACAAAGTGCAAAGCTACACTGTTTATACGGCAAACCAGTTCTCCAGGTTGGGAGACTGCGTTCGGCGAGGACTTATCCATATGCCTGCTCCAGGGTCTACGACATCCGGCAATACACCACCCAGTCTCGATGGGGCCCCTTTATGAACGATGGGAGCGACCGCGTGGACTGGGAGAAGGTCGAAGCGATCCTTATTGTGTTGGGGAACAATGTTTACGCCAAGAAGCTCACTCGGCTTTTTAGCGATATCTGGGACAACCCCTTCTCTGGATCTTGGAAAAGCAGCTTCATATCTTCTCCTAGTCCTGATATAACATCGTTGGACGCTATGGATCCATATGGCGTGACTGGCACTTGGTATCGAGTACGTGTTTTACTAAATATCTCGTTTCGATGCAGCTTAGGCTTGATCGCTCGTAGCTAGTGGCTAACACATTATAGATTGTTTGTTTTCTTGACTATAACGACTTCTTTAGCTACAATTTTACCAATCCTGAGCGAGACGAGTCTCCCCTTCATACGCTCGATGTTGGTGAAGCGACTCGATTGATCATCATGAGGATTCACGTCACTAAGATTGAGCAAGCCGGGCCGCAATCAGAATACTCGTCGGATTTGCCGATAGTGCACTTTGAGGGTATCTCTCGCCCGCTCGATGATTCATGGGACGACAATGCGTCGTCTGATCTTCGAGGTATGTATCCCACTACATCCCTTCCTTTGATAAACGGTGCTGAAGCTAAAGACTTTAACTCGAAAGGGACCGTCGGCTTAACGAAAGAGGGCGAGGTACGGTGGACATCAGTATCCATCTTTCACGGACATGAGAGGTGGAAGAGTGAAGGCGTCCAGGTCGGTGGGGTACGATCTGCTCGGGGGGTGATTGGGAACTGGTTTGATAGGTAAGACAAACGCACGCTAATACCTGATACATTGCTTACTATATCCAGGGACTACGATCCTCACGGCCCCTGCGGGCCATCGGCCTATTGGAAAGCTAGCGACTCTGAAGTAGCACACGGCACGCACGCTGTTCTTCCAAGGAATTTCTTGCTGTGGAGCGCGCTGCTCCAGATGGAAGACTCTGATGATCCGGAAGGCGACATGGAGTACACTATGGAGAACGAGGAAGACGATGAGGAAGACGATTCGGAGTCGGAGCCAGTGGGCAATGAGCTGCCAGAGCTGCTGTTAGATGCGGAATTTGAGATTATCGAGCTTACCCATCATATCGAGGAGCCACCGTCGGGAGCTTAAGATGTGTCTATTGTTTTATGGTGCCTACATTATGTACGATGGCGAGTTTCTTTCTGTTATTCTAGCAAGCCTTCATACCAAGAACCATCTTTGTCAACGCCATTCAAATATGATATCATTTCCTTCCTTACAACTTGGGATCTGGGTCAACGTTTGCCTTGTTATGGTCGCAAATGCAAAGCAGCTCCCCATCACTTTTTCTCCTGATGGTGCCTCTCAAAGCACACAGCCTCTTTCCCACCTGCAGGATCTCACAGTGCATGAGCACCTCCATACCCGCTGGGATAGGGCGCATATACGTAGTATTTAAGGTGCGGCTGACACCCATCATCTGCCAGAAGCCGGGCTTGCTGACGAGCGCAAGGACCACGGAGGTGCAGAAATCGAGAAGAGTGGCAGCAGCACCGCCGTGGAGGTTGCCCAGACCGTTGGTGTGTTCGTCCTGAACGGTGAAAGAGAAGGTTACGGAGGGGTGAGGGAGAGTGGAGTCTGTTGAGACGACCTTGATGCCTGGTATGAGGCTGTGCACCCATCCCTAGTTGAAGAGAGTATCGTTGTTAGCCTTTCGATGAATTGATTTCCGGTGTCAAAAGGATGAAGAAAAGCGACAGGAGTCTGGGAATATATGTGTGTATTCAAAGTACCTTGTCGTTCTTAAACTTATCTAGCCAGTCTTGGACTTTTTCCATATCGGCCTCATTGTTGATATTGCTCATCTTGAAGATATTTGATGTGATTTTTGTTGGATAAATGAGATTATAGTCTTGGCGAGAAGCTGAACGTGAAATGAGATGAGATCCGATGAGATCCGATGGGTTTTGGTGGTTAACTCTGGCTCTGGCAGTAGGCTGTGGAGATGGTTGGATAATCTCAGGAATACGGCTCCTGTTCAGGACAACGCGTAGGTCACTGAATAATTGATGAGAGTATGGCGTTCCTGAGCCGCACAGCTGGCTATAGTGATGCGATGAGTGATATTGACAGCTTGCGGTGAGCGACAGGTGAGATGGAAAGCATTGGCGTTGGAATTGATCAGAGGGCCAACGCGAGTGTCGGCGAATTGAACCTCGGTCGGTTTGAGTCGCATTAGCGCAGCTTGCTAGAACGAGTAAATAGCGGGCGAGCGCGCTAACCCGCTGGGGACTTTCAATCTTAACCGCTGAACCGGGATGCTGTACCGGAGTACCTGCGCTTTGAGATGGATGAATTGAATGCTGATTGAGGCTTATTAGGGACACTCTTTGGACTTGTAGATGCTAGATATTTGTCAGGTCTAGAATTGACGATGCTCCCATGCTTTTAGAAAAGCCCACACCTTAGACAAGTACCGTATAAGACACCTGGATGCATATGACATGACCACCGAGTTTTGCATGTACATGTGATGCAGGGACTCTTGCCATATCCTCAGCTTTAACTGGATTTGGTCTGCCCATAAGCGGTAAATAAATTAGCAATTAGTATTTACCCTTCATTAAATGTCAACCTAGCTACGATACACTTTTCAAGTACATGCTTGAAGCACCAAACGTGCGTTTCCGGGGAAGCTGGGGCCGGTGGCGGCACTTTTACCGAGGCTCTTCACATGGCCGTTCACTAGCGTCATTGGCTGCCGTGCACAGAGCAACCGCGCAGCTCTCCATGCGGAAATGCAATTCAACATCTGCATCAACACCACGAGTCATCACCACCAACGTCACCTCCTCATTCTGCTGCATATGAATTCTATCCCCCGAAGAAGCGGACGGCCGTGAATCAAACGCCTTCAGTCGACTGTGCCGAGACGGCCTGGATCAGCCCTTCGCTCCTGGCAGCGGCAGCGCAGCAACTGTCCGCAGCTTAGCAAGCCGTCGTCGCCATGGAGTTCATCACAGCCCTCAGGGGCACCTTTGACGGCCAGAAGCCCTCGCTCTTCGAGGTGCTCTCTGAACAGCAGCTTAACGGCCTGCTGCCCCCGACACTGCGATACCTCCTCGTCGTCGCTACCCACCGACATCCGCGATACCTGCTCCGGATCCTCAACTCCTTTGACGAGCTGTACGCGCTGGTGATGCTCGCTGTCGAGCGCCACTACCTGCGCACCCGTGGTGGCTCCTTTACAGAGAATTTTTACGGCCTGAAGCGCGAAAAGGCCCTTCACGGCGAGATCCCGAGAGCGAGCCTCGCCGCGCCGCATTTGGTCCGCGAGACGCTGAAGCTGACGACCAAGGACGTGTGGCAGAATCTGGCGGTTCTGGTCGGCGTACCATATCTGAAGAGGAAGCTGGATGAATCTTACGATATCAACGCGCCCAGAGCGCTACTTGGCGCAGCATACACGCGGATGCCAGACAACCCGACGCTGCGCGATCGATTTATGCACTACTACCGGTGGTTTCTGCGCAACATTTACCCACACGTAAACGCAGCTTACTGCTTTGCCATGCTGGCCTTTAACCTGGCCTACCTGTTTGACCGAACGAAATACCACAACCCGCTGATGTGGCTCATTGGGACGAGGCTACGGCGGATGACCATGGCAGACTACCAAGCCATCGAGAAGCTGTCCGAGCCCGCGGCCAATGCCGCCAAGCCCGGCCTTCGATCTCTACTATCCGCGCCCAAGGAGTTGGGTTCCAGGGCCATGTCAAGCCTATCCATGCTGCTACCTATGAGTATTTTCGCGTTGAAATTCCTGGAATGGTGGTATCAGTCAGACTTTGCGAAGCAACTATCACGAAAGGCAGCTGAGAGTATCGAACTGCCTCCTCCGATAGTATCCGGAAAGACATCCTTTGGCAAGAAAAAGGCTGCAGACTCCGATAAAGCGGAAGAGAAGGAGGAGGAGTCAAAGGAAGTTGTCATTACGGAAAAGGAGGCCCCAATTGCAACGCCATCCATGCTTCCCATCTTCGTCGTCCGATTCCCAGAAGACTCGTCTCTATGCCCCATATGTGTCGATGAGATTGTCACGCCGACGGTTTGCCAGACAGGCGTCGTCTATTGCTACACATGCATACACAGATGGATCGAGGGCATGCACCCCAAGCAAGAGGAATTCATGGAAGACCGTGAAGGCAAGTGGGAGAGCGGCCAGGGCCGGTGCGCCGTTACGGGGAAACGGGTTCTTGGCGGCACAGAAGGCCTGAGGAGGATCATTGTATAAATGTATGGGAGATGGAGATGGGGGTCTCCGTAACAGATGGTGATGAGTAGATCATATGATATGATATGACCTGTCCTATATATGTTACATCATCAACGGAAGAGGTGGATATCATACTAATTCGGCATGTACGATTATGAATGAAGTTGTACATCAAACATCTATGCAAGCAAGCGGGAAAAGAATGTAGATGGATATTTAGACGGATATATAATACTTGGCGCATATCACGGGGCATTTTTAGGCGAAACATGTAAACTCGTTAGAAAGAACTATCAAAGATGATTGCGTTGCATGTCTCATACAGTTAAGCCACCCCAAGGCATGTATAGAAATCTTGAGACCCTGGCCCGACAACAATGGATGATTAACAATGGAAAATGCCCCTTTTGCTATTCCATGTCGTGACGAGCTCTCAGAGGTCTCACTTTCTGGAATGGCGGTTGCGGCGTGTCCATGCGCATAGCCTCACGCGACATTCTTTGGTGTCTTGGACGGCCAGGCAACGAAGCATCACTCAGGAATTGGTCTCTGCGGATTGCGTGCTATAACAATGGATGGGCTAAATGGGCTGCTGGGGGAACAATGCAAATTGGCGACCAGCAGCAGCGCTAGTAGTAAATGAATTTTCCGGATAGAGGTTTGGCTAAAGTGTTTGTCTCACCTATTTCGCGTGGTAGGTGGGAGCAATGAGATTCTAAGAGCAGAGAGGCATTCCAATGCCAACGCCTGCACTTTTCTGTGCGAGTTGATCCATTTATATATTCTGCTGATGGCTCTCAAAATCTCCTTTGTCTTCTCTTCCCTTGTTTCTTTTCGTTAAACCATCCCTTGTCCCCTTTTATTCATTCTCCATCAACGCAATACACTAGTTGAGGGTTGAGGATGGCTTATTTTCTGGATACGTCGTATGCCGGAGAGGCGCTCCTCTCTGGCTTCAACTGGTTCGACGGGGTAGATCCTTCTCATGGATTTGTTGAGTAAGTACTAGCTTTTTGCCCCCCCTTTTTGTGTCGATTTTTCTTGAACAAACAGATGCTGATGTGTATTTACCCATGTAGCTACCAAAGCAGACAAAATGCCGAGCAAATGGGCCTTTACAGCATCGATGACAGTTCGGGGGTGGTTAGGATAGGAGTGGACAGCACGCACCAGTATTCACTTCTAGATCGAGGTCGACCGAGTATTCGGATTGAAAGCAAAGAGACATATGAGCATGGCCTGTTTATTGCAGACTTTCTACACATGCCCCCTTCAAACTGTGGTCTGTGGCCAGCGTGTAAGTCTTTCCTCATACACAATAAACATTTTATCGAAAAATTGGCCTCGCTGACACAAAATAGTCTGGACATATGGCGATAACTGGCCCTATGACGGCGAGATTGACATTATAGAAGGAGTCAATACGGCGCATACCAACATTATATCCGCACACACTGCAGATGGCTGCACCCAGGACGAATCTATAAACGGCCTCTATAGCGGCCACCAACTAAGCACGCAATGTGCCGTGGGGACCGATAATATTGGCTGTGGCTTCAATCCCTCGCCTGAGGACGTCTCATCATATGGTGACGGGTTCAACGCTGCTCACGGAGGCGTGTATGCCATGGAATGGAACGAAGAAAATATTCGCATCTGGCACTTTCCTCGTGGATTTATTCCTCCCGATATCGAGAATAAAGAGCCTGATCCCGAGAGCTGGGGACAGCCGGTGGCCATCTTTGGAGGCCCTAGCTGTGATGTGGATACATATTTCAAGAACATGAGACTCGTTCTCAACATTGTAAGTACAAGATCTGTTGGGACACAGATAAAAAAAAAACGCTTTTGAGAAGAAAAGATACTGACTGTTTCATTAGAACTTTTGCGGAGACTATGGCAATGCCGTCTGGGGCAAAACAGACACATGCAACCAATTTGCGCCGACGTGCGCTGAATACGTGGCTCAAAACCCAGAGGCCTTTACAAACGCCTTCTGGGACGTGCGATATATCGATGCTTACCAGTTCCGCGATGGTGATCGCAATCCGTGGCCAGACCGTCCGAATCGTCCAGATCAGCCCGAGGGGCCGGATTGGACAGGCGACTACGAGCCCACGACGACGACGACAATGACTACTTGGGCCACCACAACCGTAACAGTATCCGGGCCGGGGAATCCTCGTCCTCCATTTACCAATGATACTCGCGGCAATCCCATTCCAGATGTGCCAATTGAGCCTGTTACCGCCAAGGCGCCTGTTAATCCCATCAAGATCAAGGACTATTCGTATCTGGGATGCTTCCACTCGAGCAGTGATTTCGAATCATTCTGCGAAGCTGATTCCGGGGAAGACATGACTCTCGAGCGGTGTATTGATCTCTGTGATTCCAAGAAATACGCCGGCGTGTTCGCCACCTACTGCTTCTGCGCAGACGAGCTCGATGCCCGCACAAGAGCATCCCAAAAAGAAGGTCTATGCAGCCACGTCTGTCCGGGAAACAGCCAAGAGTTGTGCGGCGGAATCATCAAACATGGAGGAGACGGCGTAGGCGGACTTCCAGGAACAGTTTCCAATTCAACTTCGGCTTTTGCCCTCACTTTATATGGCTATGTTGCGGAGGAAGAGCCCAAAGCTCCTCCCGCAATGGCGCCTGGGTCGGATGAGGTCGCGCCGAAGGCTTATCCTCATCAGCCGTGGGGGGAGTATTCCAGGACGACTACTGAAGTTGCCGAAGTGACGGTCTTTCCGGTTTCTGAGCAAGGTTGGCGCGGGCATGACGAGAGTGGGTGGAAAGGCTGGAACGGCAATGGCTGGCAGGACGACGGCGCTGAATCGTCGAAGTTTGGAGGAGAGGAACACGAAGATGGCAAGCATAAAGAAGAGGGAGAATCTATCGCCAAGGGACAAGAAGAATGCGACTGCGATGAGGATGGCAAGGAGAAGTGGAACCCAGCAAATCCAGAGATTACCAAGGTTGTGGTTCAGTTGACGAAGACGGCTACAGACTGCCCGGAAAGCACCACGGCGAAGGAGCATGTTGTGATACCGGCTTGGCTGCCCCCTGCGGAGTCGAAGCCATGGGATCCTGCTAATGCTAAGGAGCACTGGGGTGCTGTCCCTCCTTTTGGTCCTTTGCCGCCTTCACCTACTCCTCTATCTCCTCATGATGATGTTGAGTCTCATCAGCCTCCACCTCCACATCCTCCATTTCAAACAGGAGCGCATCCGCCATCTCCTCCAGTGGTCGTTGCAGCAGCGCCGGGGAACCACGAAGGTAGAGAGAAATATCTCGTCATTATGGGATTGAGCATACTAGCTGTTATCATGGGAGTGTTGTAAGATGCAAAGTCTAAAGAAAGAGAAAGAAAAGAAAAGAAAAGGAAAAAAAAAAAAAAGGAAAGAAAGAAACAAGGACTGAAATTTGGAGGCAGAGAATCATGTCACGTCATATCTTGTTTGTACTCATAATACCCCTTTGGCTAAGATGCGTCTTAAATTTTGGGCTCTTGCTGTTCGTATCTAGTGTAGTACTATTTAGTTTTAGGATTGTTAATGATAAACATATATCATATACATTGCTGCTGCTTCTGTGTGTACCTCTGAAAAGAGTATGCATATCCTTCCGTGTGTTTCATATCTAGTTGAATAGAGAAAATTAAGCAAAAAATAAAAAAGTTAAAAAGTTAAAACCAAAAAAGGCTAGATGTCCACGACAATGGCCCTATTCTTCACCTTCCCAGTGCCTCCATACGCTTGCGAGGCGTTCACCATCAAGCTGCCCTGGTTGCTACCCGGGCCGCCCATGATCCATTTCCACAGCACAGCGTGAACACCGTGCCACACCACGTAGAAATGATCCCACCAAGCAGCGTTGGGGATAAAGTCCCAAAAGGGACCTCGGGGAGGACGAGAGAGCAGCCGCTCATAGGCAAGCTGCATGTCGTCGAAGAAGGCAGATTCCTTTCCGTGGCCCCAGTGGATGTGGCCGAAAACGTGAAGACGGGGCTTGACGCGCCAGAGCTCTTTCAGAAGTTGAGGGTCACCTAGGCCGAGATCCATGTGATGTTTCTGAGGCGAGACAAAATTAGCAATTGTGCATTTGGAGGAAAAACTACTAGTGGCTCTATATCATACCGGAGGACAATGAGTCACGAGAATATCAGTTTGCGGGGGGATCAAGCTAAACCATGGGGGCTGAGAAGGCGGATATTGAAACCTATCTCAAGTCAGCATTCCAGCTCGGTATTTTCGCCCCCAAGTCAAAGACCGCCTTTGTCTTTGTCGTGTCAACAACTCACGCGAAGCTCTCTGGACCGCATTCTGGAACGTCCGGTGCGCCAAAAATAGTCAGTTTCCTCCCTTTGATCTCCTGCACGTTCAGGCCGCTCTCGAGGTAAAGCAGTCCGTCCAGGTTCACGACCGCGTTGGACTTGATGTCCTGGTCCAGGCGGCTACGCGGGTCAAACCAGCTGTCATGATTTCCTGCGACGACGATTTTGACCTTGTGCGGCTGGCTCTTCAGCCAGTCGATCTGCTTCTGGATTTCTTCAGCGGTCCCGGACTGGGTCAAGTCGCCGGCGTGGATGAGAATGTCACCGGGGGGGATGTCGACGAATTGTTCGTGAGTGTCGGATATGCAGACGACGCGGATGGCGGGTCTGCCGCGCGGAGGAGTGAAAGGCTGGCCGCGGAGGAAGAGCAGGAAGTGATAGACATTGATGGTGATGAAGGTCAACGGCGAGAGGAGAAACTTGTCGAGCAGAGTGAAGCGCTCCCACTGGTTCTCCCGGCGAAGGCCGAGAAAGGTGAGGAGGCCCATGGCGAGGCTTTGGAGAGAGGAGGGATTTGGTCTAATCGGATTGGTTAGGATGTTGCCGTCGACATTATTTGCAATGTTTTTCCAATGAGCGCTGCGTGAAGGTGAGCGAGTCGAGGAGGTGAGTGAATGCATGTGATGAGCGCTGCATGTCGGAGGATGAGCTCATGGCAGCAATTCCGATCGCTGATTGGTCGAGCGGGCTGCCCCGCCCAAGCTATCCAACTTTCTGGATTCTGATCTTGGCGATCTGATTTCGGGATCATCATCCATGCCTTGGAATCTGCTTATTGGGAGTTTTCACTTTCTCTCTCTCTCCCTTCTCTCTCGCACAATATCATCGAATTATTTCCTGTTTTCTGTCATATACATGTACTTACTTGGCTGCATTCCACAGCATTCGATTCGTCCAACCTCAGCTTCTCACAGCCACCACCAAGCTAATCCCCACAGGGGCCACTGCACAGCTACAGGTATTACGCTACGCTATAACCAGCTCCGCCAGTGACGTCTTCGCCCGCCATCCCCACACCAGCTCCGTGCAATCTGGCTATCGATTGACCGTCATAATATCTGTCCATACTCCATACTTTTTCTCTTCATAATACGAGCCCCCTATAGCTGTAGCTTCATCAACGCGCGCGCTGCCTGGTGCTGCCTGCGCTCAATTACCCGTGATAGCTTTGTACTTGCCTCTCGCTTTCTCTAAGCTCATTAATCTCCCCTTGTCGTGCCCGACGTCATCGCCATGTCGAGCCTGCGGGGCTTGGTCGGTAAAGGAGAGGATCGAGGCCTGGAGGGCAATTTTGGGTGAGCATGTGACTGCTGAATGCGACCGCTCTCTCATGTAACCAACGGCTTACCATATCGCAGCGTCGATTATGTGATTCATTATCGAGTACCGCCCAAGGGTACGTCTTTTCCTGACATCATTCACTCTAAAAAATCCATCTTCCTCTCACTTACACCCCTCTAGAGAAAGCCAAAGCAGAGGCCGCCTTTGTTCAGCTCATTGAAGCCCTCGCCAACATTGGTCTCACCACTTCCGTCCGCTGCGGCGATGAGTGCTCTCTCCTTGTCTTCACCAGGCTCGCCTCAGATGAAGTTCTGGCTCAGCAGGTCTACAGCTCTCGCCTCCAAGACTGGCTGCAGGGCATACGCATCTCTGGCCCGGGAAGCGATGTCTCACAGGCAATCCGTGATGAGCCTGTTACCGAAGCCGAGAGGCTGCGGTTGATATACCTGCTGCTTACCCAAACTCGAAATGAAGGGGGCGCGGGAATCACCCAAGGACAAGGACAATGGAAATATGTCGAGTCCATCTTCCCGCTTCATAACAATGCTTTCAACAAGGAGTGGCTGCACAAATGGAGCCAAAAGTATGTCCTGGACCAGTCCGATCTGGACGACATTCGAGACAAGTTTGGCGAGGACGTTGCGTTTTATTTTGCCTTTCTCAAGGATTACTTTCGCTTCCAAATATTCCCTGCTGCGGTAGGCTTTTCTGCTTGGTTGATATTGGGCCAATTCTCTGTCTTTTACGCCATCTGTAGCTCTCTCTGGTCCGTCGTCTTTTTTGAGTACTGGAAGCGGAAAGAGGCGGATTTGGCTATTTCTTGGGGGGTCCGCGGCGTCTCCAAAATTCAGCATCAACGACCAGAATTTCAGTGGGACTTTGAGACCGCAGACTTGGTTACGGGAGAGCCTATCAAAGTCTATCCTTTTACTAAGAGGCTGCAGACTCAGCTCCTTCAGATTCCATTTGCCCTAGCTTGCGTTGTTATACTTGGTGGACTTGTTGCAATAGTTAACTCTTTGGAAATTTTCATCAATGAGGTTTATGGTGGCCCAGGAAAGCAGTATCTGGTGAGTAGACTGCAGTTGAACATGACACCTCCGATGCATTGGGATTACTAGCGGCTAATGGTCACTTTGTTCGATAGGGCTTCCTTCCTAGCATACTGCTTGCTGTTCTGACTCCAACCTTTTCTACCATTCTTATGACCGCAGCCAAAACACTGACGGATAAAGAAAATTACGATACCATGGATGGTATGTATAGAAAAAAAATATAACCGCAGAGTCATGACCTCTGGGAATTAGAACTAATGGAGTCTCTTCTAGCACACCATGCGGCTCTTGTCCAAAAACAGTTTGTTCTCAACTTCATGACCTCGTATATGGCCTTGACATTCACGGCTTTTGTTTACATTCCTTTTGGTAATATCTTGCAACCATTTTTGAACTTTTGGGGCAAGACGGCACAAACCATCACCATGAGCGAGGTTCCCTTGGACACTCATCAGTTTGAGGCCAATCCCCAGCGAATCGCTAATCAAATGTACTATACTACGGTCACGGCGCAAATCATCAATACCCTTACCGAAGTTGTCGTGCCGTATATCAAGCACAAGGCTTCTGTCAAGGCAAAGGAGCTCTCAACCAAGGACACGATTAAAAACAACGACCCACCTGAGGAAGCCGAATTCTTAAAACGAGTGCGCAATCAGACCGGACTGGATGTGTATGACGTTACTGCAGATTACCGTGAGATGGTTATGCAGTATGGTGAGTCAAACTATACACCCCACTTAATCAGCATATGGGTATGAATATGGTTAATAACTCTAAATAGGTTATCTCTCTCTCTTTTCTGTCTCATGGCCTCTTACGGCTTGCTTTTTCCTCTTGAATAACTGGGTCGAGCTGCGGTCTGACGCCCTAAAAATCGTCATTGGCTGTCGCCGACCCATCCCATGGCGAGCTGATTCTATCGGTCCGTGGCTGACGGCCCTTGGCTTCCTTTCATGGCTTGGTAGCGTTACCAGTGCTGCCATTGTTTATCTATGCAGTCGTGATAAGCAAAACGGCTCTGTATCTCATATCACCGCAGGTGGCGTTCTCCTAAGCATCCTTTTAGCAGAGCATCTCTATTTTGCAGCCCAGCTCGCCGTCAGGTTTGTCATGGGTAAGGTGGAGAGCCCCGGTCTCCAGAGGGAGCGAAAGGAACGCTTCCAGATGAGGAAGAAGCTATTGGAGGAGACTGTCGGCCACGTGGTGGGTGAGAAGGCTGCAGTCGCCCTCCCAGGGGCCGAAAAGACGGAGCAAATCACGAGGAAAACGCTGGAAGAGGAGGCCCGTCTGGCCTCGATCCATGGACATGGGTCACCAGAAGAATTGTAAGACGCCTTTATCAGCCTGATGCTTGGCTCTGCGATGCCCTTGGCATGATGCTGAGCACGGAGAATCCCGCCTAGCAGACTCAATTTGGAGACTCAATTATGGCTGACACGATAATAACAGGTTCTGGCAGCGCCAGCGAGGCATACAGGAGACAATCTTGGTCGGGCGGAAATTGATCGAAGAGCAGTCTAGCGGCAAGTCTTGAGGTTGAAGCTGCATCAGGGGCACCTGCACTAAAACCAGGGGGCGGAGATTTTGGTATGTACAGTATGCTTTCGTGCCTATATTCTGCAGCTGTCGTACAGAGGATTCAAGAGCTCCATCCGGAGTAATACTCTGGTCTGCCCCGTCGACTAACTCTTTCCACAGGTTGCTGGCGAGTTCTGAGATGGGGTTATGCCCCATTACGATACCGAAGAGTTTCGACATGGGACGGTGTGGAGGCTGCTGTGGTGGGGTTGGCGATGTTGAAGAGACAGCACGTGCTCGGGGCTCGCGACCGATGCGGACGACGGAAGCCGGAAAGCGGCAATACGGGGGTCAGAGGTTTATTACGGGTTTGGCTCCTTAGCTTCCGTGATGGAGATTTGTTTAGACAGTAGTTACAGGCTATTCGCTAGCGTTGGCTGGAATCCTTTTTTGCAATTTGAGGAAGAGTGTTCTGGCTTCTCGCGTCCGGCCTCCATATCTTGTGCGTGAGATGTATGAGTACTGTACTTCGTACCGCTACATACAGTACTTTTATCACTACTGTACTTACATGACAGTAATATGCAATGAAATGGCGAAACCAATGCTATTGTTGGTCGCTGGGTTACGAAGCCTTGAATTGGACGCAGAATACGCATGAGCCACCCCTCCCTCTAGTCTAGAGCCACGCCCCTCTAAAACCGAATCGTCTTGAACAAAGTAACGCCCGCTGCATCGTCTCAGAACAATAGGAAGCCCGTGCATCTAGCACATCTTGCCCAACGCGGTGAGTGGTCACGAGGATAGCAGTGAGCAACAACAAGGCTGATGGATCGGCGGAGTGGACAATAGGCGCCCGCAATTCATCATGGAGCTAGAGAGATGATTTGCTAGGACGACGTTGGAGACCTGTATATGTGTCGGCGCACTGACAATTGAGCGATCCGTTGTTGATGCCAAGGCCAAAAAAAAAAAATTCTTTCAAAGATGGAGAAGGCAAGATAGTCAGTCTTTCACCGACTTTTTCTTTTTTCCCCCTCGGCTTGGGTGTAAATTTAGGATCAAATATGGAGAAAGGTTGACCATGAGTTTGAGTTTGAGTTGGAGATGATGTCCGTCATCATGTGCCATGCGTTTATGAAAGCCCCGTAAATGGAGCCGCGGCAAATCATGGCCCCAAAGGTTGATCAATCGATACGCTTCTGCAAGATCTTTTATTTTTATACATAGTATGTAGTACAAGGGTTCCACCCTGTGAGTCTCTTCGGCTTGTCGATCTTTACCCCGGACTCGGGATTAATCAGAGTTGCTGTACATCGAGTGAATGTGGTTAATAGTGAGATGTTGGCTTGTTAATCGGACAGATGAGCAAATTTTTTGGTAAAAAAAGGCGTCAATCTTTTTGAAGATTGAAGTAGGAAGTGGGAGCCTAATAAAATGGAGTTGCTAAGTGCGGGCGTAACCTAGAGATATATGTACTTTTAAGTACCTTGCACATGGAGGAGAATGTATCGTTTGTGCTTCAGCTGGTGATAAAATTACAAAATTATCTTTTAATAATATTTTTCATCTCAGTCCTGAAATATAGGAGATTGATGGACGTTACGTTGAAACGGCCCCAGCTCCGATGGTTTTCAGGGCTGTTAAGCTCGAGCAAAACGGAAGTGTAAGTCTGTTGAAATCGAAGTAGGTGGAATTGTCCTCGGAACTAAAACAGAATTTGGTAGAAGATTACGATTTTATCCTTTTACCGCAGTTGATTTAGCTACATCAGCCCTAAGAAATCAATGTTTTCTGAAAAGAGTCCGCGGCAAGAAGTATAAGATGAAGTGTATTGGAGTATTACCCAGACTTGGATGGCGAATACTCAGCTTGGGTTACTGTGCGACCATAGCCAGCAATCATAGATAGCTAAAACAGGCCAACCCGCCTCCATAATTGGCCCAAGAGATGAAAAGGCATTTGTCACGATGTCATCTTGTTCTTCTACTATCTGTCTCGACTTTCCTTTGACAGCTCTGTTACTTACACTGCTGCCTAAAGAGAAACCAAGACGCACATATTGTTGCAATTCTCTACGAATGGCGTGACATGAACTGAAACCTTACTTTAAGCCATTCTAACTTGAAATGCTGTTTATCGCAAAGGGCAATTCCTTGAGCCTGGTTTCAAGGTGGGTCATTTTTCCGGTAACGATGCTCTCCGGTAGCCCGGACCGTCGCCGCTTGAGACAGGGCCCCTTGCAGCTCAAGGTTGACAAGGCTATGTAGCGGTACTCATGGTTCGTTTCGCGTGTTAGTGCTACGAGAGGTTTAGCATCCAATGCTGAAGATTCTTATCTGTGAGTAATCCTCTTCTTCAAAGTACATGTATCCAAGTTCAAGCTATATACGTACTAGGACTGACCTCGCTTGCCCATGAAGGGATTCTGGATATGGCAGACTTCGGATCCCGTAGATGTAGTCTAGTAAGCGAGCTTAATGCAAAGTGGTGTTGAGCATCTAAAAGCGATATTAAAGAGTTGATTCATCAGCTTTTCCCTCTCTGCGGCACCGCCAGTTGGGGGCCCATCGGTGGGGACTCATTACGATATACCGGCTCTGCATGATAAAGCAAAAGTTGAGCGACGATGTTTACGCGGCTTCGCGTATCCGAGAGACGGCGGCAGCTGCTAAGAGCGGCGCTTCTCCGGTTCACGTCCAGTTTCTAACAAAGCCTTGGACAGTCGAGAACCCTGTCGAGAATGGCTAACCCACAAGCAGGAAACTCACCCGCGGGCCAAAATAGGATCGGTCTATGCGTATGACGGGCAGACTACCCATGCAGTGAGACATGGGGAGAGAGCACGGGGATGGTGAGACTGGGGAAGTGGCTACATGTATGTACTTACACTCTCGCTACCACTTATACGCTCGGGTGACATGATTCCTTGTGAGAAATTGTTATGCTTGACGGTATACTACTACGTACTAGGTAGTACTGTTACCCAAAGAAATCGGAGTCTGATATGTTGCGATATAGAACTCACCTTGCGTTTAGGTGACAGCACAAGTGTTGCAGCTGTTGTTTGGCCCCAGCACCCATGTTGCCAGGTGCCAAAACAGCAATGCTTGTCTGGACTACTGTATAAGTCGTCACTGTAATGTGACAAACGGTTCCTGGACTGCTCCCGAGAGGCCAATCAAGAGGCCAATCAAACAGCCAAAAGGTGGTGTGCGTGCATTGTAACATTACCTGCAGGCTATTGCTAGTATTACTGCTACTGTGATGGATAGAGTAGAGAGCAAGTGGCTGCCACACCTGCATCCCCGTATTAGATGCTGTTGCTCTAGCTCCCCCTTTTACACACGATTTCTCGATCCAAAAATGGCCTTGTTCCTCGAGTTTCAGATAATCTGCTGAGGGCCAATTGGTCTTGATAGCGGCCTTGCAGGGCCTCAATTGGTGCTACAGTGCCTATAGCAGTGCTGCAGGGCTCATGCTACAGCAGCACTGGGGCTCGGACACAGATAAACCCGGCCATTGGAATCTCAAACCCTCAGGTATCCATGTTTGTTGCTGGCACGTTTCTTTGGGCATTTGCATTCTCCACCCTTCACCACCATCGCGGGTTCCAAGCCAGTCCATCTTCACAGCCCTGTTCCTGTCTAGTCCCACTAGAGCGACAGCTAAAGCAGCCCGGCATCCACAAAGAATATCAAATCACTCAGCGGCGTCTTTGAACCAGCTCGCGGCCCCCTCTTCCTCCAGAGGCTATTGAAGCCTTTGCCGTTTGCGACACCGCACCGTTGTGCCAGATCTTTAGCCAGAAGCAGACGAACCGAGCAACGCTAGATCACCATGCTGTATACGCCACCGTTCTCATCACACCGGGGTTACTAGAGCGGATACGGGGCCACTAGAAGACTGGCTGGAGCGAGTAAAGATGATGTTGCATCACGGCACAGCTAGAAAGCAATTTGTCCCATCTTCTTCCTTCTGCTTCTGCTTCCCAGCTCCGAGATGATCAACGAGTTCGTACATACTGCCGGTATCAGAAACGAGGTTGGTAAATCCTCAAACCCCCAGCACGACTATTGATTGCCATTGCATGAGCCATGCTTCATACGATGCCGTACCCACGCGCGGGACCTGGATTTGTCCCATCTCAGCAAAGGAGCCACACCCGCACGCTAGCGACTCTCGATGGACGGGGTCCTTCAGAAAAATGAGGCTGCGGCACACCCACATGCGCGCGCGCACGAGCTGCCCACTATTCCTGAACAAGCCTTTCTTTGACAGCTCCGACCAATCTGAGGCGGTCCTTGCGCAACGTGGACAGGACGCATCGAGTCCCCGGCTCTTGGTCAACAAGGGTCCTGGCAGGATCGCTGCGCACTTACACGATGCTAAACAACCCTCTTCCGAATCAGCCCATACGCCAGACCTGTCCAATCGACGCTGCCCTCGTGCTCACAAGCCCAAAGCTCTCTTGGGCGACCCCGCCAGCGCTCGATGGAGGACCAGACTTGGAGCCCCGTCGCTGGTTCTCGGTCGATTCATTCATGCCATGAGAACCGGGCAAGCTGCCTTGTTCGCTCCCCGAATGGAGAACCTTTCAGGGGAGAACCCAACATTCGCTTGGCCTACCGCTACTAGTCGTGGTTGGTGTGTCTCCTCCTCCCATATCGTGCATGCTTGCATCAATTTGCCCCGGCGGGTACCTGCCCATTGATTGCTGCAGCCGTGCTAGTGCTGCGACTGGTCCCCTTCTGCCTGTGATTGTTCGTGATACTGGTAGCCTGGCTATGCTATATCAACGCCTGGGTGGCTGCAGCCATGGCCATGGCCATGATCTGGCTCCGTGGGCCGTGGTATTCCTTCCTTCCACCTAATGATGCTCACGAGTACTGCTACTTACGTTGGGGCTGCTACTCAGCCCTTTGATACGTACGCCTCTTTCTTCTCCTCTTAGCCACACTCCTAAGCATTCTCTCTCCTCTACTTTACGCAATCTCTTTTCTTTCCTTCCTTTTCTCGCCCTCCTTCACTTTCTTGTTTCACCATCTGTGCCGTTTTCACATAGCTTATTAGAGTAAAGCCTACTGTTGATAAACCACAAACCACCTACTTAACTAGCTAGGCGGCCTACTCAAATCTTCAACATCTCGAGCTCGCCAGCCTGCCCCACGCGGGGACTCCCTCGGTGCTGACTGACGCCGTTCTCTATAAACGCCACACCAAGAATCGAGCCTCCGTGGACTATCGGCTTGTTATAGCAGCTATATCCTCTTTTAATTTCCGCTTTCAAGTGCATTGCGTCGGCCTATTTTTGGCATCGCACGTGTGCTACACGCCGACTCATACCAAGTCGGTTGTGAGAGGTGTCATCGTACAAAACCCCCCCCAGTCCCTCGCCCCGCCGGCGAAGACGCATTGTCTCACCTATTCTATCTTGCCTGGGTCTACAACGATGGATGACATTGCAGACCTCGTCCTCACTCCGTTTAGGGACATTGTCGAGAAGGGGAGAACAGCCGTTCAAAATGCGGGTGACACACAGCCAATGCTCAAAGCTTCCCAAGCCTTGCTCAAGGAGGGCGAACGTGCTCTCAAGAAGATAGAGCCGCTATGTAAGAAACACTTTGACGATTATGGGCCAAACTTTATTGCAGCATTAAGAGACAATGGTGAGCTCCTGATAAATAATATATTCATTGATGCTTTTCTTAGCAATCGGAGTTAACTTTATGTCAATATAGACGATATTGCCCAATTTCGGCTTCAGCTTACAGATATGCTCTGGGAGTTTGATGACTATATTGAAGTAGATGACTTTGATGCTGCCAAATTCACTGAGCTCCAAATGCAGTCGCGGACGGCAGCTCCTAAGATTTATGACATCCTGTTGAAGATGAAGCTTGAGGCACCTGCCCAGTTCAACTCTCAGCATTTCATGTCCCAGCTGTCTCCCCCTTCATCCCCTCACCCCATGCCGACTATGCTTATGCCGCAGATGCCCCCGACGCCTTCAGTTGCTGGCTCCATCGCTGGCAGAGACTCTGTGTCGAGCTTCAAGACCGATAGCAAGTCTGTTGGGGATGCAGCTACCGCTGAGACTGCCAACGAACAATTAAGAGTGCTGCTTGACAAGGCATTTAATACTAGTAACAATACTAATAGTATCGATCTTATGTCTCCCCCGATGCCACCTCCGGACAGGGCGTTGCCTATGCCCCCGCCAGCGCCGCCAGCGGCAGTGGATCAGCTGCCTCCTCGACCGCCGTCGACCAACCCATGGGACATCAGGATCAAGAATATTGCTTCTGATGATGAACGGTCAATGCGAGACGGCCCTCAAGCACGCCGGCGACCACCAGTCGATTCAGCGCTCCAGACTCCGGTTGAAGGCTCATCACCAGGCAGTCCGTTCACTTCTGCAAAGAACTTTTCAATTCCGCGATCCAACTATTCAGATAGCACTCGCAGCTCATCATTAATGCCAGACAGTGCTCGCAGCTCGGGATTATTGCAAGAGTACACTCTTGACGGGGACGACAAGCACTCGTCTCTTACCAGCCAATTGACAAACTACAGCATGAGTCCCACTCAAGTCTCGCGGCCACGAGCACCGAGCAGTACCACTACTTATAGCGGCAGCACCCCAACCATACCTGAAGAAATGTCGCGGGACAAGGCCATCAGATCGAGGAGCACTTCACGACCCCGCCCAGTTCCCGTCATGTATTCGCCAATGCCGTACAGATCACAGCCACGTCCACGTCAGCCGTCGTATCCAACTACCTCGGAGGAGCGTATGGAGGACACGAAGCCTAGTCCCAGGAATGATTCGCTCAGTGATTCTGCACAACAACAATCTACATCTGAGCGAAGGTTGTCAGACGCCGAGAGTCTGCTTGATCCCAACCCTCTTCCAGTCAGTACAAGGCCGCCCCCCTATGATAGGCGGCCAAGCGCTGTCAATACAGAGCAACAAACGCAGCAACCGCCTCTGTCGGGGCTCGAGCTCGCCCGTCGCAACACAGGCATGACTGCAAATGAAATTCCAGATAGCGGCCTGATCCCGGTAGACACTTCTATGCCTGGTGCTGTTCTTGCAAGTCTGCCTCCCCAAGATCTCACCATCGACAATCAAAGTTCGTTTTACGTGATGAAACAATTCTGTGCGGGAGCTACCGATGTCATCAACGGAGGGATCGGTGTGAAAAGGATAAAGAAACCCGTACGTATATTCCTTTCTGGTACCTTTGATGACCTTGCTGATTTGGCTGTGCCAGGGCTTTTCTGTAACTGCTGTTGCTGCCAAATGCACACACTGCTTGTATGAGTTGGATTTTAAGCATGTGGAGTTTGATCTTAACAAACAAGGTATTCTTAACAACCTTTAATTTGATCAACCAGGAGATCTAATTTTTTATGTCTAGAGGAGGGTAACTATACTAAGAATGGCATCGGATACCGCTTGCGCTTCTTACAGAAGAGCCATTTGCACGCAAAGCGGGTTGACGACGTCATGTATGCATGCGTCTTTTGTATCCACACCAGCCGAACTCTGGATCAGAGCGACTCAACTGTTTTCACATCGACCGCCGCGTTGTTTGCCCATTTGGCTCGCCACCCTCGGCCGCTTCCGGATGTGCCTGGCATTGCCGTGGTAGACCAGACTGAGGTTCCGCCTCATTTAGTCAATGACTACGATCTCCTGTTTAACAGCCCGCCTGAACCTCACCCGGTACGCGAAAGGGCAGCAGAGATTGCTCACCTTCCCACTGGCCATGCAAAGGAGTCGGCTAGGAGACTCTTTGGTCAGAGGCTGCTCCCTGATAGGACGCCAGCTTTGGAACTGATACAAGGCGCAAAGATTACGGGAGTGACGTGGCCTGCTCGATATGGGGGAGAATGGGCTTTTGGATGGCACGATGGTGTATTCGCATCGATCCCAGTCGAAATATTAAAGCTGGATCGACCTCCCTTCAGTTTAATCAAGAGGAACAACTCAAGTCGCGTCCGAGCCAAAGCCAGATGGAAGTTTTCAGTGAAGGAAAAGAATGAAGACTGGCTCAAGTTTGATAAGGACGAGATCATCACCAACATAAGTTGTGAGTACTACCAATTTATATACATGCGTTTTAGGCAAGAATAGGATATAGTACTAACAGATAGCCAGGGTCATCTCCCGAGTATTGGTGCTGGTCGGGCACAAACGCAAAGGGCAAATGGGGAGTCTTCCCTCAGGCTTTCCTTGACCCGAACTCACTGCAGGAGATATCTTCCATGATTGGTTCAGATCGATCCAGCATTCTCAGCAACGAGAAAAATAAATCCGGTACTATGCTGACAAGCTTTTCCACACGGAGCAAGAATGGACGCCCACCTAGCGTTGCGGGATCGACAAGCAGCGGAGAAACGACACGATCAGGATTTGGAGGCTCAAGGAGCCTTCGGCGACTGCGGGGGGAGTGATTAAACAGAAAATATTGGGTAGCAATGGGAGTTTTCGTTTCATGGCGGGCGTTCGGTGACCCCAGCTCGCAAATCAATTAATGCTCAGGGCTTCGATCTATGGGCAAATTTTGTGAACTCGTATTTGGTATTTTTATGAGCCTTCAGCTTCAGGATATGCAGGATGTTTTGGTTTTCATTTCGATTCTGCTCTTTTTCCCCCAGCCTTGGCCGTAGGGAGAAAGAAGACGCCAATAATGGACATTATGGGAGGATAATACTGAGGAGAAAGTGTTCTTCCTTTTTAGCTGGATATAATGGGAACATCGTGGGATTTTAGGAATGTGTATAATAAGTAGCCATGAATATACTAAATTTAGCCAATCTCATGCGCATATCTAAATAGTGGCGCGAGTGAAATTAAAGGGGTTGATCCAGATGAAGTAGCCCCCATTCTTTGGTAATTTATGCTCGAACTATGATGAACGAGAGCTTGACCCTAAAGAAACGGTGTCTGCGGTCATTTGATATATACTCAGTAACTTCTCTTGTTTACTTATAGCATGTTTGTTTACAAAGTGTAAATACATATAATCTCCATACCTTATCACGCTGCCAATAGCCTTCAACAGAGAAAACTTAATAGGAAAGAGAGTCTAGATGTAGTTATAGCTTCTGGGCTCCATTTATACACATTAACCGCAATGTGTTTTCATGCTCCTTGACGTGTACTGCCATCATAGGTAGTGTCAGGCTGAGCGCCACTGCATGCATTTAATAGTAGGTAGCTCTTTGGCTTTGCTGGTGCAACGGCTGAAATTCAGAGATACAATTCTGGCTATAGAGGCAAGTAAAAAGAACATAACCATTCATGTATAGAAAATCGGGGTGGTACCCAATTGTAGTCTAACGAGGCTCAGGAATTTTGAGTCTCTTGAACTTACATCGGTAATTGACCGTGATATACCAACGAATTATAGCGTGCATGCATGCATGCATGTACCAATGAATCAGCAGCAAACATTAGGCGGTAATAAAATTGACCCTTATAATTACTCAATTCATCTCGAGCACCTGTAGTTATACGTGTACGTAATCGCATGATAGATAAGGGGCTTCATAGGACATGCATGGCAATGCAGTGCGGCTCATTGATGCACAATCTGAGAAATGGGCACTGCAGTGTAACCATGCCACCTAGTGAGGCTACAGTCCCCGATTCAAAAGTGTGATTATTATCTTCTCCTCATCTACTCAGCGAGATTTCAACTTCAATTTTAGTCTGTCTCCTCAGTGTTACGACCTGGTTCACCGTAACTGCAAATCCCTTATAGGCAGCTGGTTCCGTTACAGTAACTGCTACAATAGTGGTTATTGGCCTAATCTTTTGCCCTGTTTGGCTTAACGGTATAACGGATCGTTACACTCAGCTTAGGATCGCACAATTCAGTTACGATGTCTGGACTCGAGGCTCTTTCGCTAGTCTGCAGCATCATGCAGGTTATTTCCTTTACCAAAGAGCTCATCACGACCTGCAAAGACATTTACGAGGGCCGCGCTACAGCCGATGATCAGCTGCAAGAGAACACGGCATCAATCAAGAGTTTATTGGATGATATGAATCAATGTTCTGGCTCTGTTCAACAACGCACCCAAAATGAAAGAGATCTTCATGAGATAGCTCGAAAGTGCAGCATCGCAGCTCAAGATCTGGAAACCGAAATACAGCGACTCACTCGATATCATAAGCCTGGAAATGTTGTGAAGGCACTTGTGGGAGGAATCAAATCGATTACACGTGAAAGAAAGATTAAAGAGCTTTCTAAAAGTTTTCGCCAATACCAAGAAACTTTAGAGACGCATATACTGGCTCGTATATGGTGAGTCGTTCACGCATCTTCCCTTACCTCCCCTTTCCTCTCTTTTTTTCCCCTTTGACTTTGCTATTTTTGATTAGTTTTGTATATAAGTTGAACTAACATATAACATCCACAGCACGAAGACCGATGCATTGCAGATTCAACAACGAGACAATTTTAAAGAGCTATCGGGGACTTTGCAGCATTTCATTTCCCAGATCGCAGCTGGTCACACTGACGTGGCTAATCTTATAAACCGACACGGAAATGAAACCAAGCAACAAATACAACAATCCGAGATGGGTGTAAAAACTCTAATCAACGCGCGCCACGTCGAGGCGGATATGGAAGCGAAGCGAAATCGCCTCCTTCAGAGCCTAAAATTCGAGTCCATGAATGCACGGCGCACTGAAATCAAGATTGCAAATGAAGCGACATATGTCTCATTTTTTAAATCACTTGAATTTGAAAATGAACCGACTTCTGGATCTGCTGCAGTAGCTTGGGTAAATTTTGTCAAATGGCTTGAATCTGATGAGCAATGTTTTTGGATTCAGGGAAAGCCAGGTGCGGGCAAAAGCACGCTCGTAAAGTTTCTACTTCAACAAGAAAATACAAAAAAAGCGCTTGATAAATGGAACCATAACTCTATCATTGTTTCTCACTTCTTTTGGAAGCCAGGAAATATTCTACAGAGAAATTTCAGGGGATTGCTGTGTTCTTTAAATCATCATCTTCTGTCAGCCGAACCAAGTCTCATTGATCAGATATTATCAGAATTTAAGTCTACCAGAGAGAACGACTCAATAGGAGACTGGGAGCTCTCACACTTGATGGACATCTTCAAATACACATTGGCAAATTGCAATAGACCAATTTTTTTTCTTATCGACGGCGTTGATGAAGCGATTGATGCAGAGGAAGTTCTCAAATTTTTAACATCTAGCATCACCTTGCGCAACACCAAATGGTGTATTTCTAGCCGCGGTGAAGATATATTCCAGCAGGCCTTCTCCGAGTACAATGGCTTCAAACTCCACGAATACACTAGAGATGATATGTTCAATTTTGCTAGGAAAGAGATTCAACGCACGCTAAGAAGCATCCAAGAATATGAGAATACGTATCCAAAGGATTTTTTGACGGAATTGCAATACTCTCTAGTAAATAAAGCAGAGGGTGTTTATCTTTGGCTAGTCCTAGCACTTGAAAGTATCAAAAGAGGACTTCGGCACAACGATAGGAAAGACGTTATACTATCTCGCTTAAGAAAACTGCCAACCGGACTCGAAGAGCTATATGCGGATATGTGGGGCAGACTAGGTGAAGACAAAGATATATATCAGAGGGAAGCAGCACACTATTTCAATTTACTCATCATATATCGGACTTTACTTGCAAAGTACCAAAAAGAATATACCCCAACTTTCTTCGAATGGCCTATGACGCCTTTCCAAATGATGCTTGCTCAAGACGATGAATTACAACGAAATTTATTAGATCAATCATATGAATTGCAGCTTTCGAAGTTAGAAAAGAATTGTTTGGACATGACGAAAAGCCTCTCTATCAAAACTGCTGGACTCCTTACTACTCAAGCTACTTCAGCTTTTGTGCCGGTTTGCGAGTCAGAGAAGAATATTCCCAGTTGAAAAAACATGCTACGAGCAAGATAGAATTTATTCATAGAACTTTGTTCGACTTTCTGACAGACACGGAATCCGGAAGGGATATTTTGGCACAAGCCCAAGCAGATCATGTTCATGTACAACTTGCAACTATCATGCTCTGCCAACTCCGGATTATGGAAAATATTGTCAGCAAGCCATATTTCGTTCATTATCAAAGCGAACTGGACATCGGGGCTTGCTTACATTATTTTCGCTGGTTGCTAAGCCAAGCACAGAGAAAGGATAGTTTCTCACACGAAAGGGTATATAAGACTCTACTACCCGCCTTCGAGACTCTCTTCGAAGCCAGTCTTATACCGTGGGATCAGCGGCCAAAGAGATGTCCTAGACCATGCTTTGACACTCTTCTACTTGACGATCCTGCCTTCCAGCAATTCACGAGAGAGCGATTGAAGAGCAAGGGGGCATCATATGCTACGTGTGTGCTTCGAGAATGCATCGTTCTTAGAGAAACTGGGCTCTTTTTATATCCTGGTCCCCGTGTTGATTTGGTGGAATTATTTCATGATTTGGGTGCTGATGTAAACTCCACAGACGCTTGCTTTTGCGAGCCACCGGTCGACGTTGGACAATTCGCTGGATGCTTCAGGTATGAATCAGCATTGAGCGCGGTTATAAAGGCATCTTTTAATGACATGCGAGTACATACATCAGGTGCTCACGCTGTTTTATTGAAACTTTTGGTGGCATTCCTAGAAAATTCACCCAACCTAGATACGCACACCTCCTGTCTCTTCACATCAGACGAGAGTATGTTCCGCTCGTCATATTGGAATATGCCCTTAGTTCTTTCTGCTATAACTGCAGGTGAAAATAAAGATTTGGCTGAAGCCGCCGATGATCTTTATGGGGATTCTTTTTCTGCAGCTATTATTATGGAGGTAAACTTGAAATACCTCGTCGAGGTTTTTTTGAGAGGATTTTCCTCCAATGATGCAGCCATAAATGTTCTCAGAACCCGTGCCGAGAAGCTGGTTCAGCTAGAGGGCAGTAAGGCTTTTTCCAAAGCTCGCTTCATAGTTACAATGATACAAACCGGACCTTTCAGGCAAAACACTCAAGTAAATGAGTGCTACCGGTTTATTAATGAGGCTACAGTTTTTCCAGAGCATCAGACGTTAACGCAAACACCCTGCGGCTTTAAGGTGACTTATGTTTCATCTCGGGTAAAAAGAGAGGAAATACTCAAATGTATTAGCCAATGTGAGAAAGTTGATGTCTCAGCTTTAACTATTCTCCTAGATCAAAAGCTCGGGGTTTGTTTAAAAGAATTTTAATAAAATGTGTATAATTTGAATAGAGCTTACATATACCTGTTTACCAACATTATTATATAAGCACAAAATGAAACATTTACATAAAATCTAGATTTCCTTGATTTTATTCAACTTTTCTTGGTGGCGAATTGTAAGAATGCACGCATCAAGATTGGTTGTTAATGCATACGGCATCACCATCTGTACTACAGTTCAGATTATTAGCGTAGAATGAGCCAACCAACTGTTAGTACGACCTTCTTTTTCTTTTTACTTTCTTTACTTTTTTTTTTTGAAAGTACAGGGGGTCGCTGATTGGTATGCAGGCACTTTGTTCCTTAAATGAAAGGGTCCAAGAGACAAGGCTCTAAAACGGATGGACCCCCTGTTTCTTGTTTGTTTCCGGGTACGAGATATAAAAAAAGACCAGGGCTAAGAGAAGAGGGAGAATCAAATCTATCGGAGGGTATTTTCTGGGGAATATCTTTCATTTAATTTTTTAAGCGCTGAGATGGGGGATGCGATTTGTTTCATAGGGTAGCTTGCTCTTTTTTTTTTTTTTTTTGTTCTTTGTTCATGGGAGTTACGCGATGGTATGTAGTTGTGCTAACTTGTTGCGGGAGTGCCTCCAATTACGAGATCCTGGAGGAGCTGAGAGGTAGCAGCAATAAAGCAGTAAAACAGCAAATAGTGTGCTTTTATTTCATACTTCCCTTGGGGAATGTGAAAGGGAAAAGAAAGAAAGGCAGCTCATAGCTGCGGGGTGCATGTTACATATGAGGTAGCCATGCATGGAATGCTGGTAGAATCAATCAGTAAAGTGTACGAGGTGCTACCACAGGAGAAATAAACATCAGCTTGGTTTCACACGTGCTTTCGAGCTGTTTTGTCCGGACGTACGGAGTAAAACAAGAAGAAACAACAAAGCCATATGGAATATTTGCTCTCTGATGCATATACTACGGTATTGATCTCACAGGCCGGTCTCCCTGGAGGAGCTGCGCACAAGAAACAGGCACACAGATACACAGGACCCCTCATCAACGTTTCATTGAATGAGCCTTTTTCTTCATTCTTTATTAATTCTTCATCTTTTGTCCTTTCTTACAAAGGAGAGGCTGTCGCGTGAGGGCTCCTGATTGTGTGCATGTGCCTGTAAGACGGCAAGCAGAGTAGCATTGCTGCCTTGGGTCCCGTGTGTGCAAGTGCCGAAAAGCAGCAACAGTATGGGCGATGAGATGCCAGATTCGTCGATGGAGGATGCCCTCACGCAAGGGTCCTTATTTGCGTCTGCATTTAGAGCGCCTTGCCGAGATCAGCTATACGCACCAGTAAGATGAAGCACACAGACAGCTTATACAAGACAGCTTACAAAGGGAGAGCCAAACGACAATCTTTTCCGTTTTCTTTCACATCCACGAGTGAGTAAAACCTAGTCAGTATACCATAAATACTCTTTCGTGGCCGCTGTCCCGAGACACCGCACACCGCTCTGATCTGTGCGCCCCGTTGATTGAGTCAGTCATTCAGGTCCAGGGAGAGGCAGAAGCCCAGCAGGGAGGGGATACCAAGTGAGGGGGGATGGATGGATGATGCGGGGATGAGGGATTGCCTCGTGGCTTTGTGAGGTTGTATCACGGCCTGGGAGACACGAGATGCCGTGAGAGTCGAAGATGCCGAAGAGGGTCGCGTGGTGGGTGAATACGTGAGCGAGTAAGTGAGAGTGCAAAGTCTTTTTTATGGGTAAATAAAGTGGCCACGCCCAATTACTATGATGTTGTGCTGCCTCAAGATACAGGATATCGAGATTGATACGTTGGAGTTGATGGAGCTGGTGGCGCAGGTGCAGATCGATAGTCATCACGAATAAAAAGTATATGTGTAAATATTAATGCCCTATTTGTGCAGATCAATAGGTACCTGTTATCATGAATAAAAAGTATATGCGCAAATATCAATTACGAGATATCTTATTTGTTCGAATCGAGCTGGCTGAAAACACGTTTCTGTGACATCATTGAGCTTAGACGGTCGTGACTGCCTCAACTGAGACCGTCCTTGCAGCAGCACAGGGCAAGACAACGCCGCCCGCAGCTTCCGCATTGAGAAACACCTCCCCATCCGTGGAAACTTTTCTCGTCCATTTAGCGCTTCTTTGCATTTTCCCCTCATCAACAACACATCTCGTGAATCACCCATACGACGCTCTCCCTCTCGGACATATGCCGCGCGAGCGATGGTGCCTCGTGATGGATCCCAGAGCCGGATCAGCATCGATCGGCTGCCCCTCCAGCGCAAATCCCACCGCCTCACCAAGTGCTGCCGGCAGATCGGGCCTCCGCCGCGCCGCGTTCTCTTAGCTTAAATAATGCGAGACAGCCCACCGCATATCGCCATGATCTGCTGCCATCTGCATTCGGAACTAACCCGCTGGCGCTTGTCTAACATCCGGCGAGAGGGAGGCAGAGACACAGCAAAAAGTCAAATCTCGTCCAATCGTGCTACTCCAGGCTTCCGTTTGTGAGAGGTTTCCTGTCATTAGTCCTCGTAGCGCCTCATCACTAGTCGTCCAAGACACTTTGCCGGCAAACCCCGGAAGTTCACACAAGAAAAAGAACAAAACTTACAATACGAGATAACAAAGAGACGCCCGCAACGGTCACAGTAACTTCGCCATTGACAATGTCCCCTCAGGGCGACGCCACTACCGATGCGGCAGCATGGCTTGGCCGTTATGAAGACGCCATCGGCATGGACGCCACTGTGCGGCCTGGTTCGCCGGGCCCTGAATCCTGGGTGCCTCTGGCGCCGAACCAACGAATGGCAGCCGCCGGCCCTGGTATAAGCGATAAAGCGTACGATTGACGATTGATGAAGGGGCTTGTGGTAAAGCCCGAACCTACAGCTGCTGCTAACCTATTTCATTCTACCATAGTGCTATCGCCGGCTACCAGTACCAAAAGAGTTGCGGCAACCCTGCCGAGCCGCCAAGCTATTACCATCATGGATCCAAATCTGGACCCCTGTCTCCAAACTCTCCATATCCCAATGCCCGTCTTCGCTCAGACCCGCTCAGGAGCTTCTCCCTCGCGTACCTGATTCACAAGCTTTGTTTGGTGTTCGTGTTTCTATCCATTGCTTTGTTGGTCTCCGGTTTATTACCTATTTATGCCCCCGAAACCCATGCTGTTCCTCACGATGTTTCTCCATCTTCTTCTTCTTCCTCATCTTCTTCTTCCTCCTCTTCTTATTTCCCTTCTAAGACGCAACTACCAGCTCCTCAGCTGGAACAGTTAGCCTTCGTTTCTCACCCTCACACTCTTTTTTCTTATTACATCATGGCTGTTCCAAGCTGGCTCTGGAGGCACGCCTTGGCCTACTCAGCCGTTCTTTCGTCACTCCTTAACCCTACTCACGCCGCTCCTTCTACTCCTCTTTCTGCAACCAACTATGTTGCCAACTCCGTCACAGCCATTCGAGAGCTGAATAATGCATGGTACGATACCGAGACTGGTCTCTGGAACAGTGCCTGGTGGAACAGTGGCAATGCCTTCACCATCTTGGCCGACTTTGCACAGCTGAGACTTAATGAGGCCAACCAGCTCAACGTTGGTGGCTTTCTTCGCAACACCTATAATCAGGCTCAGTTAACCACTGTTAACGTCGCCAAGGTTGTGAATGCCGTGGGTCTTCCCACGTCTACCCATTGCATTAATGGCAAAGGGTGCCATGCCACCGTCTCCTCCTCATCTCTCGAAAAACGGGGGTTTGCTGATTTCCTCGATGACTTCTATGATGATGAGGGATGGTGGGCTCTTGGCCTGATTCATGCCCATGATGCCACTGGGGACCAGGACTACCTCGATTCAGCCATCGAAATCTTCAACGATATGCAAACCGGCGCAGGAACTCCCTGTGGTGGAGGCATCTACTGGAGCAAAGACCGCACCTATGTCAACGCTATCGCTAACGAACTGTATCTTTCTGTTGCCGCTTCCCTTGCCAACCGTGTACCCTCCAATACCACCTATCTTCAGTTGGCAAAGGCTCAGTGGAAGTGGTTCCAGGGCAGCGGCATGATCAACTCCAACAGCCTCATCAACGACGGTCTCGACTCCAACTGCAAGAACAACGGGCTGACCACCTGGTCCTATAACCAGGGCGTTATCCTCGGTGGTCTAAGCGAGCTCGCCCGTGCTACCGGAGAACCATCTTACCTCGCCACCGCCGCTGCCATTGCTAATGCCGCTATCAACACCCTTTCAAATTCGAATGGCATCCTGGTCGAGGCGGACCACTGCGAGCTTGCATCAGGCAACTGTGGCCTGGATGGCCAGCAGTTCAAGGGCGTCTTTATACGCAACCTCCGATACCTCAATGACTTGGCCCCGAACGATAACTTTAAGAATTTCATCCTTCGCAATGCTCAATCCATATGGAACAACGATCGCAACAGCGACAATATGCTCGGCGTCGCCTGGGCGGGCCCATATGTGGCGGCTACGGGGCCGTCCCACAGCAGTGCTCTAGACGCCCTAGTGGCGGCGATTGCTGTTTCATAATTCTATATCTGATCGGCTCTCCGTCTTGGCAACTTGAATTTTTCTGTACTCTCTTTTGTTACTTTTATTCCACGTGAATAGGGCCGTCTGGTGACGACGATATTTCAGGGGTGACAGTCACAGTCGAGCCAGGCGTTTGCTGTGAGTTTGGGGATTTCTCTGATTCTGCATGACGGGCACGCAATCAACCTTTTTTGTGGAAGACATCATTAATGAATAATCATAATGTTGTGAAACAATCTTTTTCGCTTTATCTTCCCCCTTCGCTTGAGGTGATGCCTTAAAATTTGAAATGGGGAACATGGAGAATGTCCCTTGTCACATTGCCATGTTTCATCATGGAGCGTGGCGAGGACATGATTCGCCAGCGATAACTAAGCAATTTTATCACTTTGCCAAGCTTTATGCGACCAGCACAACGCTCCGTGAGTGAAAATGAATACGAGCTTGCATGTAAAAGTGCAAATAGTGAGGGTTAAAAAGTATAACAAGAACACGATAATTAATTAGACCAATGAGGTTTGTCGCCGCGCATAGATTGATAAGCGACGAGGAGAAGAATTAAGCGTTTGGCGAATCCGTCTTTAATATGTCATAGACTGCGTCTAGCGCAAACCGTACTTTATACAAAACGACCATTTTTAACTTTAACCTGTACATTATGAGATGCCAAGAATGTTTATCTGAAAGTTTGGGAAGACTGCTCCGTTTTATATCCATGGAATTGGAGCCTCAAGATACATCGTATAAGTGATGCTCACCAGGTTAAGGAAGGTATCTAATGCATGTAATATACCGTTGCCGCTAGCTCCTTTTCAAGCTTAAACAAATCAAGCTCTGTCACAGCAATCGATACTCAGCAGCTGGCTAAGCTACCCTATAGCGTACAGTCTTTTATACAGTCTACGCACTGTATTTTGTTCCACATTGCACCTCACTGCAGCTTCACAGGATGTGTGCAATGCTAATGTTAGGCCTGATATTCAGGCAGCCGCCAAAGACGCATCAGGCAGCTCAGCAATCAAAATAATCAACTGATATTTGCAGCAATTTTCAGCCAGTTTGACTTGGATTTATTTAGCTGCCTAGCTTCAACAAGCTGCTATACCGTCACCGCTCAGCCGCTTTCATAAAGTGGTGCCTAACGGCCTTTTTCCTGCGTGGAGTTTAAAAAAGGAGATGCTCGGCCAGCATTGCGTCTAGAAAGCATTCGGCGGCAAGCACCTACTACAGTATTATTCGAAATGGACGCCTCGGAGAATGAGATTGACGTGTATTTGCACAAGCATTCCAAGGTCTTGCTCGACGAGTTGGACCAGAGCCTGGTGACTTGTCTGCGGAAACCGGATGGGCGAGGGGGAACTCGTATCCGGCCATGGGTGCGCATCAGGGAGACGCTGAAAGCCACCAGTGTAAGTTTTGTGAGACCAACGGAACAAGAGACATCTGCTGACAATCTACTCTCTGTGTCCTAGGTCTTGGATCAATTCCAGGAACTGCCTCAGCTGCTGGATCCGCATCTGCCCAAATGGATTCCCTTCCTGGCTGAGTCTTACCTGGAGTATCTGCAGACGCGGCATCGCCAGAAGCGCATTCCCGAGCATACGAACAAGCTGCTCGCTCCTTTGGACTACGCCATCTCCCAGATCCTCTACTCGTTCTGCAAGGTGCGCGGCGAGAAGGTCATTGTGCGCTTTCTCAACGTCGAGACCAAGTATCTGGAGCTGATCCTCTCTGCGGTCGAGGAGGCTGAGGCTGAGGCAGACAAAGTGAAGGACAAGAAGCTCGAGCAGACGATCTCTTCTTCTTCTTCTTCTACTTCTGCTTCTTACAAGATATGGTCTTGGGAGCAGCGGTACATTGCGCTGCTTTGGCTTTCTCATCTCTTGTTCGCGCCGTTTGACCTGTCGACTATTTCCTCCGCCGACCTGGACGAAGGTGGCGTACCGCCCATTGCCGGGCTCAGCTGGCCGCCAAACGTGCCGGGTCTTACGATGAGAGTCATCCCCCTTGCCATCAAGTACATTGCCTGCGCGGGAAAAGAACGAGATGCTGCCAAGGCTCTCCTGGTGAGGCTCGCAATGCGGCGGGATATGCAGCAGCTTGGCATTCTTGAGAGCCTTGTGCAGTGGTCGTTGAAGTCACTGCGGCCGCAGAAGGAGGATGAAGTGGACAACCCTTATTTCTACATCGGCGTGCTTTCTTTCCTGGCTGGCATACTGCGCTCTTCGTCTGAAACGTCTTACATGGACAAGTATCTGTCTACCATATTCGAATCCATGCTTGAACTTTCAGCCAGCGAGGATGCAATCTCCAAAGTCATCATGTCTCAAGCGTCAGCACGAAAGATGATGCTCAAGGTTGTCCGCTCACTCGTCGTTTCGCTGCTGCGGAATTCCCGACGGGACATGAAAGCCACCGTCTTGGTGGAGAATGCCATTGGATATTTCCTCGAGAGTCTCTCCGATAACGACACCCCAGTTCGCCTGTCTGCTAGCAAATCGCTTAGTATTATCACGCTCAAGCTAGATCCCGACATGGCATCCCAAGTTGTTGAAGCCGTCCTGGAGTCCCTAAACCGTAACGTGCTTTGGAACAAAACGTCAAGCAAGCCAGGGGCCAACCGAGTTCGCGATTTGTCTGCAGTGAATCCGTTAGAATGGCACGGTCTGATGATGACTCTGTCTCACTTGCTGTATCGAAGATCTCCGCCAGCCAGCCAGCTCTCCGACATCTTCCACTCTCTTCTCTTGGGATTGACGTTTGAGCAGCGTGGTATTTCAGGGGCGAGTGTGGGAGCCAATGTTCGCGACGCGGCCTGTTTTGGAATATGGGCTTTGGCTCGTCGGTACACAACCTCTGAGCTGCTCGCTGTGCCTACCAAGTCTGTCTACGCGGCTAAAGCTCATCCTCCATCGAGTTCTGTTCTACAAGTTCTGGGAACAGAGCTGGTGACAACAGCATCTTTGGACCCAGAGGGAAATATCCGGCGTGGAGCTTCGGCTGCGCTGCAAGAACTTATTGGTCGCCATCCAGATACCGTAGAGCATGGCATTGGAGTCGTCCAGTGTGTGGATTACCATGCCGTAGCCCGGAGATCGCGCGCCGTTCAAGAAGTTGCGCTTGGTGCAACAAGGCTGTCGGGGCAGTACGGCGAGGCTGTTGTTGATGGCATCCTAGGCTGGCGAGGAATTGGCGACATGGATACGACTTCGAGACGAGCTGCTGGCGCTGCATTTGGCACGCTGATGGTAGAATTATCCGATGTAATATCAGAAACGCCATTTGCTCGCTTCGAAGAATCGATCGACTCGGTGATGGACCGCTTGAGCAGCTTGCAAAAGAGACAAGTGGAGGAACGACACGGTTTGCTGGCATGCTTTGCCGGTGTGTTGGATGGTTTACCTGAACTCGCACGCAAGGCTGAGCCAAAGTCTCTGGATCAAGCTACCGTCCGCAAGATTTTAACCCACGTGTCCGCGATTCTTGAAGATTGCAATACCACCGAGTATCGCAAGCCAGAGCTTATTGTGGAAGCAGCAAGCCGTTTGGCTGTATCCTCTCTACCTATCGTACAGCTCGCGTCTTTCAGCGACTTGCCTTATGAGCGTCTTGAAAGGGGAGCTGATATTCTATCTGTGGATAAAACTCATGGATTGCCAGATATCGTCTCTGCTTTTAGCTCGGCTCAGCAGGTTCCTGAAGTTGAGACATTGATTTCCCGGCTACGCAACGTAATTCTAAAATGGCTCAGCAGAAATGAGCAAGAGTCTGTTCAACATGCTTCTGCAGCTGGTCTGATGCTTCTCTTGCTTTCTTCACCCGAACAACGCACTGAAACGTTGGAGCAATGGGCCAAGGTGATCGCAGCCAAGCCTGGAAGCCGTGCAGCAGCAACTGGCAATGGATACTATCACGTCATGGCCATGGCGCAGCCCCTTGCTCACAGCTCACAGGACGATGTTAGTGGAAACGACATTGTATGTGCTGCGTTCCTCGAACGATGGAGAGTTGATAGCGAGATTGAAACTAGAGTTTCTATTCTGCAAAGTCTTCTGAGCAGCCGTATTCTCAGTGACAAGCCAACTGTCTTCTTGGACCTTCTTGCGGATGGACTGAACGATTATACAACAACAGCTAGAGGTGATGAAGGTTCCTTGGTGCGATTTCAGACTCTCAAAGCCATCACAGTTCTGTGGGGAGATATTGGCCGTCCCGATGCTCAAGGAGACTGGGTGGCGGCATCTGTTCGGAAACTGATTCACAATATTCTGCGGCTCTCTGCTGAGAAGCTGGACCGAGTGCGCCGTGTGGCCAAGGATGTTATTGCGCTACTCATGAACGAAGGGTAAGTTTCTTTTCTTTTATCTAAATTAGCATTTATGAAGTCGAGCAAACTTTTTGGGGATATGGTGCTAATTGTGAGACTCTTATCTTCATTCTCTAGTGATGTTGATGAACTTAAGGACTCGATTCAACCATCTAGAAAGACGTATCTCACCAACCACCTGAGTTTCTCATCAAAGGCCTACTTTTCTCTACTCTTGGACCTCATCCACAAGGACTCTCTACACAAGCACATAATGGACATAGTCAAAGACGATACAAACGCCTGGATGGCCGGCCTCATGGCCGGGTACGTATCCTCAGCAGACACAGGCAACGAAGACCTCATCATCGACAGCCGCGCAGCCCTCACAGACTACTGCGAGCAATCGCCCGAGAAGCTGCAGCTAGTCTGCTCCGCGCTGCTGCACAACCTAAAGACCTGCCAGGGCGAAGACCGAATCATTGTGCCAACTCTGGAGATCATCGCGTTCCTCTTCCACGTGGGACTCTTCCAGCGCTGCAAAGGCATCAATTACCGTAGTCTCTGCTTGCAGACCCAAAAGGCGGGATACAAGACTGGAAACGTGCGCAAAGTCGCGGCCTGCATCAAGGTTTACGGCGGAATTGCTGCTGCTGGGGCTGAAAGCGCCGGAGACAACGTTGAGATTGGCGTAAAGGATGCCCGCAAGAGGCTCGGCGCGCTCATGTCTCACCCGTGGCCGCGAATCCGCAGCGCGGTGGTTGATGAGATATGGGGGCTTGTGGATAGTGGAGAGCTGGCTGCGGATGGGCATGAAGACGGGCATGGTTTGACGGGCGTCGATTGGACGAGCGCGGATAAGAGTCGGGTCAAGACATTGGTGACAGAGCTGAAGTTGGAGTAGACGGCATAGATGCAGTAGAAGTTGCAAATAAAGCGTCTGGATTAATATGCCACGATGTGCCAAACTTATTTATCCGGTGATGTTGACGTGGCTTGTTTAATGAACGTGGCAGACAACGTATCACGTATATTGCATTCTCCAGTTACACATAGTATCACCTCTAGATGGACTGCTATGCTTCTTTATGGCTTGATGGACATTGTGAAGCGCTGTATTGGAACCGGCCGGTTTCAAGACTGCGACTTGCAAACTACAGCAAGTAGCTCGATGATGAGGCATCTCTATAGACATGAGCATTTTGATTTGCGTATGTAAAAGTAAAGATTTCTAATCACGTAGACAAAGAGAGTACAGAGAGATCCATCCAAGTCTGATCCCAGCTGACCAAGACAGTTGATGCTGAATCTCATAGAGAACGACCTCACAAAGAGTGGTTAAACCATGTTGTATGCCAGAGCTTATTCCATATAGCCAACCTTGGTTCTATTTTGTCGTTCCTATCTGCCGTAGTCAACTCTTACAGATGGCCAACGACAAATCTAGGAATAATATGAAAAGAGATTGAGAAACATTGATAGCAGTGCGGCGGCGCATGTTCAGCAGGTCTACAAAACTTTGCCAAATCGAGATCTGTTGGGCTGCCAGCATACTGAGATAAGCCACCATGATATGAATGGTGACTAGCCATTTCAGCTTTGGCAACAGTCAATCAGGAAATACGCTAGAAACAACTAGATCACCGTCTTGCAAAAGCCATTCATAGGAACAGCCAGCCTTCTTCTTCACACCACCAGCGAACAAACTATTACCACCAGCCCTACGATAGTTTACTAGGGCTAAAAGACACATCATGACCCCAGCCGCCTTCTACAGCATGCTTCTCGGCCAAATTTATCCTGTAACTCAGGGGAGGAGACAGCGGAACAAGCCACGGCCAACGGTCAAAACGACTCGGCACAGCAAACCCGAATATTTCAAAAGTTCCCCTTTCGATTCCCTGCGTGCGAAATCCAAAACTGTAACGCCCCTTGCTTGGGATAAGCCAGGGTCAAAGATAACCGTTTGTTTTCAGAAAAGAAGATCAAAAGCCACGTTGGGCGAGCTGAACTCTGAGGCCCAGGATATGGCATCATATCAGGATAGCCCCCCAACTAAAGGACGGCACATATCTTTCACCAACGTCTGAATGAATCATGACCATCGTTGGGCGCTCAGGGCTGAACGAGATGTGGAGAACAGCTAAATGAGGGGACCTATTTCTGGCCTACCCCAGATATTCGTATCGTGAATAGCGGTCAGTAGTTTGGGAGATCAATTGCCACACAACCACATAGCAACTCAGCAATCAGCGCCTAGGTAGATTAGGTTTCGTCGCTACTCCGGAAAAGCCAAGGGGCCAATAACGCATATTGCAAAACGAAGCACGACTCATGTAGCTCGTGTTATTTGGGCGGCCTGCCTGTCGTTGGCGCTCTCGTAATTTGACGCCACACATATAGAACATCTCTAGCTGGCTTCTGGCCAAAAGTCAAACCCCTCTAGCTTTCTGCGGCTGAACGACTTAACGCAACATTGTGCTGATTCTCTTGGGCGAGCGCGCCGGATACAGCACTGTACTTACCTAACAAGTGTCAATAAACTGGAAACTTACCGGCACTAAACACAAAAGTTTATGAATCAGGTTTCTGACAGCATTGACAGCAGCCTTGTCGTGTGGGGGACGATGGAATGCAGCACTTGATCCTAGCACTAGCACAGTACCACACAAACTAGATCCAATAGCCTTTCACTTCGCTCATGAGACAACGCAGGGTGATTATTCTCCAACAATTCACACGTGGGAGTGAGAGCTGTTGGTCGGTTGGCGGCAAAGGTGCGCCCACTCCAGGATTTTGGTGGACTAGGATGGCCGTTATCCTTCCTGCAGGGATTGGATCTTTGGGGGCGGGATTCTCGCTTGCACTGGACAGGATATACAGTACTACTACTGCAGCAGCATCTCAGCCAGAAGAGGATGGAGGCGTTGATAAGAGCCGCGCCCAGGCCAGACTGGTGCTATTCCGCGCCGCGTATCTTTCGACACATGACGGCAGAGCTGGGTCTAGACCTGTAAGAACTGCATGGAGAGGCGAGCTTAGAAGTATCTCGCCCTAGAACTATTAGCTTGGTGCGACCGCCACCGAGAGTCCTTTTAGGCTGGAGATCGAAAGGATGAAATGCAAGCCGCCCGATGCGGTAGACAGTCAAAGACAGTGTTATCGGGTGGGATGGTCTCCAGACAAGGCTCTAGGCACCCATGAATTGAAACGCGCGAGCTGCAGCCGGCCGACGATCGTTGAAGCAATGGCGCTCTCTAAGTGTCTCTCATGCGGCCGCCCACTGCACGCTTTCGCGGTTAGAGAAGCCACAGGGAGTTCTAGGTTCTGATATCGAAGGGCTTCTGCTTCTAGGCCGGGGGTAGTACTCCGAGCAACCAGCTCTATGAACGCATGGCTGATGCTGATCAGAATTTTAGGCTCTAGGATCCCAGAGCAGGTGGCTTAATAAGGAAATCAACCGCGGTGTCTCACTGCAGTCTCAAGGCTTTTGCACAGACGTCCCTGTTGAATGATGGAGATCGCGTCTATCCCATAATATCATCCGCCTAAGAAGAGCGCCCGCTGAGATCAATTTTTATGGAGAATCGCCAGGGTGACAAACCTGGTGTTGGCGGTAACTACCGCCTCTGATGATGATTTCTGGCCCTCTTCTGATAAAGGGGTCAATAGCAACCGCCCCCGTTCATTCTGTACATGCTAGCCATTGCACATAGTAAAGAGAAGAAGAAAAAAATCTGATAGTCACAGCATATGGTTCGGAGCCAGAACGGTGTGGCGCCTCTTAGAGCGCCTCAAACAGTGATGGAAGTGGAGAGGTAAAAACGGAAGAAGCAGGTCACCATTTCCGATTTTGGCGTAGATGAATGAAGAGTCGAGCCGCGGATTGGTACAGTAGTAGTCTCACATTGGGCTTGACGCTTTTAGACGCGGCCTTTTGAATGTTATTTGTTGGGCGCAGCTCTCTATCAATGAAGCCATTACCGGCCAACAGCAAACAGCAGCAACGCCACGAACAACAATAACGCAATGATGTCGCATTGTCAATGTAAGCTAAGAAGAGCACAATAGCATATGAGCATGTATAGTACTCTTGCAAAAAAAAAAAAAAACGTGAAGGAATCATCTCGCACGAGAAGCGCGTCGGTCCGGCGGATGGAAATTTTCAGTCTTTTGGTGGCGTCAAAGGGCTGTGTCTCATTAGCCAAGATGCCATTCTCTGATTGATATCAGAGGCGTTTCCTCCATTGCCGACTGCAATTGCCGGGCTGTTTGTTAGTAATGAAGATGCTGACAGGCAGTGTCACGTGCGCTTCAAGATTAAACTTCTTATAGCAAACTGGCTGGTGGATGAGATGAGATGAGACGAGGTGATAGAGCTGCTGCGGTGTATCTCGGGTTGGAAATAAGCTGAAGATGCTCACGCAGCCACTGCTTGATTGGCAAGTTCGTACTCGGCGAGATGGCCCGAGTTAGGTTGGCCGGTAAAAGGGGCCAGACAAATCATGGCGTCCCTTGGCTGCAGAATCGGAAACGCAGATAAAAAAAGATGACAGCTCTGGTGCCTTCCCTTGGGATTGATGTATGTACTTACTGACTGTACACGTATGTACGAAAGCACGGCAAGACTCCATAAAACGACATGGAACCGTAATACCGCACCGTTGGCCCTAACACGTCGGACCGCTCCCCTCCTACATGCAACGCCTCATATCCGGCCCTCTCAGCCTCCGCAACCAGAAATGAGACGGGATGGATGATACCGGCGCATCAGGCCGAAATCCTGGCTCAGCTCCGTCGCAACGGTGGATCGGGATTTGATAGGTAAGATAGGCGATTATGTGCAAGGATGGCGCAGCCTGTGGCAGTGGAGGGATGGCGTACAGGACAAGGAGAAGCTTCTGGGAGGCGAGGCGAAAGGGGAGCAATGGATTACTAAGGAGTCTTGTCCGCGTTGGTGCGTCCGGTGCTACTTGCGACGGCCACGTGACGGAGATAGCCGCTTTGCGGTAGCAGCGCGGGAGGGCGCTAACATTTCGTGTTGTCAGATAGCGGGAGGAGCAAGTACCTACCTGCGGACGTTGACAGGGCGGCAGGCACCTCGTTTAGGTAATTGCCCAGTGACATCTGCCACCCAGCCAAGAGAAATGGATTCATGCTTAATGGGCCATTGAGATGATGAGAGAAGAGCGCCAAGCAAACTGGTACAGTACATACTCCGCGCATGCTCCATTTTTGATATGACAGCTACATGCAAGTATACATACATTACCTTATCGATCGCCAAAGCGGATAATGCTGCTGCCTAGCGATTGCCGGACGCATTGATTGTGATGTCGCCCTGCTTTTTTATATCTCATTTCTTAGCTTTGCTGCAAAAACCGCCACTTCGGGCCCTTTGTATCATGATGTAAGCAGACGCTATAGGCACAATCCCTCTCAGATACACCAACTTACTCAGGTGTTCTACATGCGGTGCCAAGCACGTCTTTGCCACAGAATGATAACGGTCGAGTATAGCTCTTACATGCTCAGACCCTGGGCCCCGCTCACCAATCAACTCACCAGTTATGACGTACTTTGCGTGTCCACAGCCCGAGCTTTTTCGGCCGATATGAATGGTGAAGGGGGTGGCAGAAACAGCTGGAAAGAAAACGACCAAATTTTTTTCAATCAGGGGGGGTTTCTCGCTTGTAATTCAAATCCCGGTTTAAGGAAGAAAATAACTACGAGCCCCGGATCTCTAGTTCGTCGGGATAAATGATTAGGGTATAGCTTGCCGGCGCCCGCATGTGCATATACATTAGAGCACCGGCTAAGTTTTGCGCTCACCGCATCGCTATCGCATCCCTCCCAGACTCAATTTTCCGTCGTGCTGCAGAGGCGTGAAGAAAAACTGCAGAAAAAAAGGACAAGGTACATACATGCTAATAACGTATAGTGTCCTACTTGATGTGCATGTTGGGAAGGGGTGTATGTCTACACTACTGTGCTGCAATTTTTCTTAAACTGCTACTGTAAGTGCTCTTTGAAAAGAGCTGCCTGATTTAGTCTTCTTTTGTAAAAGCCCGTCTCTGTTGGCTCGGTGTCCAGAACTGGGTAACGCTTAAAGGGACCCGCGCTCGATCATTATCGCGATCTCATCGCACAAGATGCGCGGTAGGAAAAAAAAAAAGCAAAAAAAATGGCTCTCATCACCTCTCGGGTCCTTGGTTCACGGACCCAGCGGGGGATGAGCTTCACCCAAAGCCCACCCACTTGGAGGGTTCTCGGCCCTGACCCGAGGCTGCTCCGTGCGCCGTAGGGAGGGTCCTCCGTGGCCTCGGCTCCTCCCAGCGCTCTGGCACGCGTGCGTCTTTGCTCGCCTCGCAGTTCGCCAGTAGTATCCTTGGTGCTGATTGACGGCTGGGTCCCCTCAGCCCCAGAAGGCGGACTTGGGGACTCCGGCCAATCTCGAGCTGCTGGGATGACTCTGTGGTGGGGGCAGCTATGCCTCGTACACAGAATGTGCTGCAGAGACTGGGCAGCGCTCATTATTAGAGTCGCATGCGCTGCACTGCACAGTAGAGTATACCGTAGGCATTGTCGATGCATGGCTCACACACACAGTGAATCCCCTCGCCTCGCCTCGCCTCGCCTCTCCATCCAGAGATCAGCAGAAGCTGAGCCTGCAGGAATCGCACGTACATACCTCGTGCGCATGTGATTCGCTGTACCACGGCCGCCACCCACTGCTGCTACATGATACAGGGCGGTGTCTGGGGTTGCCATGAAATCCCTTGCCTGACGCTTTCAGGTCCCTCGGTGCCGTGCCTTTCTCTCGCAATCGCCAAAAAAAGTCAACCACGCACAAGCAGCGCCCCAGCATTCCGGCTGTCACAGCGTTGCCCGTCCAAAAAAAGAACTCTGCGCCGCTCAGGCCACCCTCTCGATCGTGTGGCCTCGTGGCCAGCCGCCGCCGTCCGAACTCTGCACGGGTCACCATGTGTGCGTGTATGTACTGTGTAACCTTGGGCCAGTGACGCAGGTACTTGTCCATCCCGCCGGATGCATATGGCGGCGCTAGGTTCCTGCAGGCAATGATCCTCGTACTCCATACTTTTGCGCGGCCTATCGCTAGCCCCAGCGAAGGGACTGTATGTCTCAGATACCTACCTTGTGCGGAGCCCAGCGACAGTGCTCCGTAATCCTGCAGTATTCATCTCAAATAACTCGAGGCGGGCATGTCACAGCCCAGGAGCGTGTCATCACCGCCGTCAATCGGCTGCGAGAATGACCTGATACAGTTCTGCAACGCCGTTTTTATCGAAGATGACCAGCACTCCTGCTTGAAAGGATCGATAGACTGTATCAAAATTACCCAAGTGGTTGGCGTTGTTGCAACCGTTAGCGGCACATAGGTACTGTACCTACTAAGGTACGAACGATAGTGACAGTTCCTCGTACCTCCCTGATGCAGATATGACGGATGCCGGCCGAGATAGCAATCCTCAAGCATCCAGATAGGACCAAGATAGGGACTTTTGCGTGGGTTGGTAGTACGATGATACGAGTGAAGCGACATGCACGCCTAAATGACATTGATTACTGCGTACGGATAAAGGCAGTAAGCCGAGGATTTGCACATGGCCATGAGGCTTGCAGGCGCGCAGCACAGGCCGGACGACTGATTGATTACTGGTAACATGATAAAATCTGTGGTAGAGGGAGAGCGAGAGCGCGAGGGTCCTATCTCGCTCTCGCGCGTATCTTCCTCGCCCTGTTCCGTATCATTCGAACAGGCCATTTTGTCTTTGCACAAGTTTGATAGGGTCGGCGACCACAGCAGAATGGCTGCCTCTTGTGGCTTTGTGGCTTTGTATCAAACCACAAACGCTTCTTCCCCCTCCCCCCTCCGGCTGTGAGAATGCAAAATTTTTAATCGCAGCCGAACTTCGACCGGGTTATCCATAATTCTGGCGCGCATGGCGTCAGGTCAAGCCGTCTTGATAATCTCTTTTGGGCAGAGCCCTTCACTGCGACCTTGCTCTTGGCCGGTTTTACAGTGTGTAAATCAATCGCCCTTGGCCTCGCAAACGAACGGATATCCCACCACCCACCAGCTTTGCGTCAGCTCCCTTTCGGCACCGAGTCCAGTCGGGTCGAGTACGGGGTAAGCTCCCAGGCGTCTGGCGGACTAGGTACGAAGGCTCCAATCAGAGGGCGAGAGATGTCGCTGTCGGTGGCCAATATCGCAATGAATGGGTCCTGGAGTCAAAGATGCTACTGCGCACTAGAGCTAGAGATTAAAAAAAAAAAAAAAAACTGGACTGGCTACACAGGGCCGGGACCCCCCCTCTTCTGGTGCACCGAAGGCTTGCAGCTGGGAACAGGAGGCCAAGATTTGCCCGAGAGGGAGGGAGGGCAGGGGAGGGGGCTCTGCATCTCGCGCATGGCACCTTGGAGGGGTCCAAGAATTTGCGGTCATCTTCATCCGTCTTTCTTTTGACGCTTGAGTACTAATGTAAGTACACTAATACTTGGCAGATAAAGAATGCCAAGAACGCTTTTTGGAATCAAACATGTACATAGGTATGTATAGATCTCCGTACTAGGTAGTACTAATGTACTGTGCTGTCAATAGGTACTTGGTCCAATAGCTACTCCACAGCTCGATCGACCTGCTTATTCAGAGGTCGGAGACAAGGAAATCAATCAGAATGGCACTAACAGCTCCGCTGAATGGCCTGGGAAACAGGGACTCGGGACCGCGCCATTGGGGCACGCCTCCTTGTGCTATTGTGCTCCGTACTGCGTCTGCTGGTGGTGGCACTAAGCAGGTACATGTGGCAGGTGGGCAATGCTACTGAATGGCATTTTAGCGGCCACGCCGCCATGAGACAAAGGACAGGCACCGCCCATTCTATTGATTGGAACGAAAAAGCCCCTAAGAATAAATGTATCTCGGCAAGTATTGTCAACAGCGCCAGTCGTAGCAGTACCTGCGTCTCTCCCAATTCTGCATTACAGTTAGTACTAACTAACCTACTAACCCCTTGCCCTCATTCTCATTGCCTGAATAACAACTAGTAGGTATAGTACCTATTGCATATGGCTCATCACAGGGACAGTGATGGTGCTACCTGTATGTAGTATTCCCTAGTACTGTACCTTATAATACGGAGTGCATGCACGCATGGAGCGTCCCTTGTCTGGACCATGTAGGCCGATGGAGCATGTGCATGTAGCTAATATCGCCTTGCAGCTGCTGCTTTTGCTAGTGCTGAAATCTCGATGCCTCCCCCCGTCGCGGCTAATTGGCGGCGACGTTGTTCAATTCGTTCAATTCGACACCAAAAGCGATGCGCAGCAATCGCTGGCACAGCCAGCCACAACGTCCCGCCAGAGGCCAGCCCCGGTGCGTGGCAGGTACTCCATCCATGTACCAGTACCCGCTTTCTCTAGCACCTGCGGCTAGCAGCGACTAGGCGGTACCTGCTGGGATTGCCTCGCCCGCCACCGCATCCGGGGCGCTGCCCTTTTCAGGTCCCGGCCTGTTATCGACGCTCCGACTGTGTGTGTCTTGGCCCTTTCTTTTTGCCTTCCGACTCGCTTTGCCTTTGTGCATCCCATACATCCAGCTGCCAATCCCCTCCATCCGTGCTAAATTAAAACTCTTCCTACCAACTGCAACTGCTGCAACGACTCCTGCTGCTACGCACCTCTTGCATACATCATTCCGGCTCCGCCTCTCTACTGCTGCTGGTCTCTCTTCTCTTCTCTTCTTCTTCTCCCCCATACACAGCGTCGACTTTCTTCAGCCAGCCCCACGTACAACGCATTCGTCGGCCTCTCTACCCTCATCCGCAGTCGCTCTGATACTCTCTGATACTCTCTGATACTCCCTCATTGCCATACCGCCGCCCAGATCGCCCTTATCCCACCGATGTAACCACTGTCTGCGGCCGCTATAACTTGCAGCGTTCATGCAGCAACCCCCCCGAATCCCACTATCCGCCAGCACAGCGCACCCGCCTGCAGACGCAGAGCAGCGGCCTCATGCCCTGGTAGACTCGCAGCACAGAAACTCCGTGCGCCGGTTGCCCATCTTGACGCCGCCATAACAACGACAATCTCGAATCCGACGACCGCCGACCTCGCGATATAGCCTCGACCACTACCGCGCCCTCCTTTTCCCTCCCTCCTCGCTCGTCGAGCCCTCTGCGGAGGTCGACGGGCGCGGGCCCTTTGCTGCAAAGAGTCCGCCATGTCCATCTACTCAGACCCGCCGGCGCTGCGAGACTTTTCGCAGGACAAGCCTTCGCTGCTGGTCTGCTGGTGGGCCACCATCTTCTGCGCCCTCATGATCCTGTTGCGAATCGTCGGCCGCTTCATCCGAACCGAAAAGCTCTTTGCCGAAGACAAATTCGCCGCAGTTGCCTTGATTCCCTTGTTTCTGCGCATGGGATGCGTCCACTTTATCCTCGTCAATGGAACTAACAATGCCGACTTCACCGGAGTCACCCTCACTCCCGAAGAACTCCGAAAGAAATCCATAGCCAGCGGCCTGGTGCTTCTCAGCCGTGTTCTCTACGCCGCGACGTAAGTTTTGTTCATTCGATTTATGCATTTGCAGGTTTTTTTTTTTTTCTACTTTTCTTCTTCTTTTCCTTTATAGCTCTTGATTGGGCTGGCTTTGTGTTGGCGCAGGGAAATCTCAATCATACTACGCAAAGTGAGACAATCGACGCTGACCCTCTTTGGATTTAGCCTATGGATTCTCAAGGGCACAATACTCGAGTTTCTAAAACGAATCGCCGAAAGCACCTGGCAGCGAACCCATCACTACACCCTCATCGCCATCCGATGCTCCCTCGGCCTCACCTTCATCGCCGTTGTCATTAGCGATCTCGCCGAGTGCAACCCCTTTAGACATTACTGGCAAGTCTTGCCTGACCCGGGTGGTCAGTGTCGCCAAGGCTATGTCCAGCTCATCACCATGGCCGCCTGCAACATCCTCACCGACCTGATGCTCGTCATCTTTCCCATCCCCATCATTGTCCAGAGCAACATGCAGTTTCGCAGGAAGCTGCAGCTCCTCATTCTATTTTCTCTCAGCTTGTCCGTTGTGGCAGTCACCATCTACAGAGTTCCGCACACCATGGACGTCAACGGCCGACAACAGTACCGGTCTCTGCTTGCTTCCGTCGAGTTGATTTTCGCAACTGCAGCCGCAAATGCCCTCGTTTTGGGCTCCTTTGTCCGAGATCGAGGTGTCAAGAAGCAGAAGCCCAGACGAACTTCCACCGCTGCCGAGTCGTTTGAACGGAGCGCCACCGTTCGAAGGCCAACTATCCATCGGCAGTGGGGCAGCGACGAAGATTTGGTCAGAGACCTTGGCTTGACCGTCGAGCCCGAACTTCGGGAGCAACAAGATAGCCCGTCATCTGATCTGTACGCGCCAATTAGACAAATGCGTTCTGTCGAGCATGAATCCGAACAGTGGCATAATCAACAGGAGGAGGAACATGAGCAAGCAGATAGCGCACATAGCGCAGATAGCGCCCCGGAAAGCGCAAAGGCAAGCCAAGACCTGCTGATATACAAGACCGAATCCCGGACCGAATCCCAGCACGAGTCAAGGAAACTCTCCTTATTTGATGTCGGCGGCCTCCTTGAAGATGGTCCTGGTACGAGCAGCGGGAGCTACCGAAGAGGCAGCAGCTTTACTTCCTCTTCCATGGAAGCCAGCACCTCCCAAACTGCCCCCCCGGCGTCTAGAAAGGCCAGCGTAAACGGTGTCCGGCGTGGATCAACTGCGCTGCTACAAGATCTGGGCGGACTTCTAGGTCCCCTGAACTCAAAGTCGTCAGTGCGGTCAAAACACCGAACCGGAACCGAGCTGCAGCCAATCCAACAATCTCACCAAGAGCATCATGCCTCCCAAAATGAAGGCTCTGATCTTGTTCTCAATGACCCTGGTGGCCTCTTGCGATTGTGAACAAGACTTATTTCTCCTACGGCAACCGCACCCACTTGCCTTCTATCTAATTCGAAACATGACGGCCTAATCTACGACTTGAATCACGAATGTCTTTACTTCTATTCTGAGAAATAATTTGTTTATTTCTCATGTTTTCTTTTCTCTGCTATATCTTTAGACACGACTCGTCAGGCAATGGCGTTTATGGGGTTATTCCCTTTTATACACCTATACATATATATACCTACATATATACACGGCACCTTTTTCTCTCCCGCCCTTTTATCTTATACTTGGCGTCGAAAATCAACGATACCTATGGGAGGGAACGATGGAGCCTTCTTTATTTTTCTGCGTCAAGTGCTTAGACAAAGGGCGTGAGACAATTTGGAGCCGGTGGAACTTGGCGGCTACTACTTGATCTTTTTTACGAGTTATTTTCTTCTTCTTTTTTTTTTTTTTTTTGTTTTGGTACTTGGTTGCATATACCCCGGTGACAAGCACCGTTTTTGCCAAGAGATGTATCTGTATCTGTATGTGTATTCCCTGAACATTGGGAAAGATGTTGGACAGTGGGATGATGAAGGAACGGCAGTGAGAGATAGCTATAGCTATACGTTGAAGAATTGAAATACCAATTGAAACGTACCTTGTGTGCTTGAGAATGAACAAGTGACTGGATGTGTCTGGTGCTTTTAGCCTACCAAAAATTGTAACGTAACGTGGTCATATGTAACTACTCCGTATGAATGTGCATGTGCTTCAAATGAATGGACCTGATTTAACTCAGATGCTTGTTTTGGCCTTTTAAGCACTTATAACTTGTAGCCGTACATGAGAACATGCCTTTCTTTACTGTTAGCTACTTTATATACACATATCATTAGAACTCGACTTGGCCTTCTTCAAACATAGGAATTTTGTAGCCATAATTTGGACAATTGCAAGTCATATTTGTGAAGATGTATAGACGTTGGTATTTTTATTTAATTTGGTTGGTTTTTTCTCGTGATTCTAATAATTAAGTGTTCCCCCCAAAAACGCCAGCTTTCACTCTGCAAATGCAAAACATTATGTCAAAAACAGCATTCCGTCCGCTGCTCACTTCTGCTGCTCCTCGAGTCGACTTGGTCCAACTTGAGCTTTTTCTTGTCCCATCTTGTCCTTTCCTTGTTCCTCTTCTGATGCACGCAAAATTGAGAAGCCCACTTCGGTCCAAATTTGTGCATTGCCAACTCTCTTCCCCTCTTTCATCTTGACCGTTACACACTCCCCAATGGGAAAGTCCTTAGACACACAGCCGGTAACTGGCATATCGACCGGCCGTCTCACTAACACGGATAATCTTGACGACCTGTCCCCTCTTGAGTCCTAGATACCTCGCCACGGGATCCTTCTGCAGAATACGCGGCAGCTGCGTCTCCTTCAGGCGGTATCTCTTCAGCAGCGCAATCTTCTCCTCCCTGGAGAGCAGCACGTGCCGCGGCACCAGCTCGTGGTGCGTAATGTTGACCAGCAGGTCGTCCTCGAGGAAGCACTCAATCTTGGCGAGATTCTCCACGGAGGCGAGGGACTTGCGGGCGGCGGGCGAGAGGGCCACAGGGGTCACCATGATTCCCGTCTTGTAGTTGTTGGTGATTGTGTACTTTGCAAAGTTGCGGATCTGCGAGACACCGAACTGCTTGTCGGTCAGGAACTCGACCCAGATGGGGCCGCAGTCGGGCACGGGGTCTGGGTTGGAGGCTGTGGCGGGAGGGGTGTTCTTGCGGAGCATGGAGTCGCTTGGGCGGGCGGAGAATTGGAGTTTGGCGCGGCTGTTTGGTAGAACGTTAGCTTTGCTTTTGCTTTTTTTTTTTTTTATATAGACATCGGGATCGGGTATATAGCTGATGTCAGGCAAGTTTGCTGCTTTAAGAATAGTAAGAAGGGGGCTGAGAGTCGTACTTTACGCTGCCGTCGGGGTGGCAGTACTCGTCGCGGAATCGCTCCAGAGAGATGCTAACTTCGTCCTCGGCAAGCTCATACTCCTATCAACGGGGCAGAACGACGGGTTAGCCAAATTGTCATGGAAGGACGAGAAAGAAAGAGACAAAAAGACGAGGAGAAAAGAATCAGATCGTTTGTGCAAAAGAGCGTACCCGATCCGCAACCATCTCGTGAACAGTCCTCCACGCGCGCCAGAGTCTCACGACCTCTTTGGACTTGGCATCGTTGGGCAAATCGTCAATCATCTTGGAATCGTGTATTTATTTATCCGACGACTTGTTTCTTCGAGAGCGGGCGTTTATGCGACTAGAAATCTGACCAAAGGGAGCAAGGGCTGCGTGTTGTCGTGACCGGAGTCCTTTTTGCTTCGTCGAGTTTCCGCTTGTCGGGGAGAACTGCGGTCGTTCAAAAATTGTTTGCGCAGCCTTGCATTGGCTTGGCTTGGCTGGAACGATTAGCTGAGACGGCGGGAGCTGATAAGGAATTGTCATGTGACTCTGCTGATAAACTCGGAGTTGTATTAGCTAAGCAGCTCTCGACGGCGCTTAGTAACGCTCGAGTCAGTGCCAAGGTAGTTCTTTCAAAGGGTCTTTTCTCTCTGGATTATGGGACAGTTAAGCCCTTTTCCCAACAGAAAGACCGCCCAAACAGATAAAATTGAGGCATAAATGATACTGGAGTCCCTTCCAAAGTGTAATTGTTGATGTCCCGGTTTATTGCAAAGCATCACTGTCCAGCGGTTGGGGAATTTTACTTTCCTCACAGGACACTTGCAGGCTGCTTCTCCAAAGTATAGCAGCTGGAGATCCCCAAAATCCCCCACTAAATCCCACTCCGCCAAAGCAAAACCATCCATGCTAATTGCCGCCTTAAGAGCTTCAGCAAACTCACTAAATCCCCTCACTAAAGCTGCGCGGTCTGGTCAATGGTTTAGTGGGCGTTACAGCAGCTAAGCCGCTAAAGCAAACCATCTCAGGCGCCTGTAAAACACTGAGTTTGTGGCGGTTATTGTGTTCGGGCCCATCCGTTCGTCTGTAGTTTTGTCCCTTACCGTGGGAGGGACATGGGATAGAATTATTTTTTTTTTTTTACTATTGGTGGGGACCCCAGCAAAAAACGTGGTGGTCAAGGGCATTTTTTTGTGCCAACCTTAGTAAATTCAACCACCAAAGTCCCTAATTGGTGTGTTGTCTGCTTCGGCTTTATTTTTTTCTCTCCTCTTCTCCCTCTCCTGTCCACACCCACCTTCAAATCCCTTCCCTCTCGCCTCCATTCTGCTCTCCGTAGAGAGACTGCGACGGCTTCGTCTTTCTTGTTTTCTTCCTCCCACGTTTCGACTCTCTGATTCACACAATGGCTGCTGCTGTCGCTGCTCCCGCCGCCGAGGCCGCTCCTGCGCCGAGCGTTCGCCCGACTCGCCCCGATGAGAAGGTCTTTAAGGAGGAGCTCGCCAAGGCCGAGAAGGAGCACAAGGCTTCCATGGACAAGTTTGTATGTGTGGCTTGGCTGCTCTTTTCTTTGTAGCAATGCGCGTTCCTGCTTTCGATTCCGGGGTAGCTGCATGACTGCAGCCTTCTATAAGAGGACTTTCGATTTTCCATCTTTGTCACCAGGCAATTTACTCTCTCAGCTGCTCCGAAGCCACAGATTGGTGCATGAGAAGAGCATAAAAAGAGGGAAAAGGAAGAAAAATCATGAAACAAAGAAGGACAGAGCAGAGAATATGCGTCATTCAGGCAAATTGGACATGTGCTAACTGCAGCCTTATAGAACGCCATCAAGGCCAAGATCGATGTTGCCCTCCCCAACAAGAACAAGGACCAGCCCAGCCCGACCCAGAAGCGCCGCCAGGAACTCATTGCCCAGGCCAACGAGATCCGCCAGAAGCAAGCCGGTGGAAAGAATGCTCGCACCTCCAAGCTGGACCAGATCAAGCGCCTCGACGAGCAGCTCCGCAACCGCATTGCTGAGCAGAAGACCGCCAAGGCCAAGGTTCCCTTCAAGAGCGTCGAGGATGTCGACCGCCAGATTGAGAGCCTCGAGAAGCAGGTCAACTCCGGCACCATGAAGCTCGTCGATGAGAAGAAGGCCCTGACCGACGTCTCCAACCTGCGCAAGATCCGCAAGAACTTTGGCCAGTTTGACGAGTCTCAGAAGCAGATTGACGACCTCAAGGCCAAGATCAAGGAGATCAAGGACACCATGGAGGACCCCGAGCAGAAGGCCATGTCTGAGCAGTACAACAAGATCCAGGCTGAGCTCGACACCATCAAGGCCGAGCAGGATGAGGCTTATAAGAACCTGTCTTCCCTGCGTGACGAGCGCACCAAGCTGCAGGCCGAGCAGCAGGAGAAGTTTGCTGCCATCCGCAAGCTCAAGGACGACTACTACGGCCAGAAGAAGGCTTTCCAGGCCTACGAGCGCGAGGCTCGTGAGAAGCAGCGAGAGCGCCAGCGCGCCGAGCGTGAGCGCTACCTCAATGAGCGCAAGAAGGCCGAGGCCGAGCGTGTCCTCGCCGAGGCCAGCGAGCCCGCCTACCTGGACGAGATCCGCCGCGCCAACAGCCTGCTCCAGTTCCTCGACCCCACCTTCAAGGCCGAGAAGACCCCTCTGTTGGCCAACTCTGGCCTGACCGCCCAGGCCCAGCGAACTGTCGACGAGTCTGGCCTCAAGGGCACCAAGCTTGTCCGCAAGGAGGACCGCGACGACGAGTATGCCCCCGCCCAGACCAAGGGCAAGAAGGGCAAGAAGGGCAACTCCGGCGGTGCTGCCCAGAAGGGCTTCAACTGCCCTCCTTCGGTTGTCGAGGACTGCTCGTTCCTTAGCCTTGATCCCCCTATGAGCGCCGCTGATGTCCCCAGCGTCATTGAGAAGGTCAAGGCCAAGCTTGAGCACTGGAAGGAGGACCAGGCCGCCCAGACCCAGCGTGTAAGTGCTACTTTACTTTTCATCTTCTACATATTCGCCCACTCTGTCATGTGTTTCCTGGCTAATCCTTTCAACCTAAACAGAACATCGAGAAGGCCAAGAAGAAGCTTGAGGAGCTCGAGAAGGCCGAGGCTAATGGCGACAAGGTCGACGAGGTTGCTGCCGACCTCAAGGACGCCTCCCTGGAGGACAAGGAGAAGCAGGAGGAGTCATAAAGGACTTTCTCCTCCCTTCCTTCACTGAAAGAGAAGACTCCGATTTTCTCAATGATTCCTTTCACCTATCTACATTCCTCATTACCAAGTTGGCGCATTTCACCCTTCGTTCGACTTTCCTCTCTCTCGCGCGCCATTTCATACACCGCTATATGATATATTCTCTCTCTTCTCTCGTTCCATCAATCGCCAGCTGCAGGGATGTAGATGGGAAATCGAATCGTAATTTTCTTTTTACAAGTCTATAAGGAATTGAAAAACAAAAAAGTAGGAAAGGGAAAAAAACCTGTCTCAAAATAGGAGGGATTTTGTTCTTTTTTTTATAAAAAAAAGGAAAAGCTCTTTTCTTTCTTTTCTCCTACATCGTTACAACAAGCGTTCCGCGTGTTGGTCTGTTTGTCCTTTTTTTTTATCGTTTCAGCTTTCTTTTTTGTCATTGGTATCTCTTATTTTGTACCTAGGTATCTTTTATATCCTCGTCAATGGATGGGGGGATAAATGGGAGTTTTCAAGCCGAGCACGAAATATACAGGCCTCATGGAAAATGATGTATAAGGAAAAAAATAAAAAGGCTACATTCCTCCCCCTTTTAAAACATGTTGACGTGTGGCACAAAGTACTGTCTCTTCCCCCACTCATGTGATACTCGCATTAATGCTGGCACAACCTGGTAAATGTCCCGAGGTCTATTCGTTTTTTTTTTCGGTGTATGTGGCGGCTTTGACTGGCTGGCTTCCTGCATGTGTGGCCATCTATTGCTATACATCATGTATCTAAGGGGCTGCTGCATGTAACTCGCTGTATGCGTCGATGGGAACACACCTACATGCAAAGTAAGCTAGTAGGCGTAGCCCATGCAATGATACCAGCAATATATATGATACGGTTCACCACGCTGGGCATCTAATTAGTCGGGCAATCTTGGTGTGTTCGTGCTGCTATCCGCCTCGGCAGCAAGGCAGTCAGCGGCAGACTTTTAAAGTTTACATATTTGTTTCAGTCGTACTGCGTCTTGTACAAAATAGACTAGATCAGACCATGAAAAAAAACACGAATTGTTCAAATCTTCAATACGGGATGACTTATGATGGCTGTGGGAAGCACAAAGGCCCCTGATTACTCTTGAGACAGTAATCATGTTAAGCATTGGAAAAAAAAAAAAAGAAAAAAAAAATAATCCGCTTTCCTGAATACTTTAATTTTATACGCCAAGCTAAATGGTATGCGGATGGTATGTATGCGTTTCAAGCCTTTTTTTCGAAACTCGTCTAACACGGGTATTCAAAATCGTATAAATGTAGGCAAAAATTGAAGAGAGAAGGAGGAAAAAATGAAAAAGCTCCAACATCCGAGATTTCAAAGCCAGGCTACTCCAACTACCATGCAATCGTGCCATTCCCATTCCAGACAAATGAAACCTGATGGTGATCGTACATGTCGTCATGCTCATGTCGCAGAAGAGATGAGGGTAAAGAAACGTGATATCTTCACTGCTTGCGCTTCTGGCGTTTGTGTCATCATATGAAGAAAAGAAAAAAGAAAAGGCTTTTAGCCATAGTTTCTTTGGTCGTTGCTTAGCTGTCTTGACATCTTGATTTTTGGTTTATCCAAAAGGTGCGTAATACGATGAAGATGGGTGGTGCTGTGGTGGTGGCGGCCTGAATGTCCTTCGGTCTCGTGATGCAGCAGCTGGGGCAGGAGTGCGACGCTCCATAAGAGCCTCACGGTCATGAAATTGTGATGGAGGAGCTATGGCTGGAGGAGGGGCAGGAGTGCCAGCACTGGCGCTGATTGAGCCGGCTCGACGGGTCGGCTTTCGAGGAGGAGCAGTCAATGGAGGATTTTTCACGGCTGCCTCATCGTCTGCGGGAAGGGTGAGCTCGATGAGGCTGTAGAAATACTCGAGGACCTCGGGGTAACGTTGGACGCTGGCCTGCCAATCTTCATCAATGCCTCGCTTCAGGGTGGCCTGAGCCTCAGCAATTTGGTTTGGGTGTGGCGGCGCATTGTAATGGTAGAAGGCGTGGGCAGTGATGTGATCAAGATGAGCCGAGTGGGCCGTCTTTCGTCGCTCAGCGAGTTGACGGAAATACTCAAGTATGTAATCTTGAGCATGGGCCCTTACCCACGAACTATGATTTGAACAAGTTAGTGGCGCTAATAGAGTCGATTATGAAGGCGGTGAACGAACCGTATGTCACTATATATGGATCGCATCATGCGTTCCTCGGCCTGTTTAACAGCCACTTCGAGGCCTTTTGCCTCGCAGTCACAGGCCATCGAGGCCGGAGCATGGCAGATGGCGCAGTCCGGATCCATCCTGATGATGGTCTTGCGCGCCTTGGAATCTCTGGTGTGCATCTTAGCAAAGGGGTATCTTTGGGTGAGACGATTGTTTCTTTTTGTGTCTAAGGCTGAAGTGTAATTGAGAGGGTATTCCAGGGAGGAATGGGTATAAAACAGAATACGGGCTAGTATTACACAATGCAGAAGCTATTCAGGCACACGAGAAGAAAGGCACGGTGAAGGTTTGTTTTTTTTTTCTTGCTGGCGGGAACAGATACGGACGGGGTTTCCTCAACCGCAGTAGCAAGGCCTCACTCCCCCTTTGGCAAGCCCATAGACGGGCTTCATGAGTGACGGGCGTGGGACAGACGGAGAGCGTCGCAGATGGCGGGAGGAAGATTGGGCATATGAAGAGGGAGGAGAGGGAAGTGGAAGAGGAGGAGAGGAGAGGAAAGGAAGAGGAAGAAGAAAGAGAATGGAAGAACGAAGGGGGAGGGTCATTGAGAAAGGAGAGAGAACAAGGAGACTGATTGACTGACTGACCTAGTAGTACTAGAAGAAAGGATAAGACAAGCAGAAGCAACGATAGGCTCACGCCAGGCGGTAAAGGGAATAGAGGAATGCCAGCGGAAGAGCAGCAGCAGGACGCGGCGTCTGTGCTAGATCAGAAGGCTGACGCTGTTTCGCGGATGTATCCTGCAAGCAGCAGCACAAGCACAAGCACAAGTACAAGCACGAAGCAGCAGCTCTGGCGGCGTCGGACCCAGGATGAAGCTCTCGGAGGGGACCAGACGAGGGCCTTGGGAGGGACAAGATCTCAATGCCTGGGACCAGAGCGTGGGGAAAAGCCAAAAAGCCAGCTGCTGCAGCAAGAGTCGAATGAGGAGACGGCGGGTGGGTGACGGGCCAGCTGTCGTGGCTCGAATGCGGGATCGAGGAGCCTATGCAGGCTAGCCTAACGAGCAGCGAACTGGCCCAACGCAGGGCAGGAGGAGGTGCCCAAAGAGGTGAGCAGCGCTGTCGAGCAGGCCGAACGTCTGCAGTGGCGAGCGGGCTTTTGGGCAGGGCGGAGAGAGAATGGCGGGAGGCAGGAAAAGAGCCGCCTGGGCTGAGTAATTGGAATTTCGAAGCTGCTCAGACCGGCTTACCGTGCAAGAGGTGGTTCTGCGTAGCCGTATTTGTATATCGTGGCGGTCCGCCGCAAGGGTTGCTGAAACCGAGAGTCGTAGCGTGTACGATGAGAGGTCCCGCACGCCTAAAAACGGCGTCGTTGCTGGCTGGACTTGTATATGTGGCTGCTGGCGTCTCGTTGTCCGTGCAGCGAATGGAGCCGCTGGTGTGACACAAGCAGGACACGACAAGACACGACACACACTCGCACACACTCGCACACACACGCGCGCGCGCGCGAGAGGAGGCTGGTGGACCGATGGCTGGATCTGCTGGCGCTGACTTGTTGACCGTGGTGAGGAGATCGCTGGGCTGGTATCATGCAGCGAAAACTCAGCAGGTGGCGGATGGGGCCGGCAGAAGCAGCAGCTCGACGGTCGCTTTCTGTGGTCTCACCAATCGGGTCAGGCTGCCCTTAGCGAGAGAATTCCTTGTGCGGTACGTGGGTGATAATCCTGCCTGCAGCAGCCCCGTCGTCTCCGTAGCGGCGCCTGTCTCTGGCTACCCCGGCAGATCTCGTGCTTTGGGTCTCCCTTCGCTCGGCCTCTTTTCCTCTCTGCCTGCGGGCGTGCTGATGTGCTGGATGCCGTATGTAATGTCCGTGTATGTAGGTGCTGCCGCGGAAATGCGGGCAAACAGGCGGGAAAGTCACCTGCGGGCCTGAAGACGACGACGAGGCAGAACAGGCTTGTCTCGTCCTTGGCTAGGACCAGAGCCAGAGCAATTACACCGCACTTTTTAGCAGTGGCAGCAGCTTCAGAAAGCGGGCTTGAGCATGCACCGTCGAATCACGAGGAGGGGCGGGCCATGCATGGACGAGGCCCGCTGTTGGCCAGATTCGACCCTGTGGACAAGGCTGCGAGGAGCTAAGAGCGTCTAGCTGGCTGGTCACGATGCCGAGCAACTGGCGATGCTGGTAACTGGCTGACGAGATGATTGATCGATGCTAGGCTAGTCGCCAGAGAGGGAGAGTACATAGCAGCCGCAATTTGGCCTCGTCCTCGTCTTCTATCGTGATCACATTTCTCCTCTTGGACGGAAAACAGCGTCGCATCAGGATGCCTCCTGCTGCGTTGGTCTCTGCACTTGCGACGATCGAGCCACGGCAGCAAATCAGACACTGGCAGAGTCAGCCTTTTTGCCTCATTGTGAGTGCCTTTTCACGTTGTCCTGGTCCTGCTCGACTCGACTCGACATGGGGGACGGCAGATGAGCAGGGTCCAGTGAGGTGTTGTCTGGCCTGAAAGCGGGGGAGACGAAAACTGGAGGCTTGCTGCCAGCTCAGCGGTGCAGCTTCCCGTGCTAAGGTACCTGGAATACCTGCCTGATGCTGTGCTACTGTATATGCTGAGTCGTACTGTACCACTGATGGATTGCATACCCAGGCACCTCTTATTAATGCACCTGCTCGGCACATGTAGTCATCACACAGCCTGCAGCCAGATTGCAGATTCCCCTCTTGTTGCGGATATTGCCATTCTGTAGGTATGGATGCAGCTGTGCAAGCCGCCGTGCTCTCTCCAGTTGAGGCACTACTAACCTAGTAGGTACTGTCCCAGGGCCACCCACTGCTGCGATGAGCTAAATCCTCTGATCGGCTCCCTAAACCCCACTATGCCCGCCGCCATTCGGCGCCGGTGGGGTCGAGCCTCCGGCGCTGTCTTCTGCTAATTTACACCACTTGGGTGGCCTTATCTTATCGGCCACTTCCAGTATCGGAATTTTTAAATGCATCCGCCAAAAATCCACATGTACACCATGGACAAAGCGAAGCGCATGCAATAGCAAATTGATTCCGACATGCCGCCACGGTGTCCTGGTCCATCTCACCTGCCCCTGGCACCATTCCTCTATCCAGCCCTCTTCCGGCCCCGATATGCCAGCTCTTCTCTCCTCCGAACGGCATTGAGCCGTCAAGCACGCCACTCTTCCTCATCCTCTAGCCTCAACGACCTCCCCGAATCACGACTGAATCCCGCACCAGATGATTACGCAGCCCCAAGCTTCGCCGACAAGGCTGAGCTAACGCTGTACGCCGGCCGTGGCGGCAACGGCTGCATCTCCTTCCACCGAGAAGCTTACTATCCCGACGGACCTCCCAACGGTGGGGACGGTGGCCTTGGAGGTAACGTCTACATCCAGGCGGCCCACGGCGAGACTTCACTGCACAAACTGGCCCGCAGACGCTTCATCCGCGCGGGACGCGGAATTCACGGCCAGGGAAGCGGCAAGAGTGGCATGCGAGGCTCAGACGTCGTCATCACCGTCCCAGTCGGCACCATCGTGCAGGAGATTGAGCGGCATGACCCGGCTGCCGAGGAGGATATGGCCATAAGAGCATTCCAAGCGCAGAAGAAACAGAGGCGCCGCGAGCTTTTGGCGCAGCAACAACTACAAGCAGAAGTGGAAGAGGAGGAGGAGCCTCAAGAGACTGACCGGCACTCAAGATGGAAGAATCCCGAGGACGACTACGATCCAGATGCCGACGACCCAGAGCGCGGCAAGTGGCTGCTCTATCCCGGAATGTCCAAAACCGACGTCAAAACAGCAGAGTTTCCCAAGCTTCCCAAACGAACTCGTCTCTTCCAGCAGCCTCCCCCGCCAATCTATCTCGACCTCTCCAAACCAACGCCTACACCCATCCTCCTAGCAGCAGGTGGCATTGGCGGCCTTGGAAACCCGCACTTCACTTCACGACAGCACCCAAAGCCAATGTTCGCCACCAAGGGTGATGAAGCCGTAACTCTCAAAATCTCTCTAGAGCTCAAACTGCTCGCCGACGTGGGCCTCGTCGGCCTTCCCAACGCTGGAAAGAGCACCCTCCTGCGAGCTCTCACCAACAGCCGCACGCGGGTTGGCAACTGGGCCTTCACAACCTTGCAGCCAAACATTGGCACCGTTGTCCTGGACAAGTACTCCGGCCGTCCCAGCGTCAAAGCCGCTCAAACCACCACTGACGATGGTGCTATTGGCGGGCCAAGAACGCGCTTCACCGTCGCAGACATCCCCGGCCTCGTCGAAGGAGCCCATCTCGACCGCGGCCTCGGAATAGCTTTCCTGCGCCACGTTGAGCGCGCCGGACTCCTCGCCTTCGTCATTGATCTCAGCGCCGGCAACGCTGTCAAGGCCCTACAGTCCCTCTGGCGCGAGGTGGGCCTCTACGCCGAGATGCGCCAGGACGAAGAGCGCTCCCGCGAGATCGAGTCCCGCGTCGATTGGGACCTAGTCTCCCAGGCCAGCCGCGGACCGATCAACCTGATGGGCGCTTCATACGGAACGTCGCTGCCGCCCATGCAAGAAGCGCAGACGAGGAAGGCTGCTCCGGCGTTGGAAATTGCTGGCAAGCCGTGGTTTGTGGTCGCTACCAAGGCTGATCTGCCGGAGACACAGGAGAATTTCAAGGAGCTCAAGACGTATCTTGATAATGTTACCGAGGGGCGAGAACAGCATCCGAGCGGCGTGGAAGGAGCGTGGACGAAGAGATGCGCTGCCATTCCGGTGAGTGCGATCAAGGGGAAGGGAGTTGATCGCATTATTCACTGGACCGTTGGGCTGTTGGATGAGTAGAATTGACGTCGCTTTGAGCAAGCACGGGATATCGTAATAACAGCATTTGTACGAATAGACAACGACTCTGTAAAATTAGAATAGCAAAAGAAAACGTTACTTAGAACAAAAAGCATTTGTATATATAAATAGGTACCTAGTTTTACCAAATTCTCCCATATCAAAGCCCGATGGTACATCTTTTTCTTTTCTTTTCTTTTCTTTTCTTTTCTTTTCTTTTCTTTTTAAATCTTTCATCCTTGTTTCAGGGATTATACAAGGTTAGATGGGTCATCATGATCCTCTCCCAAACTAATTATCTTAATCGGCTCCCTCAGGCGTGGGAATATCCTCCACGTCAATCTCCTCATCTTCCTGCTCCCCGGTCTCCTGCTCCTGTTCCTCAGCCGCCTTCTCCTGCTTCTCCTTGCGTTGGAGGCTGATATTAATCAATGGTGAGGTATCGTTAAACACTCTAAGCAACATGGCCGAGCGGTCCTCCTTGGGCAACATCAGATTCAATGAGTGGATGCTCTTCCAGAGGGGCAGCGCCATTCTCTCCTGCCACTCCTCATCGTCGCCCTCCGGCTCGACTCTTAGCACGCAGCATCCCATGCCAATGTCACGCACGCGCTCACCAATCTCCTCAAAGTTCTGCCACTCCCCTTCGTTGATCTTGGGGAACATCTCGATGAGGAGCTTGTGGAGTGTCTCCTTCTTGCGCAGGCGCACAACGCGAGGCTCGCCAACGTAGCCCTGCAGGATGGGCATGCCTTCAGCTTGGATACGCCAGCGGCAGACCTCAGCTGAGGGGGCGTCCTGCTTCATGAACATGCGGACACCGCCGTGGATGAACTTGAGGCCTCTGCCTTCGTTCTCCGTGAGGATGTCTCGCGTGAGGGCGGTGGTGTAGTATATGGCCTTGGCAGGCTCTCCCATCTCATTCCTCACCATGTATCGGTTGGTGGGGAAGCGGCTGGACAGTCTATAAAAGTCTTTGATGTTCTGAATGACAGGGTGGGAGGGATCGAGGTACTTAAAAGGCTCTTCAATGGGACCGTTCCTCTTTGGTTTGCCTGGGCGATCTTCGCGCTCAGTCGCAGCAGCCGGAGCGGGGGCGGGGGCGGTGGCTGCTGAGCTCTCCTCTGCAGTCTTTGCCTTCTTAGCTGGCTGTTCTGCATCTTCTTCGGTCTCAAGGGGTCGCTTGCTAGCGGCTGGGGAGGCATCGTCCATGGGTTCATCTTCCTTCTTCTCTTCCGGCGCAGAGGCGTCCTCTGGTTTTGTCTCGGCCGCAGTGGTAGCGGTGGCAGCATCATCTGAGGCGCCGTTGGCCTGGTTAGTCTGCTTGGGCTCATTCTCGTTCTTGGCCTTGAACTCCGCCTTCTTCTCCAGAACTGTAATGAAAAAGCCGCCAGTATCCTGCAAGTGCGGGTAGATTCTCATGCAGCGCTCCAGGGGCAGAGTAGTGCCATTGGGGTCGGGGAACATGGATGGGACAAGTCGACCAGGGGTCACGCCATCCTTGCTCTCCTTGGTGAAGTTTTCAACCTCTTCCCAGCTGTTCCAGATCTTGCCGCTCTTGTCCATGATCTTCCAGGACTTGAGGCCAGGTCTACGCACAAGACCATCCAGCTGATCGCTAGAGTCAACGATCTCCACATTGTCCAAGCCGCCACATCTCTCAATCGCAGCAGCAATGATGGACTCGTTCTCGACAGGGTTCATACTGCAGGTAGAGTACACAACGCGACCACCCACTTTGAGAAGTTGCAGGGCTCGGACAAGAATGCGGATCTGGGTGATGTGAAGCCCCAGAGCACTACCCGGCTGCCAGTCTTTCCACAGGTTGGCATTCTTTCGTGCTGTTCCGTCTCCGGAGCAGGGGACATCGGCAAGGATTCTGTCAAACTTCAGGTAGTTGCCCTTGTTCGAGTTCGGATCGGTCGAGGGCAGCTTGATGGAGGGGAACTGAGTGGCGTCGTGATTCATAACCAGGAGATTGGGAGATGACAGTCTCTTGAGTTGATGGACTAGAAGATGGCCACGCTTATAGTCGGCGTCGTTGGCGATGAGCAGACCTGTAGCACGGCCCGCATCAGAGGGGTCAGCCTCCAGATCCGCTTCAGCTTCTTCTTTGGTCTCGTCACCAAGGTCCAGGCCGTCTTCCTTGGCAAATTCTCGCAGGACTTTCCTCACGCGAGACTCTTCGCCAACGTGGAGCATCTCCAGCAGCTGGGCGGACTTGCTGCCCGGCGAGGCGCACATGTCCAGCACAGTCATGCCTGGTCGGAGATCCATGAGCAGAGGAGGAATCATGCTGACAACCTCTTGTCTGCTGATGTTGCCGACGCTGGTCTCGGACACGAGGAACTTTTGGAAGGCGGCAAAGGGCGGGAACTTGCGAACGACGTTCTTGGGCGTGGTCATCCACCAAGCAAGCTCGTCGGGGTACCAGGGAACGGGCTGGGGAGGGTCGACGGGACGGCCATCCTGGTGCTCAATCTTGACGATTTCGGGAATGTATCGGGATCGCAAAAGTCTCTCGACAGCGAGCGCATGGCTATGCGACAAAGCTTTAGGTTAGCAACGGATCAAGAACAACAGAGAGGGTAACGTTGACGCGCGCGCGCAACAAGTTGGACGCACCCCTTGGAACCGCAGAAGCGGAAGCTGTTGGGCAGCTCGCGCCTCAATGCCTCCCAGAACTGCGTCTTCTCTTCGTCAGAGAACTCCAGCAGCGAGTCGTAGTACTGCTGGAGCTTCTCGTTCTCCTTCTTGAGCGCAGGATAGTCTCTCCAGCTGTTTCCGCGCTCGCCGCCGCCGCCACGACCTCCGCCACGGCCACCTCCACGACGGTTCTTTCCCTATTCGCAGGCAAAATAACAAGAAATGTTTAGCAATGGTCTTCAATTAGGTCGGCGGGCATATGAAAAATAGAAAAGAGCAACTCACTCTGAAGCCCTTTTTGCCCATCGTTGCGGATTTGGATCTGCTCTGGCTGTTGGAGCTTGTGACGAATGGAAAATTTACAAATTTACGGGACAGAAAATCTTAAAATCGAAAGCGCCCCGCCATGTTCGCGGGTAGGAGTGCGCTAAAGGCCATTGGAGGGTGTGGCGCCGTCCAGTAAAAATGCGAGGCTGGAGCGCTAAAGCATGCGGGCTGCTGCGGTTGATCTGGCAATGGGGCCTGAAGTCAATAGAGGGTAATGTTGGTAATGTTCCATGTTCTTAAGCCCACTCACTTATTGGCAGCAGCAGCGCTGGAATCGAGTCAGCAGACAGTTTTTCTATAATTCAGCTCCCTTTTTTCCACGCCCCAACAAAGAAATTCCTACTCAAATCAGTCAGCTTATCGCCATATTGATGTTATGGCTTGTGTATTAGTACCTAGTTCTCAGACGCTGCAGAGTGTGTCTAATAAGGAACATGTGCCATATGTGGACGCAACCCTTCTGCCGTGTCACGGTTTCGACCAATCAATCCCATCGTGCTTCTCAGTTCTCAGCCTTGGATGAATTGATTGAATTGGTCCGTTAATATGTTGAGTCCGAGGTTAAACCGCAGTCGCCGCGCGGGGAAGTGCTATAACATCTCGCCCAGCATCCATCAACCCTTCATATCTTCAGCCTTCATCTTCCTATCGTCGTCTCCTTGCTGTGCTCAATATGGCCATGCAGCCAACTATTCTTGAAGTTGACCCTGAAGGTGATACCCTTTTCATCCTACGCAATCCAGACGCGCCCTTTGCTGTGGAAAGCTCCTTTACTTTATGGCCGAGAGCTCTGCCGCAATACTGGATGCCTCACATGAAAGAAAACGAAACTAGCTTATGGTTGTCGGCAATTGCTGCAACACCAGCGACCAACAACACCCCAGAGATACATATGCGGCTTTCTTCGAAACACTTAACACTAGCTTCAGTATATTTTCAGAAACTGGCGTCCAGTGGCTGGATAGAGACCAAAGTAGCGAGCGGCTACTCATACACGGTCACAGCCAAAGACTGGGATGCAGACTCACTAATAATTCTGATGAATATAATCCATGGCCAAACGCAAAAGGTTCCCAATAAGATTGATCTGGAGATGCTGGCAAAAATAGCTGTGCTTGTCGATTATTATAAGTGCCACAAGGCAGTACGCTTTTTTGCAGATGCGTGGATTAGCCGGCTACGACAACCTCTGCCCTCGTCCTACAGTCGGGATCTGTTGCTTAGACTCTTGGTATCTTACATATTTTCCGAACATCGGGTCTTTACAGCGCTTACAAAGACCATTATATATGAGAGTAGAGGCCCTATTCATACATTGGGCTTACCAATACCAGAGGACATGGTTTGTAAGTTTACAAATCGCGGTCCTTTGTTAAATAAGTACTGAGATTAGATTCAGATATCCTTGAGGTGGAAAGAAAGCAGCTGATCTCCGGATTGATATCTAGCCTTAACTCGTTGAAGACCCAGTTGTCTAAAGAGGAAAAAGAATGTTCGTTTGAATGTTCTTCAATGTCTCTAGGCGCTCTCATCAAAGGTATGATCTCGATGCGCCTAGACGACCCCCAGCCAACAGAACCATTCAATGGTTACAGTGTCGTGGCAATAGAAAAAGCCATCGGCGATATCAAGATACCAAACTATCTTGGGTCCCTCCGCCATGGCTCGAGTTTCTCAGGAGCCACTCACTCTACGTACACTGGAGGTTTTGGTAGTATAAATAGTTATGCTGAGAAGCCCAACTGCAACCTTGAGAAGAAAATTGAGCCTATCGTCAAACAGCAGCTGGAGAGCCTGCAGGGGTTGAGTTTGGCGTCATTCCCTAGTCATTGATGGAAGCAGAGGCAGTAGAGGCAGTTTTTAAGATAACTCTTGAAGTACATAATAACAGCACGCATAATAGTAGACTTCAATGTTGTCGACTTGAAACATGTGGAACCAAGGCCATCAAAGGGTCCATTATTCCCAAGACTTCATCTTTAAGTCCGCAGATAGTTATGTAGACAATGCACTTGAGTGGACGACGATATAAACTGTGAGTTTGTGATCGCCCCAGTAGCATGCATCTACATTGGAAGCACACCACATACCACAAATAAAAGCTGCTCCTAATACACTGTTTCAAGCCGAGGCAGAGAAAACTATCCAGAAACGCGTGTAGAAGATCTACATACAGCCGCACGACCTTCGCCATCTTCTTCACGTCCAAAGACATTAGATTGCACGCCCAGTATCGACACACCACCGTTGTCGTCTATGTTGACGGCGGATTAGTGCCAACATACCGCGTGCAACATCTCAAACGTCAAGCCCAGTTTCTAAGAAGATGGAAGAGGAAGAGGAAGAGGAAGAGGAAGAAGCTTGAATACGTTGCTCGCTTTGATATAGCGAGAATGAAACACACAGGAAGATCATTGCTCAATCTATACGTCTGAAAGCTCATCTCAATTGAAGAATTGATCCGGTCAAGCGGCCACCAATGTCAGATAGGACAGGGCAACGCAAATTAGATGAGCAATTCATGGAATATGTCACGATCCACGGCAAGGATCTCTGAGAAGAGTCCCCGTAGAGTTGGATGACACCACGCATGTAGGGTAGCCAAGCCATATACTGTAAGTGGATGATCAAGATTGGAAAAAAATTGTTCTATGCTATTGCTAGACTTATATTCCTATTTCGCTGAGAGAAATGCCTTCACAGTTTTACCAAGAACAAGGCATAAGATATTGGCAAAGCAGGTGAATTGTAGAGTGCGAGGGCTGGCGCAAATACAAAATGTTCCAAGTGCGGAGGACAACGTAGAGCAACACACGACTCCCTTATGGTTGGTTCTTCCACGATGATATATCTTTTCCGTGACCCTATTCACATGCCGCCTTCCATCCCCGCAACCCCAGGTAGTGTTGAGGGTGACATTATCTTGAGTTATATTTGCGGCTGGTGCTCATCATTTGTATTTGGACACACAAGGAAGTTAACCATGACGTCCACAGATGGCTCAACGATATTCACACCGGACCATAAACAACATATAAGAATACGCTACAGAGACGTCTGCAAAGACGCCACCCACTTTGGCCTGGAACGGTCGCTGCCTCGCAGTTCCTCCGGCGGGAAATACCTACAACATTTTCCTCCAGGGCACGAATAACGCTATTCTGATGATCGAAGATGGTGAAGCTTATGTCGGCGACATCTATTTTGATCAATTTAAACATAGTACTTGGCTTTGTGTCAAGAAGAATGGATACTTTGGGTTTACACAACTAGGAAGATATTTGGGGCACACAGTTACTGGCCATATCCACGCTTGGGGCTAATAATTTCGAAAACTGGAAATTCTTTACAACGAAAAAAGCACCCAGATGGAGGACATCAGTTGCTAATGCCGCACTGGTGGTTGGTTCTCACTTAAAATGCTATGCTGTGTTGATGGAATTGGACCAAACCTAGAGTTGAGGGATCACAGAACGGAGACATGGGAGTTTGTTAGGGTAACTAAACTTGAAAGGCCCTATGTCACTCACTTCGCATCATTGGCATGGTATTAGTAGGGTTCTTTCTACCCCGCGAATAAAGTGTACCTTCTCGTGTATCTGGCAAAGGAAGCTCTACGTGAGATAGATGTGACGACATGAACATTCCCCATTGCCATACGTGTACGAAGAGTCACAGTAGAGTATACTTTCTCGCTTCTCCTAGGAGTATGAACTAGCTCTCTCGCCAAGGACTGAGTTTGTATAGTTCTTCATAGCGTGTTATATCGCACTCAAGATGCTGTGTAAATCTTTGACATGGTTGGAGTAGCAACGCCGTTTCTGCATCTCACTAACATTTCTCTCTGGCGAATCAGAAGAGGACTGCTCGTATGGACTGCGCCATCTTAGGCCGTCCTACCGTATTGTGCTTTCTCCTACTTGCATCGCTATGTCTGCCGCGCTTTAACCCCTTGTCTGAGCCACGTATCTGCCCACACTCGCGTATTCAAGGAGCAGCCACCGTTGTTTATGTTGGGGCGTTGGGGTTTAGGGATTGGCGATCTTTTAGACCAAATTCGTATGCTTCGCTTCCATAAGACTCTATGTATACATGCCCTAGTAGATAAACATTGGAGATGCAATCTTGGGGGTGGTAGATTGCATGTTTTCTTGAGAGGGAAGTGATTGGAATCAGCAATACTAGCTGCATGTTAGTGTGCCCCTAGCTGAAGAATGTCTCAGTTCTGTCATACTATCAATCATGAAATTAGCATCTCCGCGCCGTGTCGTGAAGAAATTTTCACAATGAGCGTAGAAGCCTAACAGGGGCAGGCTGTCTTATAGAATTATTATTATAGTGCGATGTCAACCATCCCCAGTGGCTTACACAGGTTTGCCTAAATTGGAAATCTTAGTGAATGACATAGTTATAGCAGGGATTCGTGCCAATAATAGCTAAGACAATAGGCTAGCCGTATAATTAAGTGGCTTGAAGACCTCATTGCTCGGTAATTGAGTTTATCCCCCGCATATATAAGAATATTGGTCGATGTCGATCACTGCGCTAATGCAGGCGGTTGAGGAGATTAAAAGCCCAAGCAATATTCTGGCGGTACTATGCTGCTTTGCTCCAGGGCATCTACCCCAGCTTGAGAATAGAAAAAAAAAAGAATTAAGTTTATCACCTGCATGTATAAAGAATCTTGGACGATGTCGATCACTGCACTAATGCTGGCAGTTGAGGAGATTAAAAATGACGAAAATACCGGCGGTACTTATATTACTATATTCTAACACATTTATTGCGATTTAAGGATACTGAGAAGGCCATAGTCAGTTAACAACCACAGCAACGAAGCGTTAAAAGCCTTATCAACACTCCGCAATATATCGAATATATCTCTCTAGTTAGCTGGCTACTCTGAAATAAAATATATCCAAGAAATGCCACGAAGATATCCTAGTACAATAGTTTTATACCGACAATCAGCTAATCCATATAAGATCCATGTAAGCCACACCGTCAGATAGGTAGCCAGTTAGCTTTTCTCGATTATTATGTAAACTATAAGCTATAGAATAACCAAGCGATCTGCAAAAAGATAGGGACAGCAAAAGGAATATTCACACACAAATCAATAGTAAGCGCCCACGTTTATGAAACTGATTGGTAGTTTTTTGTGTGCATATTTATTATCTTGTGTGTTAAATTTTTCAGACCCCTTGACAACTATAATCTTTAGTATTACATCATTTATCGAACTGGCCTTGCTAGAGTTTGATCTTCACTACACATTTGGTAATGTATTGCTTCAATTTAGCCGGTTAAGATTAAACCTAACAGCATAGTGTTCTTTAACCCTGTTTCTCTTGAAAAACTCAGTTACAGATGAGAGTGAGCAAATCCTTGAGGTGCAGCTGAAGATATAAAAGGCAGGTATATTCCTGCTGTTGTCCAAGATAACATACCATCAACAAGTGCCAATCTTTACTTTATAACCCATTATCATTCGTTCAAGTCTCAGCTACTTATTATTATTTTTATTCAACAAAATGAAGTATACTGCTGCCCTCATCGCTCTGGCTGCCACTGCCATCGCCGTTCCCACCCCCGGTGGTGGAGGAGGTCAAGGTGGTAAAGGTACCACTGGTGGAGGCGGCGGTGGTGGAGGTACTTGTAACACCAACCAGAACGCCGTTTGCTGCAATGGTTTCCTAGGAGGCATAGTCTGCAATGTTGGTATTCTCGGGACAGGCTGCAACAGCGGTTCTTACTGCTGTGACTCGAGTGCGGACCAGGTGAGCTTCACACAACTTCTACCTAATCTCAAGTCTCTTTTGATCACCACTAATCACAAGATGCGATAATTAGGGTGGTCTTATCAACCTGAACCTTCTCAACTGTGTTTCCCTTTAATCAAAATTTGCCTGGCAAACAAGTACTGTTGGACTGTGACAGGATTAGGACTTTATCTTGCTCTATTTGTTCAGCTCAACATATTATTCTGTGGATGTTGTCTTGGTGATATTCTTAGCTAGTAACGGGCTGTAATTACAGCTACTGATACCAAATATCATCAAATAAAAAGTATATCTGCTATTATGGTATAAATCTCTATAATGATTACTATTGCATTCAGTAGATTTAACACCAGTACAGTTGTACATAATAGGGCCATGTGCCATGAACTATGACATGAATTGGAGCATAACGTTAGAAAAACATGGTTCAATATGGTGACGGAATTTGCTATGAATATACGGAAGAGGGAGTATTTATTTGTCCCTGAAGCCAATGATGAAAAAGCATTGACCGGCGTCACGCGATAAGAGTTGGCAGCTGTCTGCATATGGTACCTGTGGGGTAAATTTTATAGGATTTATAGCAAGTACCCTTATGGTGCTACAGAGTACAGTAATCCGTAGTAAGAGAGAGTAAAAATAAAAGAGAAAAGGTACAATGGCAGTATGGGGCATGTTAAAGGTACATATCGTGATACCAGTGCACAGCCATAAGATGATACTCTACTATGGCCGCCAATTAACGAAATTCACGACCATCATTTCGCCTCTTGAGTGTAGAAATAAGTGTCTGACGTTATTAGTTTAGAATCTCTTTCTGCACGGACTATTGTAATTTGTATGTGTACATCGCAACCAGCTGTGTACATGTTTCTACTAACCTACATGTAACATGGCTCAGAAATTGATTTTATAATAGTCTGTAAGAGGACACAACTGGCCATAACAATAGTAATTGACTTGCTAGCAAATTCACATAGCCGAAACACTTGCACTCCAATGGAGCCCGCAGTCACAGTTGATTGGCCGATGTGACAGCAAGACTGAGAATGACCTGCAGTTCTTGCTACCTAGAAACTCGGGATAGATACTGGAGACAGTGGAACTGCAATCAGACCTTATAATTGGTCATATTGATGGCAAGCATCAGTAATAGGGATATGGATCAGTAATTGTGAAAATAGGACCAGGGAGACATGCGAGGCGACTCATACACACACACATATATAGTGTAGCACTTGAGCCTCTGACAACAGCAATCCAGAATCACTCAATTGCATACTAGCGTGTTCATTCTTCAATCTGTCCACCTCATACAAACTCATACTATCCTTAATTGGCACCGCCTGCAGAATGCATCAGACTATTTCTCCCTCGATCTTCTACTGGGGAACGGTAGTCGCATTGATCACAACGGAAAACGAGAATGGAACCTTTAATATTTGCCCAATGTCCTCTGCGTGGTGGCTCGGCAACCGCTGCATGCTTGGACTGGGAATAGCCTCTCAAACAACAATTAATCTTCGCCGCACCAAGCAGTGCGTTATAAATCTACCCTCGGATGACATGAAGGACGCAGTGAATGCTCTGGCACGTACAACTGGTCCGGCGAATATAATGACCGCAGAGCCAGATGACGGATACTTGTACTTTAAGAAAATGAACGGGTACAGTCATGTTCCTGACAAGTTTGGCCATGCAAACCTGACGGCGCAAGCCTCCGAATTGGTGCGACCTGCACGAATCGCAGAATGCCCTGCACAAATGGAAGCACAGTTAGTAGGCGTTTACGAAATGTGCCAGGATTCCGACACAAAAGGCTTCATGGCGCTAGAGGTCAAGGTTCTCCGCACTCATGTAGATGACAGCATTAGGATGAAAGGTCATAAGAATCGAATTGATCCGGATTTGTGGCGCCCCATGATTATGAGCTTCTAAGAGCTATATGGGCTGAATCTGGGCAAGGTCGCGCCATCGGTGCTCGCCCAAATCCAGGAGGAAGAGTACAGAGCATTTTCCAATCCCACGGAAGATGATGACCCAGAGGAAATGGCGGATGGGACGACTCAGCCTGAACAGATTCGAAACTGAGACTGGATGATGGCAAATTTAAGCTGTTGAGCTGGGCAACTGTAGGTTGGCCGCTGGTTCGTGGGCATTGGATAGATCCGCATCATTTGATGCTGCACATTGTTAGGAGAGATCTAAAGTAGTATATATATATATATATATATATAGGCTCTTAGAGTATAAAACCAATTAGCTAGACGTTATTAATGAGTCAGCCTGTAATAAAAAAAAAAGTTAGCTAACGACAATGGGGATAGGTGCTGCAAGAATATATGCAAGTGCATATTAATGGCTTTAGTTGTAAAAAAATACTAGGTCTTCCCAGCATATACCGTTGAAGGCATCCTGCTGGTATGTATATACCTAGGATCCACGAATGCTGACTTGTTTTTTAATGATTTTATTGAATAATTACTCTATTTTTGTAGTAGATGGCCAGAACCTAGATTAGTCCTTGTGGTAGATAATACTGGTTTTCACTGTTCAGACAGGCTTTCCTTAGAGCTGTTTTCCAGCAGCCATTTGGCCAGAGTGTTAGTATGCCAATCAACTATCGACTGTCGCCCCATTTATATAATGATTGAGATGATAGAGGTTCTTCCAAGGAACCGCCTGTCAAGCCGTTTTCCTAGGCTTTGAGGAACACAAGCGTGGCGGTAGCTAAGTTTAAGCCTCACGTGTTAAAAGGCGGGAAACTCTCGAGCTACATCATCATAAAAAGCGGCTTGCAAAAGCTACACGTACCTATCACGAGATCTATAAAAAGCAAACCTATCGCAAGGAGACCTTCAGACACTGCTGATTTATCTCAAATTCATGGCCGAAAGGTAACTATATTGGCTTTTAGAAGAGGGTGTCTTAACGGTAAGGTTCCAGCTTCCAGGAGGTTTACTCTTCGATATAATGGAGCTGAAAGCCTATTCCTAGACTCTTTCTACTGCATTCCCTCATTCACCTTTGGTGTTTTACATGTGACATTAAATACACCAATTGTAACCATCCGTTGTAGCAGGGCAGGACATGTTGAATCGGGTTGTTATTACCTTGCATACATCCCCTAGAAACAGGGATCGTGTCGGATTGATTACAAGCTTCAGGCCTGGAATGCAGAACGTATGTCATATAGACCTCATTTAGCACCTGGTCCTGCAGAGGATAATATTTAGTGTCGCCCGTTGTCCAATCGCCTAGAATAAGACAGAGCAGGTCTAGATAGCCAATAGCCGAAAGCGACGTCACTCTTATCACCCTTTCAACGCCGCGTCTGCAAGGGGTATTGACCAAGTCATCAAACACCCCTACTTGACCTCTCACTTCTCTTCGCATAGTTGCCTGAGTCATACATGCAAGGACTGCACAAGGCTCTTAACACCTCCAAGTCTCTCAGCCAAGGAGAATACTTCATTCTCTTATAAAACCAAGCAGCCACAGCACCTCCAGGGAAAACAACGTCGTGGCGTTTGGTGGAACAGTTTAGGACTGGGGCTATTAAAACTTTCCAGCGTGCTACCCCGCTTCAGCGCTCCAGAGCCTACTTGTTGCCGCATATAACATGCATCTGGGTCTGGGTCTGGGTCTGGATCTGGGTCTGGATCTGGATCTGGATCTGCTCTATTAATATTTACTGCAACACCGTCATAGCTGGCGCACAGGCTGTGCCGGAGCTAAGTATACAATTCCTGCATATCTGTTTGCAATATTATCCTCGTCCATCACCCCAAAGTCGATTTGCTTTCCCGCGCTCTACTTTCCTTTATTAATTCTACTCCATGAAGCACGTCGGCCTTGCATTCAAAATGAAGCTGAATATCATTATCAGCACCTTTCTCCTTTCATCTTCCACTCTAGCACAGAGCCTGTCGGGCCTACCCACCTGCGCTGTAAGTCCGTCAACGCCACCAGTGATTGGCATATGTTAACCTAGCTGGTAGGCAACGTGCGCTCTTAATGCGGTCGGAGCGACGGGGTGCGCCGCAACTGATGCCAGTTGTATTTGCATGGCTGCTAGCTTTCTTGCTTCCATTCAAACCTGTATATCATCTGCTTGTAATGCAAGTGATCAGGCAGGTTTGTGGCGCCTGACCCCCTTTAAGAAGCCATACGCCTAATGTGCCATTTCTGCAGCTACTCTTTCATTCGCCCAGCAATTTTGCGCATCCGCGGGCGTCACCATCACTTTACCGGCTGCCGCCTTACCAGCACAGACTTCGAGCACAAGCTCGGCGCTCCAAGCAACCCCCCAGCAGTCGGTGACTGAAGCTCCAGCGGCCATTCCTACTACGCTGGTTACAACTACAGACTCGGCTGGAAACGTCTATACCGTCACCGGCGAAGTCCTTATATCTGGAAACAGCACGACTACCGTCCCATGCCGAACCGTCATAACGACCAACGCCGCAGGAGTGACAATCACTAGTACCGAGACAGGCTCATCCGTCGTACGCTCCCCTTGTTCCTTTTCCTGATGAAACTCGGCTGACCAGAGTGTACAGTTGCCGACAGCACTACAAGGTACAACGCCAGCGTCCACGGCCAAATCTTCAACAACAGCCATTGTAACTGGGGCAGCTCAGATGCTAAATTGGTCTCGTGCGGCCTTTTTATCCATCGGGCTATCAGGGATCTCTATAGTCTTGGTCCTGCTGTTCTAGACTAAACTGTATTTGCAGAAGACATGAATTAACCTCTAATACTAATTCCCCTAGTTTTCCATCCCTTATATATAGCGATATGAAATTCACACTGATTTTCTTATATTCATATTATATTCAACATATCTCGCAAAACACATATTCATATAACATATTCATGCATATTTGTTAGGGGTTCCCCTAATGCTAACCTGCTACAGTGAAGTAAATGAGGCTACAGGCGTTGTCTGTGTGATGAATGAAGTTAGGTTGGGATGCAGTTCAATCCACTGAAGAAGACTACAAGATTCGGAGAGATATCCTCGAGGCCCTCCATACCTCACCGTATCTGGAGAGAAATAACAGGAATCTAGATCGGGTCAAGTTGGTCTATATTTTTTTAACATATTTAAGGACGTGGATGATAAGACTAGAGGAGCGCTTCGGCAGGTATATCAGGGACCTCTGCGGCTTAGCTCATATGGAAATCTTTACCTCAGCCACTCTGGATTGAGTTGATATTCATGCCTTGGAAATAAGGGTTATAATGTCAGCTTCTGACACTACAATCTGGGGAATCTATGTACTAAGTATAAACCTCTTATTAATTTCTGCATACCAATCTCGGCTATTGCCTTTATAAGTATAAGTGGCAGCATGTCAGTATTCCGTATCAACAGGCAGCAGCCCCCCATATCGCAACTAGAAAGGTACTTGACAGCTACGAAATGACAAACAATCATTGAATCTCTGGCAAATACAAAATATATAGTCAAATTCAGACATAGAATCCAGCATCGGGGTACCTACAAAGTATATCCAGCACTCTCCTTCAGCCCTCTAGGCAGCAGCTGCACCAGCCCACTCACACCAAACCTCACTCTCACTCTCGCTCTCACTTTCCCTTCACTTCACAAACTCACCGCCCACAACGCACAGACCATCCTCTCAGCTATATAATCTCTTCTTCCCTCCCTCTCATCTTTTTTCTCTTTTCTCTTCTTTTTCCTCTTCTTCATACTTACCTTGTTTCGCATTCCCAAGATCATGAAGCTGGGAATGCAGTGCGGAGGACCTGCATTGCACATCGCGGAGTCGGCTCCTTGCTCCATTGTCCTTTGGGGCCATGGGAGGCGCAATTTTTGATCTTGTTTCTCTTTCCTTTTCTTTTTTTTTTTTCATTGTGCTGCTTCTGCTTGCGGGAGCCACGAAGAAGAAATAGAAAAACTCGTTTGTATGCCGAGATGACTGTATATAGCTGTGCGGGGCTTTGGATGGAGATGTTTTACGCGTTTGGTAGTTGTAGAAAGAGATACCTATCGTCCTAGGAAATATACACGGAGACCAAAATCAGCCATAATACTACTTCAATGCATTATTTTCATCCGCTATTCTTTCCCATCTATCATTATACTCCAAAAAAAATAATGGCCCAACATATCATGTCCGCGGGCTTCTCAAAAAGGTGACCACGCCGCTGCAGTATCCAACCAAATCATCCAGCCTGTTGCATTCCTTCTCCTGCTGTTCCTTCCACGCCTCAAGAGCCTTCAGTAGCGCCTTATTCTCCATCACCATGTCAAAGTGAAGTCGGAGGAACACTGTCATCCACGCTTGTGTCAACTCGTAATCCTTTCGTGCTTGGAGCCTAGTTGTGAGGGCTCGGATGAATAGCAGCAGCTCGTTTGACTCGTCATCATCACCTAGGGAGAGCGATCGAAGCTCTAGATCCGCGCTTGAAGGAGAGAGAGACTTGAGGTGCTCAATGAAATCGTCATCTGTAGTTAAAAAAAAAAAAATTAGTACTTGTTCAACTGCCAGAAAGTAGCACTCGAAAATATCCAGGTAGGAAGCTTACAGTTATTATTTTCCGCACCAGCACGAAGCCTCGACGTAAATGCTTCCTCAAAGCGAGCCTGGTCATATCTCGAGATACGAGACTTGCCATCGTTCTCTGCCTGCTCAGCATCATCCTTGAGCCCGGGTACTTGCGCGCCAGAAGTGGATGGCAGGAAGAAGGGAGCCTTCTCGGGAAGCTTTGGCGCCTCAGTCGGCTTGTTTCGCTCCTTGATCAGGTCTAGATGGAGCAGCGTCTGCCATCTACTCTTGGGAACCAAACTCAACGTCATCAGGTCTGCGCTGATCTGGTCAATAGAAGGCGCAACAACACCACTGTCTTCCTCCTCCTTGTCTTCTTCAAAAGCGGCTTCCAGTAAGCCTTGGTTTCCTTCTCCAGCCGTCGTGGGTGCAGCCACCAGGCCGATTTCTGCTTCGGATATCTGGCGAGTTGGAACGTGCTTGTACAGGGCCTTATTTGTCCAAATCGTAACGCCGGGGCTATCCTCGAGAGCAGCAGCGAGATACTCGCCAGTGTATGACATAGCAACAGCTTTGCAAGGCTTCTCTAATCGAATAGCATCGATAAGGTGGCTGGTAGGTAGGTCCCAGATCCTTATGACAGAATCGCGAGAGGCAGCGATGATCCACCGGCCATCGTTTGAAAAGCAAAAGTCGTTGATAACGTCCTTGGGGCCCCAGAATTCACGAATAGTTTTCTTTGTCTCTAGGTCAACAACTCGAATAGACAAATCATCGCAAGAAAATGCCAAAAGGTTGTTAGCTGGGTGGTATCGGCATCCAGTTGGGAATGTCATAGGCGCCCAGTCCAGCTGCTCAAGGAGAGTTCCCGTCAAGAAGTCCCAAAACTTGATCTTGCCGTCCAATCCGCAAGATACGACAGTCTTATTCATGGAATCAACAACCAGACCAGTAATAGCCTTGGTATGTTTGCCGACGCCGGCAGGATATTTCCGATTGCCTTCGCTCTGTAGTTGAACAACGTCGTCTGCTTGTCGAAGCTGCTGCATCTTCAGCTGGCGAGCCTGTGCCGGTGTCAACTTGGAAGGGAAGCGCTGGCGATGGACACCAGACTGTAGGTTGTACATGTCGATACCACCAGCTCCTGAGCCGACGAGCGCAAACGTTCCGCAAGGGCTGATGGCAACAGTGGTAACGTCAGTGCCGTCTCCCGTCGGCAGTGCCCAACGACCAGCTCTCTTTCGGCCCCAGAACCAGGTACGGGCGCAGGGGTCGCCCTTGTGAGCAGTGACAACACTTTCCCAGCCCGTCATGCCACTAAGCTCAGCGTCCATCTTCTTGCTGAGGTCCCGTCCCTTCTGCCAAATCTCCTGTTTACCAGGCAAGGCGCCAATGCCGCCATCGCGGTTAAGCGAAGTGGCAATACAGGTAATTTCGGGGGCTTTGAGGTCTTCCAAAGTCGTTGTTGGACCGTGTGAGAGTGCGTTGGTAGCCAGTATACCAACCTTCTTTGCCTTCTTGCGAATATTGCCTTGGCTAAGCTCTGTACTCTGGCCATCACGACGCATACTCCACCCCCAGAGGCTCCTATCTTTGCCACCGCTGATGATCCACTTATTTCCAGCTTCAGCACCGTCGAAATCGGAAGGCAAGAACTGCAGGCAGTTGACTGGTCCGGAATGTCCGCTACGCGAATGCAAGATTCTCGGGATAGGGGAAAAGGGTGTCTCGTCGAAGATCCACGTCTTGAGCGAATTATCTCGGCCGCTAGAAACGATGACTGCCTGTCCAGACAAAAACTCGACTTTGCTGATACCGCCAAGGACAGCATCTCCCTCGCCTGATGGTGGATTGTGAGCACTGCGCAGGACTCCCATCACACGACCTCCACGGTTCAGATCCCAAAAGGTGATGTCGCCTGAGGCCGGAGTCGCAGTGGCCATGACACCATCCTTTCTACCATCATGTCCGGCTCCCAAGCCGTCGGTTCGGAAGGATATTGAAGTAACGGGGGCGTCTGGATGTCCGGCTTCGACTTGAAGAACGCGCTTATCAGTCAGAACATTGGTGATGACCAGAGAGCCGTTCGAGTATGCAATCGCCAGCATAGAGAGAGCCGGGGTTGGCTCGAGGCAGGTGACAGCGCCGGAATCCGGTGAAGGCGGCAAAAGGGTGTAAATCAACTTTCCGGTGCTAATATTCCAGATTTCGACCCAGCCGTCTTTGCGACCAACAAAGATCTTGTTCAGATACGTCGGCATAGTGACAACGCCACCCGTGATCTCATGGCCACCCTTGGCAGCAGCCATGGTGTGAATGGTGGTGTAATGTTCAAAGGTTGCCGTTTTGAAAACCTCAATTCTTGTCTTTGCGCAAGCAATGAACCAGGTTCCGAAGATGGCAATCTGTTGAATTGGCTCTGCCAAGTCGCTTGGAAGGGCCACCTCGGCGATCTTTCTGCCTCTTTGAAAGACCCATAGGCCCTGAGGCTCGCCATCCTGCGATCCACCCCATGCTGCAAAAACCTTCTTTCCCCAGGCTAAAGTAGCAGTGATATCGGCGTGCGTCTGTGGTCGAGTGACGAAGACGAGGTTGAGACCGCGGAGCAGGTCGTATGTTTGCAGAGAACGGCCAACGGATGTTGTGATTTGGAAAGTCGTTTTGCCCAATGGAACAGATGTGAATGGGATATTGGACGGGGAGATTAATCCAACAGTCTACACAGTGGGTGGTTAGAGCCTGCTGTGCCAAGTTAAAAAGCTATTGAGGATATCGTATGAACGAACTCTGAACGGGGCAAAGATTCGCGAGGAATTGCTCTGAGTTTCGGGCGCATTGGCCGAGGTAGAGACTTTCTGGCGCTTTGCCAGCGGCCCATCGGGATCGGAATGCGGCATCTTGGCGCTGGTGTTGTGGTGCAGCGTTTCGCAATCTCTCGTCGAGAACGTGCCGGCGGATCTGTAAATTTTTGGCGGTGATGAATACTGCCGTTTTCTGCCGCTTACCTAAGGATGGCACTACTGGGCAATGCATGGCTACGCCACAGCATCTCGTGCCACCTCCACAGGCACCGCCACCACATGTCCATCCAAAGTCCATGTAGCTGAAAAAAAAAAAGCAGTCTTTCTTTCAATCATAAATCATCTTAATGTGTAATAGATAGATGGCAATGTTTCACTAGAGGCAGCGCACCACCGGCGCCTTGAAAGAGGCCATAGATACTAGATACTTGCAGTGCTGCTTGCTGCGGGTTATACAACAGTCTCTGGCGCCTCATGCATAAATAGCCGCGCAGCGTGCAGCACTCCCGATCTTGAGGAGCTCTAACAAAATGAATTATGCCAAGCAGCTACAATATATGCCAGTAGGTACTAGGTAGCAGAATAATGCCCGGCGATGAGCATCGTACTCGGCCAAGAGGATGGCTGCTGCAGAGCCAAATTTCAGCCCTACGACCGTTTCTTACACTCTATCCAATCAATCTCTCTGATTGGTGTGGTTACACAGACTGCCACGCCCACTACAAAGCATTACACGCATGCTTACATTTCAAGTTCCTTGCTTTCGATTCTCAACTCGAGCGACGGCTTCACCGCCAAGTGGGTTTTGTGCCACGCAGCATGTGCACATTGCTGTAGCTGGTCGCCTTTGCATTCTGCTCAGCGCACCGGCTGCTTCCATTCGCCAATTGCGTCTTTACCCCTCCACCTGCTCCATCCAGCTCTCTCTTTTTTTTCTTGGTGTGCCAGGCAGATCCTTGTCTCTGTGCCCTGCTCAGCTCCCCAATTTGCCCCTCGATGGCTGACGCTGCATGAACTCTGAGCCAATCAGAGTTCGAGAAAGGCCGAGTTAGGAACCGAGAAAGTAGCAAAATGAGGAAAAATGAGGAAAAAGAGAGAAAAAAAAAAATATTTGCAAGCAGCGGCGCCACCAAGCGCGGTCTCTTGCAGCGACACTGGACTAGCAGTAAGTCGCACCTTGCCATTGGATTTTCTATATCGACATTACTCACGTACTAAGATATGAAATAGGTACCATGAAATACCATTAACATTCCCATTTACTATTTAAATTTCCATCTTATCCCTTTTCCTTTCTTCTCCCTCCCTTCTTGTGCAATCGATAAGCCCCTTGTTTCTGATGCCCTGTGTCAATTCAGCCTTTAAATGATGTCACCGCCCGCTTGACGTTTGCAGCCACGCACGGTCACTTAGTCTTGGGACTCCCGACACTTTTCACCAGAGTGGATTCTCTCGGCCTCAATTTCTTCCCTCTGCTCTGCTTAACCTTCAGACCGGCCGGCCGTTAGTCGACAGACTACTTTGAGTCCCCCATAGGGCCGTGCCCAAACCACGGCAACAGAGCGAAAAAAACAAGTCCAGGCCCAGTTCTGCGTCCCCTCCGCCACCGCTATCGAAATGGACCCCTTGAGCGCCTCTGGCTCATCGGCCATTGCTGCTGAAGAGGCTCCGCAGCAACCGCAATCGCCCTCGTACGAACCCAGTGCGGCCAATTCCTCGCCGTCGACGTTGCCGTCCCAACCTTCGAGGCACTCCCGCAGCGTCTCCGTCTCGTCCTTCACGGGGTCAGTCAGCAGCAGGAAGAGCCGCTACGCCGAGCCGGGCGCCTCCGATATCCACGCCGAGCGATCCAGCTTTTCCAGCAGCCTTCACTCGGCCAATCCTCTGCGAGGCGGTCGATCGTGGCCGTATAGTCGACGACACTCTGCCGCTTCTGAGGCCTTGACTGAGGAGCTCTATCTGGGCGAGTCGCAGCAGCAGCTCTTCGACGACGATACTCCTCGGATGCGTCCCAACCCCGATTCTGCGGGCAACCACTCGGCCCTCCCCGAACCCGCCCTGACCACGAGATCGTCCTTTTCCGATTCGTATTCGGTCCAATCCAAACGTCTGTCGGGAACATCGCTATACTCGTTGGCCTCCGCGCGTGGTGTGATTGTCGGTCCTTCTCAATCTAATCGAGCCTCCGAGCAAGGCGAGCCTCCGCGGTCGGTCCAGGGCCTGATGTCGTCTACAAAAGGGTCGGCGTCGGCCCAGCCAGAGGCCGCAGTGTCCAATGTGACCGTGACAACCTCTTCGGCCAACCAATCCGGACATGCGTCTCCTAGCAATCACAGCCTGGCGGCCAGAGACTCGCAGGCGCACGATCTTGTCAGGCGAAACCAGCGTTCCGAAACCATGCGAAGCAGCCAACCCGATCGCTCTCGGAGTAGAGCAAAGAGACGATTCAGCGGGAGCACCGCATATAGTAGCCAGAGCCCTAGCAGCGAACGAGGACCTCATTATCGAGAGAAAGAAGAAGGTGCGTCAGAACGAGCAAGATTCATATCAGGTGTGCACTGGGATATGGGCAACATCTAACTTGGGTTTCAGCCAAACCGGCTCCTCTAGGTATTATCGGCATATGCGCCCTCGACATCAAAGCCAGAAGCAAGCCAAGCAGGAATATTCTAAATCGCCTCATCGCAAACCGCGAGTTCGATGTCGTTGTTTTCGGCGACAAGACGATTCTTGATGAAGGTACGATACGACGTTCCATTTGAAATGTCCCCAACAGGGGAGACCGAAGACAAAATCGGATTCTTTTCCACAATGAGACAAGAAAAGAGCGAGAAAATTTTTAGATTAACAATGCTGACCAAGTTTTTTTCTCTGTGCAGAAGTTGAAAATTGGCCCATGTGGTAAGTATTGAAGATCCCTCGGTAACGTAAAGAGGATAGTGGCATGTCCCCTTGCGTTTTGAGCCAGCTGAGAGAAATCAACACCCCATGGAGCACGCGACATTTGCTAATATGCCTCAAGTGACTACCTAATATCCTTTTATTCTGATGGATTTCCCCTCGAGAAGGCCATCGCCTATATAAAGACGAGAAAACCCTTCTGCGTCAACGATGTGCCCATGCAAAAGATCCTTTGGGACCGCCGTGCATGCTTGCGTCTGCTAGACAAGATCCAAGTTCGAACACCAAACCGCCTCGAGGTCACACGAGACGGTGGACCAGAGGTTCTCAGCCCAGAAATGACGAAATACATCAAGGAGATATCAGGCGTGAGCTTGGAGCCCGCCGACCCCGAAAATACCTTGCCGCCAAAAAAGGTCGAGCTAATAGATGACGGCGACGTCCTCAGTGTCGATGGCGCACTCCTCAAGAAGCCCTTTGTAGAGAAGCCCATCAGCGGCGAGGATCATAACATCATTATATATTTCCCAAAGAGCTCAGGGGGAGGAGGACGAAGGCTGTTCCGAAAAGTTGGAAACAAGAGCTCGGAATATGTTCCCGACTTGAATATCCCCAGGGCGATTACCGAGCCTGAAGGCAGCTACATCTACGAAAGCTTTATGGAAGTCGACAATGCCGAGGATGTCAAGGCGTATACCGTTGGTCCTCAGTATTGTCATGCGGAAACTCGCAAGTCGCCCGTTGTCGATGGTATCGTTCGGCGAAACACGCACGGAAAAGAGCTGCGCTACGTTACTAGCCTGAGTACCGAGGAAAGGGAGGTAGCGCGCAAGATCTCGACTGCTTTTGGGCAAAGAGTCTGCGGCTTTGACTTACTGAGAGCCTCTGGGAAGAGCTATGTCATCGACGTCAACGGCTGGAGCTTTGTCAAGGATAATGAGGACTACTACGAGCATTGCGCCAGCATTCTTAAAGATGTTTTCATCAAGGAACGGCTTCGTCGTGGCATCACATCACCGCCAGTTGCTTCTCCCGCCCCTTCTTCTTCAGAAGCCGACCCTATCGCAAGAGCAGGGCAGACGATTGAGCAAGGAGGCTCCAGCACCACTGCTGCGCAACCCATACCCGTGGCAAAACAGAGCAACCGCTCATCGCAGGCTGAGCAGGCCGACCAAGCCGAATCAGCGATTGCTCCTAGCAACACAGCGTCGCCTACCATACAAAGCACGCGGACGTCCGTTGGTCAGAGCACAGCAGGCAGCCCTTTGATGCCACAGCCATTGCCACCGCCAGCCGCAGACATTACGTCGCCGAGTGTCTTGTCGACGACTCCTGCGTCTAGCAAGGATGCATCACAGTCTCCCGCCGGCGCCTTGGCGCAGGAAGAGGAAGAGGCTGAGCCGTCACCCCCTCCTCCACCTCCTCCAAAGCATTCGTGGAAGTTGAAAGGAATGGTTTCGGTAATCAGACATGCGGACAGGACTCCCAAGCAAAAGTATAAGTTTACTTTCCATACTGAGCCTTTCATCGATCTTCTCAAGGGCCACCAAGAAGAGGTGCTGCTCATCGGAGAGCCAGCCTTGGCGAGCGTGATACAAGCCGTAGACGTCGCTTACTTACAGGGCATCGAAGACAGGGAGAAGCTTAAATCTCTCCGAAACGTCCTGGTAAAGAAGGGAAGCTGGGCTGGAACCAAGGTACAGATCAAGCCCATGTTCCGCAAGAAGAAGCCGCTGCAAGTGCCGGAATCTGAGGAAGCTCCCATGGCAGCGAGCCAGACCGGGGAAAGCACTCCGCTAAATCCAGGAGGCGATACAGAGCCAACTCCTGAGGGGCGGTCATCAAAGAGGCATGATTCAGTTTCAGAAGTGACCATGTCGAAGTTTACCGCCGCCGAAGAAAGCCTTGTCCTCGACAAGCTTCAACTCATCGTCAAGTGGGGCGGAGAGCCTACGCACTCCGCGAGGTATCAGTCACAGGAGCTAGGAGAAAACATGCGTAACGACTTGATGCTACTCAACAGGGATATCCTCGACGAGGTCCATGTCTACAGCAGCTCCGAGAGGCGGGTTACGGCTAGCGCACAGATCTGGGCATGCTCATTTTTAGGCCAAAAGGAACTACCGGAAGACTTCATCACCATCCGCAAGGATCTTCTAGACGACTCCAATGCTGCCAAGGACGAAACGGACAAGGTAAAGAAGAAGCTCAAGGGCTTGCTCCGCGAAGGCAACGACCGCCCGGCGCAATTTGCCTGGCCTGAGAACATGCCTGAGCCGTCCGAGGTGCAGAACCGGGTGGTTCAGTTGATGAACTTCCATCGCCGGGTTATGCAGTACAACTACGGCAAACTGTACCCCAGCAACGCCGCCACATCTCTCGGTGCCATCTCCAACCCAAGCAGCGAGAGGCTCAATGGCGAGGGATCCAGCACGTCGTTGTCGTCAGCACTATCACAGGCTAATGCAGTGAACAACATTCAACCCAGGTGGTGCTGCGGGGAAGACGCGGATCTCTTCCGGGAGAGGTGGGAGAAGCTGTTTACGGAGTTCTGTGACGCGGAGAAGGTTGATCCCAGCAAGATCTCTGAGCTCTACGACACGATGAAGTTTGACGCCCTGCACAACAGGCAGTTCTTGGAATGGGTCTTCACCCCTCCAAGGAGTATGCTTGAAGAGGAATACGGAGTCAAGGATGGTAAGACCGCAAAGGATAGCGAGGAAGCCAAGACAGCGGTGGCAGACGATGGCAAGACAAGCTCAGGGACCTCCCCTGACAACTCGGACAAGACAGAAGGCTCCAGCCGATCGGCAACCGTGAAGAAGCTATTCCGGCGACGATCTTTCCTCAACAACCTTCGCCACATTAACGACGAGGCGCCGCCGGAGCAGTACTTTAGGCTGTACAAGAGCAGCAGCGCCTCGGCGGAGAAGCCAGACCCGCGGAACGAGCCGCTGCAGGAGCTCTACCGGCTAGCCAAGATCCTCTTCGACTTCATCTGCCCCCAGGAGTACGGCATCTCGGATAGCGAGAAGCTGGAAATCGGCCTGCTGACGTCCCTGCCGCTGCTCAAGGAGATTGTCCAGGACCTGGAGGAGATGCAGGCCTCCAACGACGCAAAATCCTTCTTCTACTTCACCAAGGAGTCGCACATCTACACCCTGCTCAACTGCATCATTGAGGGCGGCATCGAGACGAAAATCAGCCGGAGCACCATCCCAGAGCTCGACTACCTCTCGCAGATTTGCTTCGAGCTGTACGAGTCGGAAGTCAGCCCGCCCGCGGAGGGCGCTCCGGGCGACGAGCCCACTTTTGCTTATAGCATTCGCATCACAATCAGCCCTGGGTGCCATGTCTTTGACCCCTTGCACGTCCAGCTGGATAGCCGGCACTGCATCGGATGCGCGCCGCGGCGCAGTCTCACGCCCCATCTAGATTGGCTGCAAGTGATCAAGACGCTACGTGCCAAGTTCAACCAGTACGTTATCTCCCCGTGCCTTGTCCCCCTTCCCCTTCCCCTTCCCCTTCCCCTTCCCTTCCGAATTACGTACTCTTTTTTTTTCCCTTCTCTTTCTCTATCCCGTATAAGCTTGTTCCTTTATCCTCCATCTTCTAGTTCGTATAGGAAACTTTTTCTTTTCCATGTAGAGTAACAACTAACGTCTTGTGACTTTTTTTTAAAAAAAAATAGGGTCAAGCTGCCAAAGACTTTCCTAGCCATCAATTTGTCAGATGCCTTCAGCTTTGAAGAAATCGACAAACAAGGCAGCGACCAAGAAGGAGCAGGAGAGCTCCTGGAGATGAAATCGGTCTCCACAAAGGAAGCAACGCCCGCAGATGCCGGCCTCGATGCGAGCGAAAGCTGCGCAGTCGCCGATGACGAGGACGAAGCTCCTCCTGCTGCTGCTGCTGCGGCTGCTCCTAGCCAATCAACTAGCTAAGTTAGCAGTGCCATCGAATTTTAAAGCACGGCCCGATTATAAGCCCCCGGCCTAAGAAGTGGTACTACGTAGCCCTACAAGGCGAGCAAGAAAGAGAGAGGGAGAGTCGGAAAAACGAGATCACGCCCTTTGGTAAACGCCGGTGGGCCGGCCGAACCAGCGATGACGAAACCCCTGGGCGTTCCAGGAGAAAGCGGGATTCTGTTTGAGTAACCTTGTTTTTTAATTTGTCTTATTCCACCAGCGAAAGAAAGAAAAAAAGAATTAATAATAGCGGTCCTCTTTTTTTTTTTTTATCCTTTTGTTTCTTGATTACCTGGGGTACCCATACACAGTAAGCTCTGAGGAAAGACCTTTTAGCATTTTAGTCTCGGTCCCTACTTTTAAACCACGACGGTTCTTCGGTTTCGAAAAATTGTTGTAAGAGCAAGGCAGGGCATTTGCATATTAGAGTTGCCGACTTAGCCGGCGGGCAGCAAAATTAAATTGTCGGGTTGTTAACACTCTTTCCAGTTCAATTTCTGATATTGGCGTGTCAAAGTCTCAAAGAAGAAGAAGAAGGAGTGGCTGGTCGATAGTTGAGAGTACATACGTTAGCGAGTGGCTCGCGCGCGGTAGCCAGGGGGTGGAAGTGGGAGCGTCAGAGACTTGCGCTGACTACTACAACTACTATGCGCAGACGGAAATAAAAGGGTTATAGATGGAGGAGACTTCCTCGGCTCGAGCACTCGGGATGGATGTCCGGACAAGGAAGTATTGCATCTAGACGGCAATTTTTTCCCTTCGTTTTCTTTCCCCCCTTTCAACGGGTCTATTTTTCTTTCTTTCTTAAAGTTCCAGAACTAGGAGATGACAATGGCTGGTTAAAATCGTGGCTTGTTTCAAGCGGTATTAGCATGTGGGATGCGAATTACATGAGGACGCTCTTGGCGTGATTACCGTATCAGCCTCACGACCTCCAACTAACCCCCATTGCCTGTCGATACAACAAGCGCTTCTCTCATAATCATGACGGAGATAGTACATAACGTATGTTAGCATGATGTAAATAATGCCATTGATCGTCATCAGCAGCCACAAACGAATCAGAAGTCATATTCGAAACCAACAGACATAAATATCCCTGCAGTTTGTAACAAATCCTTGCTTGGCGGGGCTTTCTCTACGTCGTGTCGAAATCGCAATTTAGGCAGACGTTTGAAAAAAAAAAAAATTAAAAAAAAATAAAAAAAAAAAAAAGACCCCCCAGCATTGGTAAGTACGGCGGCCTCGAAGACGCGCTCGGACCAAACATCCCAGAAAGTGAACTGTCTCATATCCAGAGATGGTAATGACAAATGACAGACCCAGAAACTTGGGCTCGGGAAGAGGCGCACTAGCGCTGGCTCCGGCCCCTGTCTAGCGTGCCGGCGCAGCGGTGCTGGGAATGGCAGCGTGACACGGCCAAGCTAGAGCGTAAATGACAATCATCCGGCTATTACCATCCAGGAATCCGGAGCTCCCGTCTAGGAAGGGGATGCAGGATGAGAGCACATGCAATCATTCCGGGTAATGCGGAGATGCTGTACATATTTGTAGACTTTCTTGCTAGCATCATATGTACCCCATTTGTGAAGGTGGTGTTAGCATAACCGAGCACGTGGTATTCAACGTTACTCTCATCCTGCTGACGGTTCAAGTACAAGTAAGCAAGCTATGGATCTTCTAAGCCTTGTGGCTCCAATGCGAAAGATCCTACGGTGCTCTGTTTCCGCTATAGTAAGCACTATGTATGCCTTATCTGAATCGTTAGAGGCATATGGCAGGTATATGAAGGCATATAGAAGATTCCTCCCGTGGGGGTATGGAATCCGTAAAGAGTAATTAACTTTCGAGAGAGACTCTCGCCAAGACCCTGTCGCGTGGTGGATGGCCACTACGTCATGGCGATACCAGCGAAGAAGCCAGACCTCGGGCGAGCTCAGATATAGCTAGCTGTTTATCGTAAAACGCGTTGGTTTACCGTCTGCATCTCTTCGCCGAGCATGCGGCGCAGCGAACAAGGGGTATCGGCGAGCAGCGGTGCCAGAAGGAGTAAGAGCAGCGAGTAGCTGCTCGGAGGAGAAAGAGCGGCTAGCCGGAAGCTATTGGGACACGTCTAATAATAAAATTCCCCACAAGCAATGTTCTAGAAAACTCGATGGCGTCGCGGATGACTTTATTGATGCTTCCCCCTCAACAGCCGCTCTTGGCGACAGCGTGCAGCATAAAGTGCGTACCAGTGACGAAAGAACTTGTAGAGACACAGCGCTCAACCTTGCGCCGCTTAAGTGGATTCGGAATACCCATACCCGCTCTTATTCTCGAAAATTATCATCTGCCCTCAAATGTTCAAGTCGTTGATAAAGATAAGAATGCGTGAGGCCATCAAACTTGGCGCTAACCGCAGTTGCTGCCGAGGCAATAGTGTAAGGGGTTTCAAACGGGATAGAAACGCCACATCTCGATATGGGCAAAAATACTGCTACTAGCCAGCATCGTTGACTTCCAAATCGCTCCTTTTGAGTGCACTTGCGCCGCCGTCGGATGAAGACGTCGTTCCAGGGCTGACGTCCTCGTGGCTTCGGGAGGTGTGGGCCCAATTAGCAGCGCCCGACGAGGTGTACCGCTCTCCAGGTCTCAGATCTACATCAGCTTGAAACATAAAGAGAAGGCGGCGGAGTCCTTTTAGAGCGAAGAGCAGGTGATGTTGTTTCGAACAATAGCCCGGGAATGCTGTCTGTATACAAAGGACGAGAGGGTCATCTCCCATGACAGGAATCACATGATAATATCCTGGTGCGGGTAACGGGGAAAGGGAGAAGAATAGCCTGAAAAGCCGATCTTTGTTAGCCAGAACCTAGAGGAATGGTTGCATCCAATACCCAGAAGCTTCGCGCTGCTGCGCTGTTTATAAAACAGCGACCAGGCCCTTGCCCTGTCAGCCGATAGCCGGTCTATATGGTAAGCTGGGCCGGTGATACGCAGTAGAAAACCCGCTCATCTAAGCTTTTATTAAGCGCGAAATAGCTTGAGCCAACCGGATTTAAGAGCTTCAATTGCTAGATCGCCGACCTATATGTCGCTTCCAGGAACAACCAATGATGTTCTTTACGGCCGATGCTGTTGATAGGTACGTATTGACAAAGTAATTCCAGAAAATAGGAGTCGGACCTTTTGCATGTGAGCGATTGATAAACAAGTTCATCTATGAACTTCGACGTCTGGTATATGCAGGATATGACCGTATTAGTGGGTTGATGCTGTCTCGCAAAAGGTTCAAAAAACATATCTGCTAGACTGTACTCTCTATAAAGGAGCACATGCCCCAGAAGATCGAGAGCACTCGGCAGAGAGAGTGACGCGAAGAGGAATGTGGAGAGCAGGAAGTCCATTCAACAGCAGCGGCAATGTCACTGTTCTCGGCCACTCATTTCCCCTTTATTCCCCGTGCATAGGTCGCTGCGGTAGCGGACTAAGTCCAAAACTGTTTGGCGACGTGTTTCAACGAATCGCGCCATAACAATTATGTGTGAAATCTGGACGCTTGATGCTTGTATTGCCTGCAATTATCCTGGCCAGGCTAGGAGTTTTAGAGAGATGAATGCAAGGTTAATCGATGTAGCCCTGTAGCCTTCAAGCAGGTGGCCAATGCTGCAACCAATCGCTTCGACTAACCAGCCGCTTATGTCTCTACGATCCAACGCTTGATGCTGCCGGGATGACTTCCGGCCATCCGCCAAACAAGTTTGACCCTGCGGCAAGTGGAAGCCTTGTTATAGATGTGCCAGTCGATGGCTCTTTTGTTATCTTGCCGTGGCGAGTTTTTGGATCATCCATTAGAGAAGACGACATGTCACTTGCCCTACGTGGCATGGCCTTCGGAGCAGGCAAGTTGGACTGTGTGTATGGCTGTGATGCAATGATTCGCTCGGATGCGGCACCCAAACTACAAGCCGATGGCGCATTTCGCGTAGGCAAGGGTATGCAATACGTAAGACTCTCGGGGAAAGGCGAATCAGTAGAGTAATCACATATCGACCGCGCTGATAGCTCAAATATCCTGCATGCAAGTACAGCAAGCCGTGTTTGAGCGCTGCGTAGCTAGAGTTGTATGGATAGAGGGCTAGATTGCACCCCATGGACCAACGATATGGGCGGGGTCAACAGAAGGGCTAATGGTAGGTCAGGTATAGTCAATAAGCCGATATTGCATGCATGTGCTAGCTGCGAAACGTGCTCGAATCATCGAGGAAACAAGAGGCCAGCACAGCGCGTCGCCTTCCTATAACGCAGATATCTGACTCATTTGAAGCCCCGAAATAGAGCAAAGGCGATTTGAACAATGCAACGTAGCGTAGACTAATCATTGAGGCCAAGAAGTTGGCGTGGTGATGAGTGATTGAATAGTAGCAGCAGCTACTATGTTGAGAGCTTGCTAGACCGGCGCCGGCGCGAATCGCATCGTAGATCGTGGCTGGGTTGGCAGCCACTGGAGGCCGCATGTCCACGTCTCAGGGTGATCTAGTTGAGGCGTAATACTTATACAGCGAGGTGAATTATGTAATTTGTTTGCTACACCCCGTACTGTGTTCGCAGTGGGGAGCCAAGCGACGGCCAACATTTCGCCTGCGCTGCTGTTAGTCTGAAGACGCAATCATCAATATGTGCTGGTAGCGCTACTTGCTGCTGCCACCCAAGTAGGTAGCTGCATAATACCGCATATCAATCGCCCTTTGCAACGCCAGGGATCCCTGGCCCGTCTAATGGCAGTACAGCTCGACAGGGGTGCCGGAGCGTTTGTCAACCGCGCTGCTGTGCCGCGAGGGGCCCTGACGGTTGGACGGGTAGATGGTTGATTGGCAGTGAGATGATTGGCCAAAAACGCTAGGAGGCGGCGGCCAAGGCGAAGTTTGGCGAGATGCTCAATGCTTACGGAGAAGAGGGTGTGTGTATAAGCATGCGAATGCGATTATGGCGAGGGTGAGCAGAAACAGGATTGGCTGATGACAAAAAAGTAGAGAAGAAGAGAGAAGAGAGAAGTAGAAAGTATAGAGAGAGAGAGAGAGAGAGAGAGAGAGAGTAGGAGATCAGTTGGGGAGAAGAGGCTGCTTGGAGAAGGAGCAAACGGCTGCGAGAAAGAGGAAGGACCCAAATATCGGATCAAGTAGAGTAATTGTTTCTTGATATTTACCTGTTCATACCCCAACAGTGTCGTTTCCTCTCTTGCATCTTCTATTGTTCCCTGAAAAGTAATTTTGGTTCTATAACCTACTAGGTAGGTATTTAATTATGTTGTTTTCCCCTTCCCCCCTTTTTTGCCTCTTTTCTTTGCTGTCTTTGGTGGCGGAAACCGAATAAATTATTGTTGTTTCTAGAAGTAGCAAAAGAAGGTAGCAGCCGTACGGAGTAAAATAGGGCCTAGCGGCAGCTCTCCGATACGGAAATAGAACAGCGAAGCCCCCTGTCTCTCGCCAAGATTTGTTAGGAGCCTTTCAGTATTCTGGCAGGAAATATGTAAGAATAAAGGTATCAATACCCTTGAACGTGAAATAGTTCAGCGGCCAGTATCAGTATTACATGGCGCGGGACAAATACAGGCGATCCAAAGCCCTCCGTCTTACCTGAGCAGAATACGGACCTCCCAACAAGCACTTAGCCTCGGGCGCAGGCTTATACCCGCCCTCCTAATATGCTCTATAGCATCAAATGTTTCAAATGGCACTACTGCTAGGTATCTACCTCACATAAATTAGGAGTGGTGCTCATCGCGCTGAGTATTACAATAGCACTAGAAACGTCGCTCACATAGCCCTCTATTTCCCCGATGTCTGCCCGGGGCTGCGGGACGAGATGCGAGAACCCGGATGGGCATGTCTCTGTTTCTGCCCGTTTCTTTTTCTCTCGCTCGTTTAGCGAGCAAGCGAGTCCTGGATCATCAAAGGGTAGATCTCACCACAGAGTTGATCTCACTTTCAAGCATGCCCCATACTACAGGCACCCAGCACCATTACCACTTACCACTTACTACTACTTGTAAGCACAGTCTACGGATGTCGTAGGTGGTGTGCATGGTAAGGGCGAATCAGGCAATTCTCAGCAGGCCATGGGGTGGGTTAAAAGCCAGAACGCTTCCCGCTTTCCTGATATCCGAATTGAGGGAGGGGAAATCCCATGGTCTGAGACAATGCCCTGAGACGATGCCGAGGCAGAGACCCAGGCATCAGGCAAATCAATATCGACAACATGGTCGAATCTCGCCGACTTGGCCTCGGGTGCGGGTTACTGGCAGCAGCGTAGACCGGCCTAGACTAAATCCCATGCGTCCCAGGCCAAGCTTGGCCGATCCGTTTGCTGGCATGACAGGCGTCTCGCTCATCGCCAGGTGATAACTTACTCGTAGCAAATCATGCGAATATACGGAGTACTTGGAGCGCATAGCCTATAGCGAGACTGGGCATTTCCTGGAACGTACTGGTCCCGCTGCGAGCTCTGCCCAAAACGACTTTGTCTGCATGTACCGCTAGCATCGCGGATGTACTAGCCGCCGCGGGGAGCTGCACAAGCTACAAACGAGCTGATTGAGAAAACAACACTGCAAGCGGTCTTCGGTCGCAATAGGCTCTGGGCTGCATATCGGTGAGCGGCCTGCATCGAGCTTCTGCAAGCCGTGCAGCAGCGCCGTGGGGTCCAAGTCGAGATCTTCCGAGGCCAACCAGATAGGTGAACAGCGCTGTAGGGTGTACTGTATCTCGCCAGGCGGTTGTCGCGAGGTACGACAGGGAGTACATATACATCGGTCGAGAAGCGCACGCGATGCGCGCTTATTGGCCAATGCCACTCGAAATTACTGCGTTTGGCCATCCGCTACCCTAGCAGGCGTGTACCTCTGCATCTTCCGTGCCTGGGCCCAATGCAAGCCACCAAGTGCTCACAGGTACTTCCCTATGCAGCAGCCACGACAGCTCTGCCCCAGAGCAAGAGAACAAGATGGCCACGTAATATTCTTCGCTTCGTGCTTGGAAGCCGGTTTATACGCCAAACCGGCTGCAACCGCACGGCACGGGGCATGCAAGGCGTTGGAAACCCGTGCATTTGGTACCCAACTGCTACCACACAGGTTCGAGTACATACCTTAGTATGTACCTCGTACCAAGGCAAGCCAAAGCACCAAATGTTACGCGCATGCATGAGGAGCCTTGTTTTCTAAGTGGCCGCAGGGAGATCGTCAGCCCATCAAGTCGTTTTAGTGTCCTTTCTCTGCCCGATGCCAGGAATACGGCGTTTGGCAAAACACCACCAGCTTCGGGCGCATTCGTAAAACACACCGCTTCCATGGCAGAATGACTCGATCCAGGCTGATTCAGCAGTCATTTTGGCTGCTTCACTTTCCTCCGTGTTTTCGGTCTTGTTCCAAGGGTTTGCCGTCAGTCTCCATCGGCCTCCAGCGTCGGCTGCAAAGGGCGCTGACACACACGAAGCCCTGTCTGAAATTGACTCCACTGGAAGAGCCCTAAATAAACACCATCCGACATGAGGGTACTGTCAAGGCCCCACGCCAAGCCGACCGATGCGGCGTTTGGCAGAAAAGAGCCACGACACATCATGGTCGGCAGACGTGTGTGACCGCTCACCCGTCCGTCTCACTTGGCCGTCGCACACGCGCTCTGGCTTTGGGCGTATGGTGATCCCATCTTGGAAAGGTGCGTCAAAACAGGCCTGGGCTGGGAACTTTTTTGTTTGGGCTGCCCCATGCGGTAGGGCTACATATGTACCTGCAAGCTGTACTCGTACATCTGGTTTGAGGTTAGTCGTATCTCTACTCCGTATCATGATTATCATGTTCTGGTATGGCTGATTGACTACCTACCGCAGCATCCAGAAATTCTCCAGCAGAACATTGCCGCTACTTGCGCGTATGGCTACTTGACTATACCACAGGTAGGTAAAGTGCCTGTAGTTTTTGGCATATCGGCTCGCACTATTCAGGAGGTCGAACGCACAGCTGCGCAACTTGATGCAGCATGAATCTGTCTGTCTCGAGCCATGACCACAGGCAATGACTCTACGACAGCCTCATACACATCAAACTTGCCTGTGCCAAGCAATCGCCCTACAAGCCTAACATGAGCTCCCCGCCAGCGCAGTTTAGCTCTCAATTAAGTATGCCGTAGCGTCCTTCATCCAAGAGACAAGTCCCAGGGGTGAAAACCCGCGCTCCCGTCAGTCAGACCCTTTGTGGCGTAAGAGAGTGATCCATGAACGGCGATGGCGGGTCAGCTCGGAGCAGGAGGGGGCACTGCTAGTAGTAGTGAGTAGTGCGAGTAAGTACGAAGTAGCACAGCTGTCGTAATGCTAGTTGCAGTATAGTAGTATGCTCGGTTCAGCCACAATGACGATGGTCTTTTCCTTGCTGCCCTTCTTTTTTCAGCCAACGTTGATGGACCGGGGTCCCTGGTCGTTTTGGCATGTTTATGCCAGGCTGCGGCTCTGTAATACTAGCTGCCAGACCATCCGCGGGTTGAATCGCCCGCAGCCAGGGAGCTGGAGCGTGACCAGCGACATCATCTGCTGTTGTTCGTCAAAACTCCAGGATTAGACCAAGTGCCAGGGCCAGGTTCCAGGAGGGCTGTGCGGGCTTGGTGATCTGATTCCCATCCCACCGGGTCGCCGCGCTTTCCCAGGTCCAGAGATGGGCTCGCATGGTCAAAGTGAGAGAATCTATACTATCCAAGTCAGCGAGACGACAGCGCCGAAATCTGGATACTTGGTGCTGCGTACCTGATGCTGCATGCTGGCTAGTCGTGAGGAGTTGAAGTCAGTCAAAGTCAACTGTAGTTGGCTCTGTTCTTTGTTCTTTGTTGCCTCAGGCTGGATAGTGAACAGCCACAGCAAGCCAAGTACCTGCTTTCGCATCCGGAGGTACTCGGGAGGGACGCGGCACGCGGCGTACCTTGCATTATAGCGGCGCCATCCACCACGCAGCTGCATGTACCTCCGACAGATAGTCATCGGTAGCCGTGCATGCTGCACGCCGTACCACGCCATGCGCAGTTCGCTTGGCTGCGTGTCTCCCTTTTAGCAGGTACGGGTCCATCCAGAAAACAAGTACCGGTACATGTCACTCCTCCCTTGCGTTGGCCTCTTTGTCTCTTTTGTCTCTCTCTTCTTCGTCTTCCTCATTTCTCTTTTACGTTGTCCCTCTTTCGTCCTTTCACCATCCTCTTGCTTGACCCTTGGTCGTTTTCTGCCCCTCTATGCGTCATCCCTCCTCGATAATCATAATCCTTGCTCGCCTTCATCACGATACTCGCTCCTTCGTCAGCAGTTGTGGATGGGAAAGGCAAAGACGTCAACACAGTCCGTGGGGATCAAAAACCAGAACCGAGCCGCCTGCAATTGATTCAAGGCCGCTGAGGCTCTTTGAAATCTCTGCCGTCGTTGATTGATTCCATCGTTCGCCATCAACCGCGTTACCCGCATCTTCGCCGTTTTCTAGAACCAATCTCGGTACTTCTCACCACCGGAGCCAGCTCCGGCGTTGCACCAGGCTGTCGGCACCCGCTTTGCTAGGCCCCCCGTCATTTCTTCCCGCAAAGGTCTGCAGGAATCAAGCAATCGACATTGGCCCTGTTCTATTTTTGAACCCCAGTCGTTGCTCATCACCTGGGCGAACTCGCCACCCAGGGAGCCTCTTTATCGGTATCCTGCCCCGGATTGATAGCTCAAAACGCCCGCTTCTACGCCCCGTCAACAGTCAAAAGACACAACACCCCCCTTGCCAAGTACTTGCAGGGGCCATTGGCCCGGTCTCTTGTGCTTCCCGGCACCTGGCCTCTCCCGTCGTCCGCCTGGGCCCTTGAACCCTGAGCCGAGCACCAACTGAACAAAAGCCTGAATTCCGCCGGCATAAGAGCAAACAAAGACGGGACAGCTTCACACACTACCTTGTCACTCACTGCTTTCACTTGCCGGGGTCGCTTTCCGATCCGTGGGGTTTCTAAAAAGCGCCGGGGTTCGATATATAAATCGCCCAATTCACGTCCTTTATTCAGCATTCACCACAGCTTGACACTCAACCATTCACTCCTCATTTATACAACTCTGATTATCCACAGAGCATATTCATACTATTCTCAACATCTCAGGAAATACTTCCAGTATAAACCAAAAACTTTAAAAGAAACGCCTTCCTCTCCTGTCAGCCGCCACCACTGCTGACACTCATATCAACAATCACTTTCGCTCACTTGCACTAGTCATCCTGAGCAAACGTCACTATTCTTTCACATTATTTGAATTTATACTGTCCTTTATATCAGCAATAGCAGAGGACTCAATCTAAGATATTTCCATCTCTGACAGATACCTAACCAGCGTCCCTCAACTCAAATTACAACAACCGTCAACACGGCTCAACGACAATCTTCAGCAACAATGGCAGTCTCTTGTGCTCATTCCTTTGTCATGATCAAATCTGACAACACTCTTGTTGAGTGGGTTTGCCAGCACTGCCGCTCGGGTCCTCACTGGGCCATCTACGAGTGTACTTATTGCAAGCTTCACTTGTGTCGCCCTTGTACCCAGGCTACCTAAGCTGACCATAAGGCTACTGTTTACATCGAAGCAACAACTAATTGATTGGCCAATCCCATGGCAGGCCCACGGGGAAGGCCAGTCGTGATTTTACCTACCCACCTTGCCGTTTGGGATGGAGTAACATCTTGAACTCGGCCTATTATGACGACTTTCTTACTTTTTACGAAGCGCTCGCTTCTTTGGAAACGCTTTTAGACGGATACAGTTCCCACGAATCATGACTTTCGCTCCTACTGGTTTTTCTCTCTTTGTCTTGATCACATATCCCCATCCTCCAGCACTTGTCTTTCTTTGGCGCTCGCCAGTTACTACTTGCATCCAAAGCTGTAGCTGAAGCCCATATTTGGCTTTACCTATAGCATTATGCGCAAAAGCGGTGGCATTGTGTTTTATTGCCTGCGTTCGCAGCTACCTGTGGAGACATACGATGGTCACATGCCATCATGTTTGCATCACCATCCTCATCAGTATAGGATAGTCTGCCATTTGTCTATAACTAGAGGTCATACTTCTTCTCATTCTTACTTTGGTTCCCCAAGTACGCGATTGATGTTTGTTTTTGTTTTTGTGTTTCTGGGTCTGGGTCTGGATTGGCTTTGTACGTTTGATCACTTTGGATGGTCCGGTTCTCTCTTCTACTCATTAGCCCGCGCTGTTTTGAGATTTAGATGGATGGACGAGGCTGGCTCACGTACTTGCATATAGATTGGCTGCCGTAAGGCAAGGATGCTTCAACATGAATATGTGAGCTTGGCACATAGAATCAGAATATATACGGATATCGATTACATCTCTGTTACCTAACGACTTGGCTTGTAATTCTCACAGTGCAATCGAACACCTTTTAAACTAATCGAAAATAAGCCCATTTATTGGGGAGAGACAAGATTTTTGTATTTTTTAGATGTAGATGGAAAGACTTCCGGCATAACAAGTAGAGATGTCAGATCCATAATCAATATGTCAGAAAATTATACGCCATTTAACATGCGTTATAAGAAACTAAGGGAGTCATATAAGGTGCTGTCTATGAACATTCATCGAAAGCATAAAGCAAGAAACCAGCTATTAGGGGATATTCTCTACTACTATTGCTTTTCTAGTTACATAACTCTTTACTTTGTATTTAAAAAAAAAAAAAAAAAAAAAAAAAAAAAAAAAAACCCTAAAGCAGTCATTTTATCCTGTCTATGGGCACATGCTAAATGAAGACAGAGAGAATATGGCCCAATCTCGTTCCGTCTTTCTTTTCATCTCTATTTGTTTCTTCTTTCGTCTCTTTTTATTTATTTGCCTGTTCTGTAGTACAGAAGCTGTGGTCCCAAGAACAAAGGAAGGACATGCATATCAAGAAACAACGGTACGTCTGTAGCACAGAGATCCGTCTGGTGTGAGATCATCTTGTGTGCCTGTAGACGTGATACACAAGATGGGTTTGTCGATCTTGGTAACACAAAAGATACTCCAAATTTTAAGTTTGTGTGGTTTACACACTAATAGGATACACATGCATTGTTTGCTTGCTTGTTTGCTTGTCTGACAAATAGGAGGAGATGGAATGGGAGAGGAGAGAGCGTTTAGTATAAGCCGAGGCCCTCTTAATAGGCAATACTGTCGCTCACAGTCAAATGACGAAACTTGACTCAGATTTACACATAACGATAGAAGCGAGCAATCGTCTTATCCTTGTACGGCCAGTCAGCCGCTGGTCTCTCGACTGTTCTCTTCGTCACAGCTACTTCGTCTCCGACAGAAATGTCAGCGCCATCCAAGTCATCAACCAGGAAGGCATATTTTCCGAAGACAGGCTCCCACTTGGCGCCCATGTCGACACGTCGATCTGCCATCAGCTTCTTGAGCAGCATACCCTTCTCCCCTTCTCCGAACCGGCCCGTGTCGTAATCGACGTTGAGAGAGGTGCACCTGTCGCACAGCTTGGTCAAGGCAAGGACAGGGCGACCGCCGATGGACAGCTCGGCCCAGAAATCCTCTTCGAATTCGACCTCGCCGTCCACAACGATATTAGGACGGAACTTTACAATATCCACGGTGGTATTGGAGAACCGCGCGTTGACATTTCTGAGCGACTTCTCGGTCACGACGAGATAGGCAGCCATATCGGCAAAAGCAAGCCAGTCTGGCTCGGGCTTTGACTCTGCCTGACATTTATCACTTCCGCCCCATACATAGCTGTACAAATAAGGGAGCCAGCTCTGGGTAGGGGGTACAGCAGCGACCACCGGCTGGCTTCTAGGTGAGTTGGTGCCTAGTACTGGACGACGCTCATCGCCAATGTAGAAGAAGATAGTTTCGAAGCCGAAGCAAGCAGTAAACCACTTATCAAAATAGTCTCCCATACGGTAAGCATTGACCAGTGCCTGATGAAGGTTGATCACTTGCTGGCCGAGACCCGATAAGTCAGGATTCAGGGGCACGCGGAGGACGACTCTCTGTTCCGGGCATGATGGCACCAGCGGCACCTCTGGAGGCATATATCGAACGTGAACCTCATCGCCTACAATTTCTGGGATGAAGCGGCTGCATGCAGGAAACCTATCAAGCTGTAGCTTCTGCAGGTCCCCATTCTCTTTGACCTTGAAGAGCATGAACCGTCTGTCATATTGCACACCTTGGGAGCCAAGGTGAGCGTTGTGGAGCGATATGCCGCGAAGTCCTTTGATAGGGTAGACCCAGATCTGGGGTAAGACAGTAGTGGTAAGCAACCTTAATCTAATTCACTCCACGCTAGGTAAGACGCTTACTCCTGTGACTTTCATGACCGGCGAGATTGGGTGTTCCAACGGAGTAGATTTTGGCCGACTCGAGTGATTGAAACAAGAATATGACTGAGATGCTGCTACTGCCCTTTACCTCAAATTTTGAGCCGTAGTGAGACACTTGTATGTTATTTTAAAACGAGAGGTGGCCGTTAGAACTCCATATTATTCGCCGGACTGCCTTAATAATCTCGGTCATGTCTGCTTGTATGGTACGCCTTGTCTGGCGCGCCCTTCCACGGCAATTGGCCAACTAGGCTGTAAATCATAACTTATTGGCCGGATCCCCGCCATTCACCTCCGCAGCAAGCGACCGATAATCTCGCTGGCTTTAACCTTGTCTTTTCCCCTTCTCTTCTTTTCTTTAGACGTGGGGGTCAATGCTTGGTGACATGGATTCGCGACAATTTATGAACATGCTGATAGGTGGCGAGACAAGCAGCCACGCAAAAGAAAGATCTACTTTATAATAGCATCTGTAAATCTCCAGTTGCAAACGTAGATAGATGCAGGCAGGCTCAAGTAGATAAAGAAGCAGAGAAACACCCAGAGAGACGGGTGTAGAGCGAGGGGCATATTGGTACGATTTTTGCAGTATGGCGGGATTCTTCAATCTAGTTCCCATCAATTCTGCCTACTCACTAGCCTGCACATTTTGTCCACTGACATTCCCATGGAACGCCGAAGATTGCCGGAAGTGATTAGAGCCGGGCTGCAGAGCCTAGATCTCCTTCGCTTTTGGACATTCTTGCTCTTTCGCGTGATCAATACTTTCGTAATCATGGATTCCTTGCCAGCTTCAGGGTTAGAAATGACTAGCCAAGCGGTCTATTAGCGAACAGCGGTTGTTGCATAATTCTGCTGCCTTCTTTGTAACATTTTTTCTGTCGCTTCTTATCATTGACGCCATTTAGCCGAAAGTAATAATGATAGATAAAAGCTTAAGGGACAGGGTCATTTGTAAAGCGCCGTCAAGCGAAAATCAAAGCGCATTGAGAAGAGATGCCATGGTCAAAGGTAAACATTTCATTGGGGAATAGCCATGGCCCCTCTTTCTTTCCTCACATATTTTTAATAAAGAAATATCGAGGCTACCAAATTGCGTATATTAACGCTTGAATCTGTTTGAGAGCTCCAGGGCATTCTTCTACCCATGTATTCATCGTGCAGAAGACCCTTAGCATTTTGACCACCTCCCACTTGCGTTTGTCAGTGAGGGGGGAAACAAGAATTCAGCCAGGCCATATCGACTTTGTAGTAAGCGTGAATGTTGAAATGAAATCGTCTGGTTTTCGTTTGTAGAAACGCGTATGGCTTCGAAGACCATGCGAACCATGAGGCAAGCGAAATAGCGAGCATCAAACCCGGGGCGGGGAAAGCAAGATACTTCGGTGAATGGATATCTAAGAAAAGCTTGTGTAAGCTAGAGGCTGCAGCTAATGTTGCCGCGGATCTGACGTATGAAGGTGGGCACTGGGCAAAAACCAGGCCGCTTATCCATCTGTCACCCGGGACCTGGTATGCTCCAACCCGGAGTCTTTTTCGTAATCCCCTGCATCAGTACCGGCTCTCACGGCGAGTTGATTTCGAAAATACTGACCAAATATCATCACCGCGTCTTCAAGTTCCGTTCAAACCGTCTTGGCAACAAAACGAAGCGGCCTCAGTTACTCAAATACGAAAATCGCTGGTGCTATGTATTCGGACGCGTACGCTCTGTACGTCAGCAGTGGATCGACCACCCTTGCTCTTCTTTTTGAGACGAGGATCCCTCCGTTAGAAGCGTTGCCGAGTAGGAGAGGGTCGATGTTAGCTTGATAGCTTAAGTGGCCGGGTTACCGAAGGATTTGGATGATGACTGGCTTTGAATCCGGTGTTGATAGTTTCTGCCGCTATATCACATCACATGGCAGTTCTCATGGCAAATAGCTAGCACACATACTAGTGACGAGAGAACAATTAGTGGTAGTGAGCTTTACCCGCGCCATCGGGAACGGGCATGTGGTTGATGTGAAATATCAAATCATCTTTTTTTGTGAGTGCACGGCATGCTTGCTGATTCGTTCAGCTCTTTATCTTGCAGTGTTGGGAGTGGGCCGAGACGGGATGTATCCAACCCTGATAAAGCAGATGTGGCACAAGAGGGGGACGATATAATCCTTCACATATGCACGGCAGCCTGCGTTGGTTCTGTAAATCTATACTTCGGGATGCATATGAAAGGTGCTGTGCATATCGTATTAGATGCGAGCCAGTTAGAAATAACGGTTGGTCTTGACAAATGCAGCGGATAAGAGGAAGAGATGCCGGCCACTTATTCATTCACTTGGGGCGTCAGGCCGTTCAAAGGCACGCTTGCATACGTGCATGCAGGTATGAGCAAGCATAATGCTAACTCAACGCAAGTGGTGTGGTGTGGTGTGTGGTGCACTTGGACGTCCAATTCACCCGGCTTGCATTATCTTCATCGCTCAATATGTAGCTTGATTTGCGCAATCTGGACCCCGATAGCCGTCTTGCTTGGCAATCCTGATAACCCTGAAGGACGTGCCATGAGCTCACATCTGCAGGCAGGGCCAGGCGAGAGGAACAGCCTGCCATGGCGGCGTGCAAATTACTGCTACTGCTGTTGGTTGACGCCTCGTTGAATCTATTGGATGCGCATGAGGAGTTTTTTTTCTTTGCTGGCTTATCGCGTGCCCTCCAGCCCAGCTAACTGGGGGCCCAGACCCTGGCTTGAGGCATGAGTTTTGGCGCTTGGGATCGCTAGTCTGGCTGGGTCCCAGGTGGAGAGAGGCGGCTGGGTTTGAAACCCCAGGTTTGTTTGAGCTTCTCCAGCAAGGGCTTGTTTTTAGTGCAGTGGGTGCGCTTGGTCGCATGCGAGCACGAAAGAGCCATTTGCAGAAAAAGTCGCTGGCATTTAAAGATGTGAAGAACGGCCGTGATGGAGATTCAAAAGGACGAGAGAGAAAAGAGGAGATGAACGTGACGTAGTGATAGTAGGAAGATGATATCGGATACCTGAGGCATCGCTGCTGGTGCAAAGCAACAGGTACTCAACTGCACTGTAGCACCTCTCCGCGGTCCACCGTTCTGCACGCTGCACTACTTTGCTGTTTGATCGTCTGCAAAAGAAGAAACTCCACTCGCTCCTCCTGATCCCATCTCCACCACCGCATGCGCTCTCTTCAACAGTTAGTCCAGGCACTAAGTACTAGAGGGAGGTATGTGGTATTTTTACTTGGCCAAAACGATTACTACCTACTGTATGCCGGCCATCAGCTAACATGCAGTAGTAGTCGCCTAATGGCCAACCAGCTCACGCCACCAGCTGCTCAACAACTTCAGCTCAGCTGCATTTGCTACAGAGTTCGGTGTGGAGGCCAGTCAAGGCCTCAAGCCACCGCCCGCTTTTACACACGCACTATTAGCACGCGGACATTTCGACGGGAAAAGCCACTTGTATTTTTTCAATTGCTAGCTGTGGAGTGGTTTATTAGTCCTCGATGCATCAGTATGAATCTGTTGCTATAGAACAGTCGAGTTCGAGTAAATCTTCGCAGAGCAACCACGCGATGGCAGGCAGATGTGCTGCATGGAGCCGAGGACTGCCAGGGGTGCCTTGTCCTCTTCTCGTCTCGCCTCGCCTCGCTTGGTTGTGGCCTGCATACGAGTTACAAGGTTTTTTCCTTCTTTCTTACATGAGCCAAAATTCTGCGGGTTGGTTCGTCGACGGCTTTCCCAACCGCTAATAGATAGACCTGATAGCCATGGCGTACATACGGAGCAGATGATGTAGATCTTGTAGGGGAAAAAAGGGTTTTCCTTTATCTATCCTTGAGCCCCCGCCTCCAGACTTGGCTCCCCCTTTTTTTCTCTTCCCACTTCTCTTCTGCATCTGCCCATGTTTGCTGCTGCTGGCTGAGTTTGCCTCACTACTAATATTTGCTCTCGCGTTTGGGATTCCTGAAACAAGCAACTTGTTTTAACCTTGTTGATCCCCTTTGTATCACGTTGATTATTTATATACATATTTACTCGTCCTACCCAGCATAGGCGCCTATCACATCTCATCTATTTTTGCCCATCATCCTACAAGCGTTTACATCCGTTCCACAACGAATATTTAGAAGACACACCTATCTGCACCTCTCCTCTCTTGAGCTCCCGCCAGGTCTGGAGCCCCCTCAACCTTATCTGATCTCCATATTTTTTCTCTCTGGCTTGTTTCTTCTTATATTACTCTCTGTTTATCCCTCTATATCCCTCGCTTGCATAAATATTTTTGTTTTTTCTATTTCCTCTTTGCGCTATACCCTTGGATCGCCGCCAAGTGCTGCGGCTAAATAAAAAAAGAGAGCTTTCGCGCTTCTGGAAAGACCCTTCATACAGCGGGTAAAGGGCGTCCCGCGGCAGTTGATATTCTAAATCAGAGCTTCAGCGTTATAGACGGAAGAGCATTATTCTGGATTAGGGAGGTGGTAATCTCCCAACGCATGATATAATATGGAGGAAGCACATCGTTTCGTGGGTGGTGTTCGCGAGCTGGATCTCGCCAACTACGGATCTGTCCCTGTGGTAGACAGAGTTAATATTGTGCAAGGCCTGAGGACCAGTGCAGGTAAGACTTGATTTTCTTTTTTTTTTCTTCTTCTTTTTTCTATCCTCAATTCTTTTATTCTTTGATACATACACAAACATCCTCTTGAAGATTCGAGGCGCACAACAAGGATCTTACTTTGCTGTCCCTCAAAAATTTTCCCACTCCCCCGCCATTTTTGTCAGCATCTCTTAGCTTCAGGAAGCTTCACAGCTCCTCAAAGCTTCAAGCTCTCCTTGCCATGATATTTTTTTTTTCTCAAATTCCCCTTTTTAAATCTCCATTTCAACTGTCCGACCTCATTCAGCTTACAAGTCACCTTTGATTTCCAAAGCTTACTGCTAACCTGTCACAGCATTCTTCACATTCTTACGCGCAAATCTAGCTCTCAGCGCAAGCGCACCCTCTTCACCCGTCTCCTCGCACGCGCCAACACCACATCTCGAGCCATATTCACACCACCAGTTCCCGTTTCCGCCATCTCCTTCGCCTCTCAGTTCCTCGACCTCCTTCTCCGACTTACACTCCGACGCCAACGCCGACACCGCCTACTATGACCCTCTCGACGATATCCCCCCGCTATCTCTCGAGCCTCTACTCACGTACGACGACAAGATCGCCGGCCTGAACCTCATTGCAGACTCTATTGCTCAGATGAAGCAACGAGCGGCCCGATCTTTGGTTTTCCACCCGCTGTGCTTGACGCTCCTGTTCACCGCATGGGCTGGTGTCTCTCGATGGGCTTATGTGCCCTCATCTGGGGATCCTAGCCTGGCTCTCCTCCTCTCCTGTGGCGTAGCTATGGTTTATCTCACAGCTATACGCTATTCCACAGAAGGCTATGTGAAACTAGCAGAGAACATGCGATGGTCATGGCTTGAGGGACCTGAAAGTATCGAGGGAGACCTTGTTATCGGCGCTCGTTATGGTGGCGCCTTGATTGGAGCCCTCATTCTCAGGCTTGAGCCTCGCTTCTCTCCTGCGTCTTCCATTGGCGGAAAGCGCAGAAACAGAAGCAGGAGCGTGAGCTTCCGCGGAGGCAAAGGCGTCATCCGAGCCTGGACTACTCGCCTTCGCTATCGTGGAAAGGGCATCGGCAGAGACCTCCTCGACGGTGCCATCCGTATTGTCAAGGATCGCTGTGGGAAGGATGCCGAGGTGGGATTCGCACAGGAGCATGCCAACAGCACCATGCTGCTGCCAGCCTTCTTCAACGGAGCGTTTCGTCGAGATGAAGTGCGTGCTGCCAAGGCTCTAGAGAAGGCGCTGGAGGAGTGGGAGTCGAGCAAGAAGAAGAAGAGGTAATGGCATCTAACGTCTTGGAGGAGCTGGAAGCAGAGCAAGAGAGAAGAAGAAAAGAAGAGGAGATAGCCTATCAGCCATCCCTGGAGGAGCTGTATAGGTTCTGGGAGCGATTGAAGGTCAGGATATATTTGGTGGAACATTCTTTTGTTTGAGATACCCTTGTTTATACATTTCCATTTTGCGGTTTTTTATTCTTATAGCGCCAGGCTTTTTTCCATTATATCTTATCCTCTAATATTCATACAAGACCTGTATTTGCTATAGTCTTTTCTTCTTCATCGAAAAAAATCTTATTTGTCAAATCACTAAGGGTGGCGTCCCGTTGCTGTTGTTGATCATTACTCATTATCGTTCTGTCATCGTCTGTTATGGAGCCGCTGAGAAAACCGCCGTTATTGCCAAACATGCTAAAATAGAGAAGATATTCCTCCATATATAACAAATAGAAACAAAGAACAGAAAGCTAGAAAAATCAACGGGGTTTAAATGTAAATTCTATCCGGTCGATAAGAGACTCGTCGACGACGTCGACTCTTTTGGTTATCTTGGTCCTCTGGGTCCTCGGACTCTGGCCAGGTTATTTGATCAAAGCCATAGAGGGTGTGTCCGCGGCGCCGAAGACTATGCAAGACCTGTATGATTCACAGCTATTAGTATTTTTTCCCCCCGTTTCTCCTTCAAATAACAAGAGGTATTCTGTAGAAAAGGTAAAGTCACGTACATCATGTAAGGTAACTGTCTTGGCATTACGATGCTCTGTATAAAGTACAACGTCCCGGATAACCTAACCAAAGAGCGAAAAAAAGAAAGAAAATGTTAGTCGAAGCAAATAAAAACATAGAAAAAAGCAACTGTCGGGCCTCGCCTGTTGAAGGAATTCTTTCAACACATTTCTCATATCGTCGTATATACTGTTAGAAATGCGGGCAACTCCGCCGCGACGAGCTAAGCGCCTAATACATTCCAAACCAAATGGCTGATTAGCAAAAAAAGGACAAAAAAAACTTGCCATATTTTATAGCTTTGTGTTATTACCGAATTGCGGGTTTGGCTATAACCCCATGTTACCATTCTGCGTCAAAGTATCTTTAAGAGAATTGGAAAGGAAAAAGACAACAACATACTGACTCCTTGGATCGAATCTCGGAGTCTTTTGCGATGACTATTGCATAAAGTCATTAGTATTTCATTTAAGAAGAGCAGAAAAGGGTGGGCCAAGCTTACCGTCGTTCACTGCCTATCGTCTTGCCCCCAACTATGTGCCTAGAGGAACCTACAGGAGGTGACATTGCCAGCACTGTAGATGGACAGGAAGCTAAAGGCGCTATTCGCAAATAAAAATAGTGGAGCAGACGGCGAGTGTAACGTTAGTGAGCGCTAAGTAGCGTCTGCTTGATGGCAAAGAGTGCTCACGATGCTGACAAGGAGCGCTGTACAAGATGGCTTTGCAAGAAGAAAAAGGCAGCAGCAGATGTGAGAGTTCCATCCAAAAGAACTACTCTTTGTGTTCCGGGTTAGGGTTACTCCGCTTTCTCTGCCCGTTTGCTGAAATTCCCTTCATTAAACAGAAGGTGAATGGCGAGTTGTTGCCCCTGACACGCACCTGCCGCACTCCTGGCGGCCTCCTAGCGGCAGGCACTTGGCCATAAAGTGCACCTCATGCACACCTCGGGTTACGTACACTTTTATCCAAAGGGTACTCGACATTCACGTGAAATCTGAAGTGCAGCTAATGTAAAGCTGAAGAGTACCTGGAGTGCACTTGACAAACTGAGTCCCTGTTTGAACCCTTCTTAGATTTCTGTCAAAATGTTTGCAATGGTCACTCAAAGCAGTGGTTGCTTGCTTGCTGGTGAGGCATGGGCAGGCAGATGGAGAAAAACACGCGCAAAAATAGTTCTAGGTATATTTGTTGGGAATAACAAGGTAAACTTTTTCTTTTTCACTACACACTGGCCGCTCATGCCTTTTTTTCGATGCCCTGAGGCTTCTCCCTCCTCCTACTCTGAGAATCTGGACTTTATCTTGCCAACCACATTCCTGTGCAGCATTGTCTAAAGCCAAAACGAGGGTATCGACCATCTCCAACCGTTTTCGCCCATATTAAAGCCGTCCTGGGTCGTTTATTAAAGTATTGGGGGGTAAAGAAGAGAAAAAAGAGTGCGATAACAAAAAGACCATAACGCCGAGGCATTTATTTTCATCGTTTCGGCACCGCGAAATGAGTAACCGGGGCTGATGCGTTTTCTTCTGCGCATCACCGTTGACTGATATCAAATCGGGTTTCGTACAAGGGTATTAAAATGAGCAAGATTCGTCAACATATACCACGCATCCGCCGCTGCCACATCCTAGGGCAAAATGAAGAGGAACAAAAAGAAGAGGATTACTGTTAGTGGACAAGCGTATTGGGCTCGGAGCCCTGAGTTTGCAGCAACCCAGCAGTCATCGCACGCGAAATTTAAGCGGCGACTTCTGCAGGGGCGGCAGCACCCTCTAGTTCTGGGGTAGCATTATTTGTGTCTGCCATGGCGGGCTTAGATGCCTCTGGAGCTGAGTCCATCTCGGTGGTAGCTTCGGCAACAGGCTCTGGAACAGGTTCAGCAGTAGGCTCCGTAGTAGGCTCCGTAATAGACTCGGCAGCAGGCTCAGTAGCAGGCTCCGTAGTAGGCTCGGCAGCAGGTTCAGTCACAGCCTCAGCCGTTGTCTCCGTTACCATCTCCGTAGTTCCTTCGGCAGTTGTCTCGATAACCGTCTCTGTAACTGTTTCTACAACTGTCTCAGCTGCATCTGCAGGGGCCGCTTCTGCAGCTAGTTCTGTAGCCAATTCTGTGGATGGCTCGACAACAGGCTCTGTAATGGCAGAGGGAGTAATATCAGCGCCGTCATCCATTGACATGCCGGACGGCAGCTCTTCGTGTGCTTCAGCAACGTGCTCCGCAGCAGGTACTTCTGCCATATGGGCATCAACCATTAGCTCTGGAGCAACGGCAACTGCGACTGCAGCCAGAGCATCAGCCGCTTCGGCCTTGACAGCCTCGTCAGAGTCTATGGTGCGTGCTCTCTTGTAGGGCCGCGCATCTGCTTCATTGAGAGCTTCTTTCGCAGCCTTCAGTTCAAGCTCCAGGTCATCGAGGCGTCGCTTGAGGATGTTTTCCCTTCGGTGACTCTCTTCAAGTTGACCTCGTAGTTGATTTTCGGTTTCTCTGCTAACGTCTAGTTGAGCCCGCAGCTGAGTATGCTCGACGCCGGCGACCTCTTGGCCCCTAAGAGCTTCAGAGGCAGCGGCTTCTTGCTGCTCAAGCTGGCTGAGACGACCGCGGAATAGTTCGTTGATGAACTCAAGTTCTCTGACTCTTGTTTTCAAACTCGAATTATTCGCAATGAGTTGCTCTTGTGTTTGAGGAGACTCAAGGCCACGGTCTCCATTCATGGGCGAGACGGCACGTCCCTCCCCGCCATTGAAACCGCCGACGCCTGCTTGGGACGGGTCGTCCACCATGAAAGAAGGCAGGCCATGGTTGTACATGGAAGGGGTTCCGGTGCGGGAGATGGGTGAGTTGGGACCTTCGCCATTCGCCTTTTGCGCTCGTCGAATTGCTTGTGCCGCAGTGTTCTCAGCACTGTTAGGATCTGTCGAGAGGGGGAAGCCGTGTCCATGTTGTTGATGTTGCTGCTAAAGTTTGGGCAATATGGTTAGCAAAGGATGCAATGCACAGCACGCGCCGACGTGTCACTAACCTTTCTCTTGGGAGCCAGATCTGGGCGCATCGTCTTAACACGGTTTCGGCTCTTGATAACGTCCGTCTTGAGGGATATCGGTCGCGGTCGTCCGTGCAGCTTCAAAAAAAGTCCACATGCATTGCAAAGGACGGAGCCAAACTCGTCACGTCGCCATAATGGCGTTGTTGACGTTCCGCAGTTTTGGCAGACCGGCTGCGTTGATCCATTAGTTGCCATCATGATGCCGGCTAGTGCTGGGAGATAGGGATGCGATTAGGAAATCGATTAGGGAGCGCGGCCGATAAATATTATCATGATCGATAAGGATGACGGAACTGAAAAAAAAAAATTTCTGGGCCCCCCCGGTCGTCCGATAAGACAAGGATAAGCCGGGCACCAGCGCGGGCTAGCGCGGAAATTTCTTGCGATAAGGCACGTGATTGCGATTGTGATATGAGATAAGAATGGTAAAAGTTGGAATATGGCGACTCCAATTGGCCCGCTGTTGGCTCGGCAGTTTTTGGTGCTGGAGGCGCAACAGAGCCGGCGCCATATCGTAGATTGAGATAGGAAAACAAGAGGGCCAGGGAAGAAGACGGAAAGAGAAAGAAAATCGTGAGCTCACCATGTTGCCGTTGTTGCCGCCGCTTGTAGCAGCAGGGGAGACGCCATGATACATTTGAGGCTGAGGAATTGGAGGTGGTCTAAGGATGCTCAAGTCAGCGTCAAAACAACATGTAATGCAAGTGCTGGAGGCGCCAGCCAGCTCGCCACGCGGCGTGAATGCAGCCAACGCAGAAGGCATTGTGTGGTTTCAAACAGAGATGCAGATGTAATACCTTTGCTGCTGTGGGGGCTCAGCCGTCGCGTTACTTGCTGCAAGGGAGGCAATGCCGGGCAGTTGCTGCACATTGGCAGATGCAGAGGTTGACGTCGAGCTTGGTCGAGAGATGGGCTCGATTGGTGGCGGCGGTAGAACTTGCGCTTCGTCCATCTTTGGCTAGGGATTCGACAGGGCTTGCGGACAGGCAGAAGAGGGCCAGGGAGGCGAGATGTGAATTCGGAGGGTCGCCAGCGTGAACAGCGATGGTGGAGGCTGTATCTTGTCTCTCCCAGACGTGGGTGCTTTTTTTTTCCCTTCCTCAGGAGACGACGAGCACCAGCCACAAGATCGCGGGATCGCAGATTTCGGCTCGCGCTATTGATGATGTAAGGAATAGGCGACGGGCGTGGCGGCGTTGCAGAAGACGAGGCTAAGGCGCGGCACGGGAGCGTGGGGAAGGAAGAGGAGAAAAAGAGAAGCGAAGAGGAAAAGGTATGGTCTGGTCTGGTCTGGAGGAGTATCGCGATGTAATTATTGTTCCCCCTTACAAGTCGAGTGGTAGGTACACACAATGTAGCAGAGAGGAAGTCCGGATACGAGTGGTAAGAAATGCTGGGAAGGCACGCGCGGGAGGGAGGGGCAGCCGGTCGTGCATGTACCCGTACCTCTGCGGTGCGCTGGGCAACGAGCGTTTCTGGCTGTCAGGCCGGCGTGTGCGCTGTACAGTGACCGAGCTGCGCTGGCCTGAGCCCGAGCGCTCGCTGAAGTGACACCTGGGCTGCAGCGATGGCCGGCGCTGATTGGCCGGCGCAACCTCCAAGAACCGCAGGGTTTAATTTCGCAGCAGTGCAGCCTTATGAAGGCTTGCTCCAGCCTAAAGGGCCGTGTGTGGCAGCATCCCAATCTTGATCTGTCCCACCCCACGACCGAGATTGAGCCTTTTGGTCGTCCTGTCGCGGTGCCAGATATCTAGCCGTGCCACGATAGTGCGCGCATGTCCTCTTGGGCGCGCTTCAGGGCAGCCGAGCGGGAGGGGGCTGCTGATGGAGCAGCCTGTAGCATCGCCAAACTCCATGTAGGTACGTCTGATGAGTGTCGCTGCATGCAGATGACTGTCGTGGATGCATGTCATTGGCACTTGATCAGCTCCATATTTGACAGAGCCCCTCCTGCGGCGGCAAGCGAGGGTGAGGGGTTTGGCCGCTGCAGTTGCGTGAAGACGCTGAGGCCGGGGTTTTGCTGGGGCCGCGAGAGAGGGAATGGGAAGACGAGGTTTTTGTGTATAACACGGCTTTATAATGGCAAACGACGTTTGTGTCTGTTCTGTCCATCTGCCTGCGAGCCTAAGGCGATAAGGCTGGAGGGCGTACGCAGATAAGTGCGCATCTGGCAGCCACATCTCTCTACTAAACCTGCCCAGTATCTAATCGTGATCGACGACGTCGTCTTAATACATGGACTAGACATATAGCCTACCAACCTACGTATAACCAGCAGTGCGATTCCGCCAACACGTCGTGCATATCGATTTTATGGCTGCAACTGCCGACGGAAATACGCCCCGAAACAGCAGTCTCTACGTAGATAGTACATATGTACAGGATGTCCATCTCTTGGCAGGTCGCAGGAGGAGATTTACCAGTGCTGTTGTGATGCTATTGCATGGAGGTAGATTTGATGCCAACCAGTGTCAACTAAGCTGTTGGGCAGACCTTGGGGCCCATGTTTTGTCTTGTGTTGTTTTCTATGAGGGGGTTTTATTATTATTATTATTATTATTTATTTATTTATACATGTATGTATATAATTTTTGTCGTTTTTCCCTTCGTTTTATCTTCTTTTTTTTTCCGCCAATGGACCTCGACGTGTCCTTTTATCCACCCATTGAATGCCCAACTTTCAAGCTTCCATGTTCGTATCCGCTCTGCTGTCGTCGTCTTACTTTCATCTCGCTGCTGCTCATCTGGTGGCGCCAAAAATCCTAATAACGGCTGATGCGTCTATCTAGCCACAACCCCTTTGCCATCGACCCACCGGCCCGGTAATTTCTGGCTGCTTAGCGCCCACTAGGAAGCCACAGATGCCGCAACGCTCGGCGTCATTGGGACCTCATAGTCACTGTATGGCCATCCGGGCCACAGCGGTGTGCGCCCTGTAAGTGCCCGAGCTCTGCGCTGCAGCACTAATTTACGGCCTTACGTCGCGGTACTCCATAATATCCGTGAGCTACCGTCAACGTTAACGTCGGGCAGTACTCCATCTACCGGCCCTTTTGGATCTCTTTGGCGTTTTTTTCCTCTTCATCTACTTTCTTCCTCCTTTCATTCATCGCCACCGCCGTTTATCCTCCAGAATTTCCCTCCTCATCCGACGCCTCTCCCGCCAACATGTTCAACTGGGCAAAGCAGCAGTAAGAAGAACCCCTCTGGCGACCTGAAAACACAAGCCCCGCCATTCTTCCGTCGTCCCCCCCTCCAAGGCTCGCCAGCGAAATGGAATCATCATATGCTAATGAAGAGCTGCTAGGCTGGCCAACGTCGCCGGCACCCAAGAGCCCATCTATGGCCCGACAGCCATCAAGTCGGTCGCCCAGGAGGCAAAAGAGACCGGCACGCCGTATTCCGAGCTGACCAGAGCCGATCACAAGTGGCTGGCGCTGGACAAGACATGCGTCGAGAACCAAGTCTTTTACTTCTTCGCCGAGGACGGCACGATCGCCTTTGTCCAGGTCATCTATAGCAACGTTGCGTATGGTAAACCCCTTTGCACTCCGTTTTCACCTTTGCTGACTTGAATTTCCCCCCCTAAAGCGGCCTTCGAGTGACCTGCCAATTCAACGCCAAGATCTTCTCTCGCGATCCGGCCAAGCCGCACCTTTGGTGCTCAAACCCCCTAAAGAACGTCGCTTTCAACGAGGAAAGGACGTCCTTCTACGCCGACGACTGCGCCGTCGAGCTGTCCGAGGATGGCAACTCCTACACAATCAAGAGCATGAATGACGAGAGGGCCCTTGTCAACCTCAAGGTTACTCGGGCAGCACCCGGCTTCCAGGCCGGAAAGACGGGCACGACGCTGTTCGGCACAGACCTCAAGGACCCTTGGGGACAGATGCGCCACGCATTCTGGCCCCGCTGTACCTCTGAGGGCACCATCACCACCAAGGACGGCGATGTCAACTTCAAGGGCCAGGCCATCTACATCTACGCCCTGCAGGGCATGAAGCCGCACCACGCTGCTGCCACATGGAACTTTGCCAACTTCCAGGGCCCTAACCACTCTGCCATCATGATGGAGTTCACCACGCCTCCTTCTTACGGCAACACGGTTGTCAACGTCGGCGCCATCGTCAAGGATGGAGAGCTGATCGCCGTCAGTTCCGAGAACAACAAGGTCACGCACAAGGCCTCCAAGAAAGATTCTGCCAATGACTGGCCCGAGCCTACCCAGGTCGAATTCGACTGGTCAGCATCCAGCAAGGACGGCAAGCCGGTCAAGGCCGTTATTGATGCCGCCCTAGGCGATCGCGTCGACAGAGTTGACGTCATGGCCGAGGTGCCCGGATTCGTCAAGACCATTGTCAAGGCCGCTGCCGGAACGAAACCCTACATTTACCAGGTGATTAATACGCCATCCTGTCTCCCCACCCCTGCCTACAAAATGCTGACATGAATTTTGCAGTACGCCACCAAGACGACCCTTAAACTCAAGATCGGCGATGAGGAGATTTCTGAAGACGGCCAGCTCTTCAGCGAGGCCACTTTTATTTCTGATCTCGCAAACTAAAGTATAAATTAATGTGTTTTTTTTGTTTTTGGAAAGAAATAAAGGGCATTTTTGCAAACAACAAAGAATGATTGATTGAGAACACCTTTGGGTATTACCTAATCTGAATAGGCGTTGGAGCAGAGAGACTATATATAATACTACTACTAATCGCTCGTTCTTTTTTTATTGACCTGATTGCCTCTGCGTACGCATAATAAAACGGCACATTAGTTTTGATATATCAGAGAAAGGAAATTATATATATATTAATGTGTATTAAAGTATTGTCATGGGCACTTTTTTTCTTCTTCTTTTTTTTTGGCTGCTAGTAAGTAAATCCTGAGTGAGGCTGATGGACAAAAGTAATGAGTGACAGAAAGTGGAGATGAATGATGCCCAAGGACTGGTAAAAGACCTTGGCGCACATTCCCTGTATATATATATATATATATATATAAAGTAAGTCGTCGTGTAGCTCATAGTTCACATACCATCACTCTCATGTACATCTTTTTTCCGCCACATTTTTGTATAAGCCGTCCTCCCGCCTCCAGTCTATCCGGATCCCGTATATAATCCATTCCGCCCTCCATACATGGCATAGGTATAAAAAAAACACCAAAAGTAAAACCCGCTCATCAGGCTCCACGCCCATTGATGTGCAATTGACTCGTTGATATCATCATCGGCATAACAGATTTTTTTTTTTTCTCTCCTTCTCAATTGTCTTCTTCTTCTTCTCCCCCCTAATTTTATCATGAATTCTTGTCCTTCTCTTCAGACTTTTCAGTCTGCTCTTCCTCCCCTTTCTCCAACGCCCTCTCAACCTGCCATATCGCCCTCTCCAGCTCAATCTCGACGGTGGGCAAGTTGAGCGTCTCTGAGAAGTCGCGTATCTGCTTCTGGGTGATGAGCATCTGCTCCTTGCCGGAGGGTTCCTCGATGGGAGCCTGGCCGTCCTTTGTGTATAGCTGGTCGAGGTCCTTGGAGGGGGAGAGCTGGACGAGCTTGTTCTGGATTAGCCATTGGACGTGCCTGCCGCCGTTGATGGCTCGCCAATGGGACCAGGCGCGGTAGACGAGGTAGAAGAAGGGTATATTTGGGATTCTGTTATTTCACAGTAAATTGTTAGAAAGGTATATACCATGCTATATAAACACACACACAAACACACACACACACAGAGAGAGAGAGAGAGAGAGAGAAAATGAAAGAAGAGAAGATTCTTACACAGGCACCAGCCCCAACGGCGCCGTAATGGGCATCCCCACAAAGCACCACATCAGCCTCTGCCGATGCAGCGCCTGCCTCTCCGTCGCCAGCGTCCGCAGCACGCCCTCAGCCTTGTGCTCCGGGATCGCCGCCGGCGGGAACACCAGCTCGACCTTGTCCCGGCCCCGCAGCTCGTCGTCGCGGCGCCGAGCCGACAGCGGCGGCACGGACTTGAGCCCCCACTCCTGGAAGGGAATGCGGCGGAAGGCGTGGTTGCCGTAGTCGACTACTTTGCGCTGCCAGCCGCGCTCCATCTTCTCCCATTGGGCCCATTTGCGGGCGGCGAAGTCGGCGCCGCGGTCGATGTAGCTGGTGGTGGTGCTGGAGGGGGAGGCAGAGGAGCCGGGGGGGGATGAAGCCGAGGTCGAGGCTGAAGATGACGATGCTGGGTTGACGAAGCGGCTGGCGTAGAGGAGGGTGCGTCTCGTCGAGACGGGGAGGAGGTAGAGCCTCATTGCGGGCTGTTGTGTTGTGTCCGGTTCAGAGCCTTGGGGAAAGTGAAAAAAAAAGAGGAGGTTATATATATATATATATATATATGTATGTATGTATTCTCTGATATGATATGGTGAGTGAGGCTGAAAGGAAGCGGAAGAAGAAAAAAATATATATCGATCTGCTTTGGTAGCTTTAGCTGCTGGGTAGCTTAATTAGCACGAGCAAGCTAAAATACGTCAGAGGGCGGGTCGAAAGCACTATGCCGCAAACAGGATTATTTTCATTTTCAAACCCGTTTAATTTGTCAGGAAAAGTAAAGGAGAGATTCAATCACAAGATGGGACTCGGAAAATGGGAAAGCAGAATATTCAACCTGAATACTTACTCTCTTTGCTTGGATGAGTAAAGATGAGCAGATGTTTGTTCGTAGTTGCAGAATTAAAGTTGCTACAAAGAGAGCTAAGCCTAAGCTCGATTAGGGCCATTGTTCTTCTCTTTGTTTTTTTTTTTCCTTTCTTTTTTTAATTGGAGCGACGGTCTTATCGAAGCCCGGCGAACCAAACAGTGACGCACATGGGCGTCATGGCGGGCTGGGATTTGATTCTGAGAATGTTCTATTGCTACCTGGTAGTATCATTGGATACTAAAATTTGAAACAACTGGAGAGAATTGGGATTTCTATGTACATTTATTCTTGCTTAAAATTACAAGTACCAAGTGCCTTGAGTGAGGTACATTTCACATGTGGTTGTCAGGTAAAGCCACTCCAATAACTCGGTGTCTCGGAATTCGCCTAGATACCGAGATGCAAAGAAGCAAAAGCATCTACGCACAAGACAAAATACAATCAAAAAAACAAAACCCACTTGAAAAATGGAGCCATCTTTATTTGTTCTATCTAAAATCGAACTTGCATACCGTTGTATATCTATCCCCCAACTCAACATCTTCTCACTGCTTGTACTATTTGTACTACCCTATTCCTCTTGCTGCACTCCATGCAAACGGAGTTGGTGCTACTTTCATGTACCTAATTAGCGCTGCAGACCTCAAGCTTAAATGGGCGGATGGTTTAGTGGTATAATTTTCCCTTAGCATAATGCAACCTTCGAGTAGCATTTCCGCATGGGAAAGGTCCGGGGTTCGATTCCCCGTTCGTCCATAAATTTTTTTGCGTTTTCTCGCAAATTCACATTTCAAAACATATGCTTTGAAGTACTTTTTTTTTTTGTGTATAGCTGGCTGCTTAACAAATAATAATGCCCTCTTGGTTTTGTAATTTTGACAGAATTTTCATATTACTTTTTAATCATTCATGCGCCGTTGATTGTTATCCCCACCAACCAACTACCTAATCTATTCGGTGTAATATGGGAGGGTATATATGCGTATGTAGTACAAGTACATGGATATATGAATGTCTCGCTGCTTTTCTCCCCCCCCCCATCTCTTTCTTGTTCTCTCTCTCTCTCTCTCTCTCTCTCTCTCTCTCTCTCTCTCTCTCTCTCTCTCTCTGTGTGTGTGTGTGTGTGTGTGTGTGTTGTACCGCTTTCATCAATTCTTCACTTGGTCCTTTCTATCACAGGACTCTTGCTTCTTCCCCTAGTCGCCCCCTTCCCAACAATCTTCTCCGTCCAGTTCCATGACGACGGACTCAACCTTCCACCTTGGGCCTCCTTCGGTTTATCTAGCTTCTTATCGCCATTCGCGTCGTTAATGTAGTCAAGCTCGCTCTCGTTCTCGCTACTAGCCCAGTCGCGCTCGCTCCACGACATCGAGTCCGCCCGGTCCCCATGGTGGCTATGAGACAGTAGCGAAGAGTGCTCTGTGTCCTGTGTCTTTGGCAGGTCGGGTACTTCATCAAGTGCTTCTCGTGCCTCGCTTGCATTTGCCGGCTCCGGAGCAACCCCACGGGCCTGTTTCATGGACACTGTCTTGGTCTCGCCGCCATCTGCCCCAGGTGGCTGATTGATGTCCAGTGCCCGTTCACCCATATACTCATCCTCAGTGCGCAGCCGCGCGACGGCAGAATCGCTAAAGTGGGCATCGACTAGATGCTTGACAACTGGCCAGCCGTAGGCATTGGCAAACATGCGGCGGACGAATATATTGTTATGGGCATCCGGTTCCAGCTTGACAAGCACCTTTCGCCAAGACAAGTCCCGGTGGTAGCCGCGAGAAATCTTTTCCTCAACACGCATATTCGAGCCATCAACAATCTCATTAGGTTGCTTTTCAGGGCCCGTGTTTGCAGTGTCGTCGTAATCCTTTGCAGACGCCATCGAATCTTCATGGTTTATCCCGCCATGTGGTGTCGAAGAACCGCTGCCGCCTGGCGACAGCGGCCCGAATAGTGACGACGAGGAAGACTTGATTTTCATCTTACTTAGTGCCGAAGTTCGCTTCTTCAAAGGGGGCGGAGGAATATCTGTAGGGTGATAGACTCGGTCATGGAAAATGGTCCGTGGTCGCTTTGACGGGTCAACGAGCCACTCCACATCAGGAATTTTGGGATTCAATACGTCGCCCGCAGATTCGAAAAAGGTGGTCCGAGGTGGCGCCCTTAAACCTTCGGCGTCACCCTCTAGCTCGTTACCTGACGTTGCCTTGCCTATCCGCCTGCTGATATCTGATGAAGCGGAGCTGCCAGGAGTACTAGAGGCGTCTTCGCTGGCTTTCAATGTTTGACTCCTGCGCAGTATCTTCTTCTGCTTCTCAGACGTGGGGTGCTCTTTTGGAGGTTCGTTGCTTCTGAAGAGGTTGAAAAATCCGGTGAGCGGAGTGTGAAGAATATTCTCTCCTGGGCTTTCGAGTGGCTCATCGGCAAATACTGCCGGGACAGAGCGGAGACTAGCCCTGTCATCTTCGGCGAGGGCATCGCTAGATGGCTGTGGCACCTGATGGCTGTCGTTTTCGTTGTTGTTGCCGCTGCCATTTGCATTCGGAGTTGTGGCCCCTGATTCTACGTCGCCATCATCTGGGGGCATCTGTATTTTCTGCCGCGATGATCCCATATTGGCTCCTGTTAGCTCTGCCCATCCAAAGCCCACCACTGTCTCTACAAGGCCAGCATCTCGCCTTGCTTTACCAACTCGCCCAAGGCCTTGCCAATCCAAGAACAGTAGACAACTTGTACGCAGCGGAACAATGCCGTCGTTGACCACGTTGGAGTAGACCGTTCTGTTTCGAAACTTCTTGAGCGCGTTATGCGCAGGTCCTGAAGGCAATATCCGCAGCAGGGGTTTGGATTCAGGTTGCGACTCTCCATAGACCTTTTTGTGGGCAGATTCACCCAAGTTGCTCACGAGGGCACCCCAGCCGCTGCGTGCAATCGTCGGCGCTCTCCACGTTAGACCCAAGTCCTGCCCTGTCCTGCCCACGAGACCAAAATCCAGAGCAAATTTGACATAGAGAGGGTTCTCGTTGCTCAAGCCTAGAAAGGGCGTGGCTAGTGCAATAAAGTTAATAGGCTTGATAGTATTGAAGAATTGAGGCGAGTGCTTTTGTATGTATGCAATAGCATAGGTTTGGACCAGCCCGCCCAGTGAATGTGCGATAAAGCTGATGCTTGTGACCTTGTATGGCCTTCGATACTTGCTGACGTCGCTGGCTCCATCTGCGTCGCCTGCCTTGATCACGGTGCTGTTCTTATGAGCCTGTATCAGGTCGCGCGCTTTCTGCTCGCCCAATCCGTGTGTAAACCCTTCCATGGCACCTTTCCCTATCGGCAAGAAAGGCTGATCCGGGTATGTTATTGAGAGAACGTATCTGGCCAGTCTTTTCCCAAGGTATTTAATCCCCTTCTCTGTCTTGGTAGCATTGCCCGAGTATCCTCGCACAATGACTTCTTCGTCTTCGTCTTCCTCGTCGTCCTCACTGCCTGTTGACGAAGACCCATCCTGCGCCTTTTTGTCGGAGGCCTCCTCATCCTCTGCTCGTTTCTTTGCTCGCCTAGCTTTGGCATCAATCTTGGCCTGCTTTGCAGCAGCATCGATGCTCTCCTTCATGAACAACATGTCGGCGCCCAGATTGCTATGTAAACCATGAGTTAAAATGACGAGGTGAATCTTCTTCTGCTTTCGTGGAGACGGTTCTGCTTCCTCTTTGGTTTCTGGATCGCCAGTTTTCACCATGCTCTCGACAGGTTGATCGGCGGCAGGCCGGTCTTCCACCCTCTTGTCACCCGCGTCATCCCATCCCGGTAGCCGTGGTGTGTTCCACAGCGTTGCCGTATCCTCCACTTTGACCTGTATAGCTCTTGAGAAGACACCTCGAGGTTGTCCTGGGTGATGTCCATCCTTGGCCCCAATGCTCTGCTGATGGTCCGTCAACTTTCCAGGCTGTGGAACCTGGGCCTGGCCACTAACAACCGGAACAGAAGAGCCGAGACTCAATGATTTCTGCTCTCTCGCCACCAAAAGCTCGTAGCCAACCGCTGCCGATGTGGAGAAGATGACCTGCGACGAGATCTCAATCACCCAGCTCGCGCTTTCGAAATCGTGCTCCGGACCGTTGCCAAACACCGTGTTGTTGCCTCCAGTACCGGCTAACTGCCGTACATCTTCTGGCACAACCAGCTGGCACTCCCAGGAGCCTCCAGCCTTGAGCATGGGCTCGAATTCAGGGACACCATAGCGGCGGGGGCTGGGAAACTTTTCGTTTGGGTTGAACTTGGCGGGGTATGTCGCCACGCTCAGCGTGTAGGGGCCGTGGACAAAGGCCGCTCGCAGGGCGATGTTGGACGTGTTGCGTATTCGTACATAGAGCTTCTCTGGTGAAGGGAGGATGCGATCTTGGGAGGGAGTGTAGGTGACGGTGTAGCGGACAACCTCGCCGATTTTGACGCTGCCAGTCTGGTGGAGGAGCAGCATCTTTGCCCGCCGCTCGTTTCCTGCTGATTCCGCCCCGTGTCTGTCTGTTTGGTCGGATGGGCTCGGCCGTTTGTTGGTCTCGGTCGAAAGACGGACTGCTTGGCTGCAGCAGCGATGGCAACAGCGCAGCCCCAATCGTTTCTTCGTCTTCCGAGAATTCGGCTCGAAAGGGGTTGAAGAATAGGAGAGGCAAGATCTAGCAGGCGTGACGATGACAAAAATAGTAGTCGGATTGGAGATTAGACGCAGGACGCATTAACACGCCAGCATTATTCTGGACCCCGGCTCCCGAGGCGAAGCGATATAACGGTGCAGGGATGGACGAAGCAAACGCTCATTTCAAGGTTAATTTTTAACGTGCCTGGGTAAGGGCAGAACAAAGGCAAACGATGGGATTGGCATGCAGGCGGCAAGTCGAAGCCATATGGTGCAAAGGTGGCGTTCCTCTGGGAAAGGGGATCGAAGCTGGGGACAGCAAATGGCGGCGATCTGGACAGAAGCAAAAGCCCGTCACTGCTGGGAAGCTGCCTGCGCGGAATTGTCGGGACCCGCCCCGTTGGAGAAGTTTAGTGGATGCCCGGCGCTGCGTCTTCTGGAATATGACGCTGTGGGCGCTGGATCGCCGCTGTTTGTTTCGATCCAGGCGTGCCGTCATCGACCCAGCAGCGCCCAACCAGCGTACCGTGCTGGGGTTTTAGCGTGTTGGGGGCGCCACATGCACTGCTGCGACGCCTCACACAGGGCATGCGACACGAGGCTCTTTTTGCCTTTTCGGACAGCCAGGGCGAGTGTGGCGTCACGCGACCTGGCTCCAAATGTTTGTTTGCCAGTATGTATGAAGCATGTGATACGGGGATGTTGCTGGCAGAAGCCTGTTGGTCTATACGATATCAGCATCAGCATCAGCATCAGCATCAGCAACAGCATCAGAAATATAGATGACAAGAAGACGGTATATTTTGGTGAAGAATCTGCTTTATCATCTGTTCCACTGCATTCTATCTTTTTTTTTTCCCCATCTAATTTGGATTGAAATTCACTCTATCGCATGTTTTTGTAACGGATGATTATGCCAAACCGTCTTGGACCTACTGAGTGTATCGTCGAAGGCCAATTCTTCAACCGTCATAAGTACTTTCGCTGAGCCGGAAGCATTAATTTCTATTTCATATAAACCCTTTTGACATTAAGATTGTGACAGGCTCTTGGTTCAAACCGGGGTTTTTTTGTTCGGTGCCGAAAAAAAAAAAGAAAAAAAAAAAAAAAAAATTAGACGCTAACATGATATATCAAGTGTCGGCCGTCTTATCACCACTACATAAGCTGGGCAAAGACAATAAGAGACTGATTATTAGCAGTGCAGGGAGCATATTGTGATAATGCTACAATGTACAGGAGTATGATAACAATACTTTGTCTCTGATTTAGAGAACAAGATGGGTAATAAAATATGGCCTTTTGCCCATGTTCGTCGTCAAGGTTTTGTGCTGAGCGAGTATAATTTTGTCCAAACTAATAGTAACTAAGGACTCCAAGACGGTCAGGCGGGTGATGATATCTTCAATCCTGAACAGGCAGTGACGGTTCTAAATTTTCCTCTGAGACGGCGAGAGAGTGAGAAACAAGCAGAATAATGTATGAGTAAATTACTCAGCTACCCATTCAATTCGTTTTTCTAGTAGGCTGGTCTTCTCTGACGTATTAAGAGTGTAACTATGCATGTTCTGTGAGACCTATTGGCGAGAACTGAAAAGGGACTACACAGCCAGGAGGGGCCTGATACATGTAGGAATTTCACGAATTTGAACATTGAATGTATCGTGCGGGGTTGGATCAATGGCAGCCAAGAACTTGCTGCATGGTCTTCGGTCTCGGGGTCTGAAATTCGGGCGCAGAGCTGAAGCTGCCGTAAGGTAGTAACACTGCATGTGTTCCATGGATATTGGGCACAGTTGAGTCCACTTATGGTCGCAGCCAGCGTACATGCAGCACAAGCCGCTGTTATGGCCCAATCCTGGTGAATGTGACATGAGGCATTGGTTCGCCACGGTGATTGTGGTTTTGAATAGGCGCAGCAGCGAAAGAAATGAAATTCTACAGTCTACTCTTAGTTGCATTGATGTAAACGAGCTTGCCAACTTGCTAGAAACTGAGACTATATATATACATGTAATAATGCTTGGTACATATAGGTATGTACCCGCTTTTGTGAGGGGAACTACCTCTATTGTAATACGGTGTAACCTAAAAGTTGCGAGCTGAACATCCATCTGCAGCTGGATGGAGCAGCCAACCTACAAGTTGTGAGCTGAACATCTGCTGGCAGATGGAGCAATTACTCCAACGGTTGTGAGCTGAGTGAATGCAGGTAGATGGGGCAGCCATTGTATAGAGAAGGGTTTGGTTGTATTGATTCGATGCTTCGTGTCTCCATTCGGCTCACGCATGTGATATTGTCTACGGAATGCAATGGCCAATGACCTCAGACCGTCGCCGTCCATCCCGAACATACATATATGCGTTGGAAGTACATAAAAGGGCGGCATCATTGGCGGCACAGAGATCCCACAGAAGTGGATTTGCATGGTTTCACTCATCCCGAACCTGGGCGGGCACCAACCAGAGCAAGTATGAAGTAATAAGGGGAATCTTGAGTTGACATCAATTGGCTACGATTGACCACCGGCGCTGAGATTGATTACATTGCCTGATACGCACATGTCAATTGGGCGGTTTTCTACAGGCGCCAAGATGTTGTATGACCATGCAGAAACCCCTCATGAAAGGCGTGATGTTTTGAAAGCGAAGCCAGTTCTATAAAATGGCCATGTCGACGCTTCATGTTCTTTCTTCCTCTCTACACTTCAAGCCTTGAGCATTCTCATTCAGTGCCGCATAAATTCTTCTGTTCCTCATCTTCAAGATGGCCACCACATCCGACAATATCCCAGCTGCGGACCTCATCCTTAAACAGCCATCAGTCGTTGATTGGCAGCGAGACACTGATGATGCTCTTAGAAATGATGTCAAGGCCAGCGATCTTGATCCTGGTGTTTTGGATCTTGAGCTTCTCAGGTTGACCAAGTACCCTAAGAGATCCCAACAGTCACCAGTATCTGGAATACCTGATGAGTCTTTACACCACCCAGCCCCCGGTGGCGGCAACTTCCGCCAGTCCCCTGTACCTCTCAAGGGATTTCTGGGAACTCCTTACAGAGGCAGATCGTATGATATCGAGCCTCCAAAGAAGATTCCTGGGTCGCATCGTTCTGGGCAGTTTCATTCTGCTCCTGCGCTTGGAGGAGGAGAAGAAGAAGAAGACGAAGACGAAGGCGACAGTGAACAAGGTGGAGATGACAAGAGTGACGATGCTTCAATGGAGCAGATCCTCGCTCTAGTTACTCAGCTCTACGGCAGAGTTGAGCGAAGGTTAGACCCAGAATTGACATTTTATTTATTCTATGCAAGACTAACATTCATCTCCTAGTTACAACGCCTATCTGGACGTTGTTGAGGTTGAGCCAACATGGCCTCGGTTGCTCAACCTCGACCAAACCTCGGAAATGTTTGAATGGAGTACACAAGTACCAGATGGGAACGGCGGCTTCCTTGAATATCCTCCTCATCTCAAGGTTATCCCGAGTGAAGACGATGTCGGTCTGTTCAAGATCTTTGATAAGCTCGGCTTGATGGAGACGCAATGGATCATCAGCCCCTTCATTCCCGATTCCTGGTGGGGAGGCATTGTCGAAAAGGGTGCCGAGTGGATAATCAAGAGAATCAGACAAAAGACTGGAGACGTTACCGCCTGGGCTAACCAGGACCCAAACTTCAAGGCCCTCGAGTCCTACAACGAGTCGAATCGCAAGGCAGCGACAGATGTTGCAGAGGGCAGAAACATTGGTCTTCTTGGTGATTGGTATAGTGACCGCCGCTTTGCTGAACAGGCCTTCACCGGCACCAACCCAACGACGCTCGTGAATATCGCAAAGACGCCTGGAAATCTTCTTCAAGAGTTTATTGATACCGCCGAGCGCAAAGGATACAAGAAGTGGCATGAAAGGTTAAGCAAGGCCCAGTCCAACCCGGAATCCCTCTTTGTCCAGGACCACCGCCATTTCCGGGAGGCTTTTGGCGCGGCATCTGACGAGGAATTGAAACACCAAGAGCCTGGGTCTGAACTCAACTGGGCCTGTGCCGCTGTGACGCTCTTTGAGCTTCATGAGGACGGAAGACTCCACCCTGTCGCCATCGTGATTGACTACAAGATCAGCATGGAGAAGTCGGTCACCATATTCAACCACAGACTGGAGCCCCGCGAGCCTGTTGGAACTGGCGCGGCCATCCCCGAGGAGGAGAGCGATTGGCCATGGCGATACGCAAAGAGCTGCGCCCAGGTCTCGGACTGGATGCGCCACGAGGTGGGCGTCCATCTGACTCGGGCGCACTTCATCGAGGAGGCCATCATCGTCGCAACGCGCCGCACGATTCGCATGGACAGCATCATCCACACCATTCTGTCGCCTCACTGGTACAAGACGCTGTCTCTCAACGCAGCCGCAAGAACCACGCTCGTCCCGCAGGTCATCAAGGACTTGGTCGGCATCAGCCCAACGTACCTTCAAAAGTACGTGCTCTACGAATTCGAAAACTTCGACTTCGTCAAGCACTACGTTCCCAACGATCTCAAAGAACGCGGCTTCCCCAACACCGCCGAAGGTCTGGCCGCTCCAAAGTACAAGAACTACGCCTACGCGAAGAACATGGTTTCCATGTGGGCGGTGATTCGCAAATACGTGTCCGCCATGCTCCTGACCACATACGACAAGGACACGGCCGATGCGGACATCTCCAAGGACACCCACATTCAGAACTGGGTCAACGAAATCCGAACCAGCGGCAGGATCAAGTCTTTCCCCGACATCACGACGCTGGACGCCCTCACCGACGCCCTCACCATGTGCATCCACATTGCCGCGCCGTTCCACACGGCCGTCAACTATCTGCAGAACTTCTACCAAGCGTTTGTGCCGGCCAAGCCCCCCGCCGTCTGCACAAAGCTGCCGGCGTCGCTGGAAGAGCTGCAGGGGTACACCGAGCCAGAACTCATCAACGCACTCCCCATTGGCCGCGAGCGGCAGTGGCTTCTGGCCGTGCAGGTGCCGTGGCTGCTCAGCTTCAAGGTCGCAGACGAGCGCAGCCTGCTCAAGTTTGCGTATTCGCAGTCGCGAAACTACCGCAGCGGCTGGAGCAAGAAGGCAAAGGCAATTCGTACGATTAGCGGCCAATTGCATGACGACCTCAAAGAGCTGGGAACGGAATTCGTCCTCACAAGTCAAGCCATGGACAAGGGAAGCATTCCCTACATGGTCATGGATCCAAACGTCACGGCTGTTTCTATTCTCATTTAAGCACTACCTACATATAGCAAAGCTACATATATTTTATTTGAAAGACTATAGCGTTTATTGAAAAGCCAGCACTTGCAAATGTGATACGCCGCATGTATTGAACAATTGGACATCTCTCTGAATTCCCCATAGAGCTGCGTCTGCAAACTGCATTTCATGTACTTTGTTTTATACAACTGGGCGCTGAGACAAGAGAAACAGGAGTATAATGTATTCATCTGTTCCCTTTTGTAATACAAAAGCAACGCGACCCACGATATGAGGCTGTAAATGTCAGCGGAAAGCCTTGCAAGGCAGCAACGGGACGGAAGCGGGGCCATGTTACATGTATTTGGCGTACTTGCATCAATGCGTTGGCATAATCACTTGAAGCTGTGCCGGAAAGACTTCAAACGACAAGGAATGTGCATATTTTGGCGCATTGCTTACGCATGGGAGGCAGCCAGTGCAGAGTAAGTAAACGATGAGAATGAGGGGTATCATTGGAAAACACCTAGATAAGTTATTATGTCGAAGTCATCATACCTAGTAAGATTATACACACATCATCCGCCCATTCGCTAAAAAGTTCATGTTATATCTACTGTATGCCTACCACTCGAACTTTCTCTACGCCTACCATCCCCAGGGTGCGCAATGAAGCCTTCAATCCCTGTTGACGCCCTATGTGAAAAATGTCGCGAGTTGCCATGGGATACCTACCGAGAACTGCGGGAGAAGCCATCAAGCTTCATAGATGAAGCATATCCAATTGATCATCACAAATCCTTACGCCAACTTCGAAACTCTGCAGAAACAGGATGTCGTACATGCCAGATATTCTGGTTATACGCCATTGACGAAACCAAGACGGAAGTGGACACCGAGTTGGAACTAAAGTTTACGTGGAAGATTGGTGCATGGCCCCATGCTCAAGTAATAATAATAATTGAAGGTTCATCGCAGAGTTTCACGCGCGGGGAGTTTCAGAGGGCAGCGCAAAACATAAGCATGGAGGGCTACCAAATCGCGGCATATATTCGCATGTATGTTGGGGAGCCGGCTTCATTCTCAAGTGATGCCATTCCTTGTAAGTCGAGCAAGAAGTTTATGGGCTTTTCAAGAGAAAGAGTTCATTGGAACATAGCTAACAATATCCCCAGCGCCGAGGCATGAAGATTTCCTCGGTGATGACTTGGAGTACAGTTTCCGAAGCATCATCAAGCCGTGGGTGGATGACTGCGTTAAAAACCACCATGGATGCCGTCAGGTGCGCCAGCTCGGTTTTGGTAACTCTTCACCGACTCGGTTGATAGATGTTGGTGCATCGCGCGAAGATATTGTTAAGCTTGTTGATACGGGTGGACTATCAAAGCCAGAGTATCTAATTTTAAGTTACTGCTGGGGAGCTTCAAACGATAAGTCAAAGACCACCCAAGCCAATATAGAGCAAAGGAAAGAATCAATCCAGATATCAGCACTACCTAAAACAATCCGCGATGCCATTACTGTCACAAGGCTTATGGGAGTGCAGCATCTCTGGGTTGATGCCATATGTATTATTCAGGAAGATACAGTGAATAAAGATGGTTTTCATGACGACTGGAAAACCGAAGCCGCCAAGATGGCGAGTTATTATTCCAACGCACTTTGCTGCATTTCAAACTTGGGCGCCGCAGATAGCTCTGAGGGGTTTCTGAAAGAAAAACAAATAGGCCTTCGGCAAGAGAGTCAACGAACAAGACACGGGCTGATTGAACTAGAATACTTTGAGCACCGAGGGCAAAGATTCAGAATCTACCTGCCAGGACTCACGCGAGATTGGAGCCAGGAGCACCAAAATTCTCCGTTGATGCGCCGCGCTTGGGCCCTTCAAGAATGGATCCTTTCTCGTCGAATTCTACATTTTACAAGAGCCGGGATATTCATGGAGTGCGGCGAGGGGATATGTCAAGAGAATGACCCTTTTCCAAAGCCAGCAGCAGCCTGGTATCAAACCCCGGATAACGGCATACGCAACGTCATGAGAGCATACTCCGGGATTCCTATACCTATAGGCTACGATATAGGCAATGCCCTGAGAGCATCTACCGGTATTCCGATAGGTGATTTGTGGACCAAGCTAGTCACTTTCTACTCTACGATGAATTTGACCAATCCTTCAGACTGCCTTATTGCTATTGATGGGATTACCCGTCTTATTTGCGCGAAATACAATGTCGGATGCTTTGCTGGCGTTCTCAGCTCTCACATTGCCCAAACGCTGCTTTGGAAACGAAAGAAGCTGACAGATGAAATCAACCCGACAGTCAGTTTTCCTAGCTGGTCATGGTCTTCAACAATGAAAGTTGGATTTCCAAAGTTTGATGACAAATGCACATCTTACGTTAAATGCACCGGCGATGGCTGCTTTCTCCTAACCGACCGGGTGGTGAATTACATCGACCCTTCTACGCGGCGATTCCCATTACAAGGCCCTCTATTGCACCTTTCCTTGAGTTACCGCCCATCTCGCTTGCCAGAGATCAATGACTGTCTCTTTTTCACCCACAGTAGTCCCATATGGAAAGAAGAGTCCATCAGTTTTTTCATGGACTCTGCAAAGGCATACCCTAAACTAAAGGAATGCGCCACAGACAAACAGAAAGAGGGACTATTAGGGCAATTGAGACTCTTAGTTTGTTTAAGAAGCTTTAAAACGCCTGGAAGGCGTCGTTATAGATCCACTAGCTCATATTATGGGCTAGTTGTAGAAAGATTGGAAGAGATGGGCGAAAATGCATACAGACGGATAGGGGTTTTCGAAGTGAGAATTCAAGAAAATGAAGAATCATATCATAATCTAGAGAGGTGGATGGCCGACATTGACTTGTTTTAGATTTAACCAACCAAACACTAAATACGTGTCGAATGAGGGCCTCAGCAAGTAGACCAAATCCTCACAAACCTCTATCTGTAGAGCCTCGTAGGCGAAAACTCTATATCTAGAATCAAGTATCCGGGCCAGTTCGCTACCATTTGAGTATTTCCGTCGCCTAGCAAGGCCCCATGTTACAGTGGAGGCTTATATAACCTCGATGAAAGTTAAGACGTTGTTTGGTGGTATGCTTGGATGCGCGACCGTGAATCTCCACGATGTGACCTGCTATGCCTTGGCCTGCATGCATTGATCAGGTATCTGGCAGGCAGATAGTTTTAGAATGCATATATCTAGCCATCTTTTTTTTCACAGAGGGTTTTATCTTAATGGCTGTATCATGTCACCAGTCACTTTCTGTATCGCCTACGTTCAAAACACAGCAAACTATTGAAGATTATTAGCTCAGTAGTAATGATTCTTCATAAAAAATTCGTATATCATAAAGTCTCGGCTTTATATAGGAACTATATCAGCCTACGTTGAGAGGTCAATTTCGTCTTACATATTCACGGCCATGATACGGCAGCATAAATCACTCCTGCTCAGGAAAGCCCGGCACAACAAAGTTTCTCCACTCAGACACACGGTGAGCGCCCCGTCCATATCCAGTCAATCCTGCAAGAGTTGATGATTTGGGTCTCTCACGCTCTTCGCCGCTACGCCGTGATCTGCGGCGGGGAGAGGGGAGCTCAGCCTCAGCACCGTCCATGCCTCCATAATAATACGGATCGTGTACAGATTTCGGTGCTGTTGTATAAGCATTGTCGTAGTATGCATCCCCTCCAAAGGGATTCGGTCTCATCATTCCTGGCGGGGGCATCGCCGGTAATGGGGCATAAGCTGATGGTGGCGGTATAGCTCCCCTACCCATCGCGCCCATCGCCATGCTTATTCCCATATCTGTAGCAGCATCTCTCTGGTGTATAACATGAGGCCGCATAACTGGGGCTGGAGGAGAAGGTCCTGTCGATCGGCGCCCTGAGCGATTCTCCGACAGCCTATCAGCCAGGCGCTGCTCCATGGAGTTACTGCGCTGCGGACCTCTCGCACGATTGACCTCAGTAACATAGCCAGCGTAAGGCTGCGGCTGCTGGGCGATTGGGGCAGTGGTAGATAGGGCCGGCATACTTGTTCGTCTGTAATCCTCGGCCGGATGATACTTGCCGCCAGGGAATCCAAAGTCCATTTCATCTTCCTCTACATCTGGCGTCATGGGAGCAGAGATGGGAGCGAAAGGGTTCTCGCGCTCACGTTCACGCTCGCGATCCCGTTCACGATCCCGATCACGTTTTCGATTTCGGTCTCTCTTTCGGTCTCGATGGCGGTCGCGGCCATGACCGTGGTCTTCCTCGCGTTCCTCATCATGCTCACGGTCATACTCGTCTGAGTGCTGCATCCTCCTTGCTAAATCTCCATCGCGCTGCTCTTGGAGTCGGCGAAGGAGCATCTCCTCTTCATAGTTTTGAGGCCTTGGTCGCACGGGCATTGAGGTAGTAGGTCTAGAATATGTTCGCAAATCCTCCATAGAAATTGGTCTGTTGCTTCGAAGGATCTTTCGGAGATCTTCCGGAGGGATATTTAAATCATCCAATGCGTTGTTTTGCCATGGATTGCTTCCATTTTCGTAATTGAACCATGGGCAGCTACAACCTTTCCATTTGGTGCCGCATAGCATACAGAATTCGGCTCCACATCGACTTGATTATCAACAGTTAGTGACTGAGAAGATCTTTGGTGAGTTTATTAGCAAAGATCTCTATTAAAACTTACCATGTCATATGGTTGCATCCTTCTTTGAGTTCTACCATGGATTTGCACTTGTAGCATCTCTTCCAGCCTTCTTCCTTGGCTTGATCAAGGAATTTGTTGGTCTCTTCGTCACGAGGGCACTCAAGAGAGCTGTGCCACCTCGAACTGCACTTTGGACAAACTTTGGTGTTGCAACGACCACATCGGGCAACCCTTCTACCATCCTCGCCCCTATAAAAGCTGGTGGGTTTAATCCATTCACCGCATCGTTTTGATGGGCAGTAGACTCGGTTGCCTGTCGAATACTCGGCAAATTTGCGATTCCATGCCCTCTTGAAAGCATCATCAAACAGCTTATCAACATGCTTGAGTGGGATGTGAGCCTTTGTGCAGCAGCGTGGAGGCATGTGCTGCGGATCACGAATCGACATTTCAAAGTTGCGTTTCATGCACGCATTGCACATTCGGTGACCGCATTTGAGATCAGCTCCTTTTGATGGTGGCGTGTCTTCCATACAAATGACGCATGCAATGCTTGAATTGAGTTAGCTTCCATTATGCAGAATCATGGAACATCTAATTGAATTCTTACCCTTTTCGTTTATCCGACTTGGTTTGTTTTTCAAGTTGGAAAAACTTGTCTGGTGATGCAGGTCTAGAGAGAGTGTTGCCGAAGACATTGCCCAAGATGCGGGCTGGCCCGGACGTCGAGCCATTAAGACTGCGAGCCGATCGCATGGTGAATGATCTTCGAGGAAGAGGATCTCGATCCTCGTATGCCGACCCTGCCGACCTGTACCCTACGCCATCTCGTCCTGTCGACGTAGCACGCCTGGCCAATTTGTTATTGGAGCTAGAAGTGTCAACTTGGCCCGGGACAGGTGCATAGATAGGGATTACTGAAGGAACATACCTTTTCCTTGACGCCGCAGGTGGGCGCGATCCTTCTGGGCGCGAGCCTTCAATCGCATGTGTCAATTGATAACGTTGGGCCTTGTGGCGCGACTCGCTCCTCTCACGCACTCTGGAGGACTCTCGCGTGTGTGAAGAGGCCATTTCACTCGCCGATAGCGGTGAGTCAGAGTCTTGCTCGTTATCGGAATAATACCGCCGCGGCGTAAATCTTTTTCGGAAGCGGTCTCTCTCAATTGAGGAATCAAGATAATCGTCATGGCTTGGCACACGCCGTCTACTATGACGAGACGATGCGTCGGGCAATACTTCCTCCACCTCTAGACCATCATCTTCATCGCCGCCGTAGGATGAGACGCTAGGCGATCTGTGTGTTGAGGCCTCAGAGTACGCTCCAGGCATGAGTCGGCGTCGAGGATAGTTTGGAGAGGAGTGCCTCCTCGTACGTCGCGGAGGTCGTTGCTCGTTAGCAGACTCATCCTCTCCGTCGTACGAGTCCATCAGCGTGCCACTTGGTCGACGGTAAGCTTCCGAGGCGACTCTAGATAGACCCGGTTGCCATGGTGCGGCGTTAGAGCGGCCACCTGCAGCAACGGCTGCAGCAACGGCAGCAGCAGAAGTCGCCGGCGGGGGAGCGGGCGCAGAAGTATCTACGGCTTTTGAACTGCTGTGCTCTCGCCTGCGAGTCGTCAATTGCGGTTGTGACGGCGCCTGCGTCGGATCCAGTCGTCTTTGTATTGATACCGAGCCACGAGGGTGAGGTGGAGGAGCTGCATCGTCAGGCCTCTGGTTCCATTCACTTGGCTCGCCTGGTCTGAGCTTGCGCCGTCCAGACTTGACGGTAGCAGGACCATTATCTTGACCTGAATTCAGCCTCATATTGTGACGAGGGTTAAGAAATGGAGAGAATAGCCACGACGACCTATTTTTCGACGCCTGACCGTTCCGTGAGGCTTCCTCTGTTGCCTCACTGCTTCTGCGTTCGAATCACAACGAGCGGCAGAATTGGGATTCGAATCGATTGCCGCGCACTCACGGCGGCGGGGAAAGGTGAAAATAAAATAAAAAATAAGATCAAATCAAGCGTGGGCCTAGGCACGCACGTATACTCGCGCAGACACAGCAATAAAAAGGGAGCTGGATCTGAATGGATCCTCTCTTTCTGGCCTCTTTCGGAGCTCAGAAATCAAGGGGTGGAAGACGAGAGGGGGATTAGAGAAAGAGAAGATGGTGTAGTCGGTTTATGCAGGAGCGATCGCAAGCCTCGTGGGCCAGTCAGGAACGTCCACGCTGCACCAACTATAGCATCCCACAAGACTGTGATTGGAGTTGAGGGGTCACAGCGTGCATGACCAGCTTTGTCAGAACGCTGTTGGCGAGGATACCGAAGAAGCGCACAGAGCAGCGAAGCGATAGACGGTGAGATGAGGATGTAAATGATGGACAGGCCAGCAATGGAGAGAAAAACCCAGGAGGAAAGAAGAAAAAAAAGAAAAGGCGCAGCAAGGGAGACGCCGGCTTGTGTAGTTGTCAGAAGGCTGGGCTTGTAGGACTTTTGAGCGTGTTTCACTGGCTCGTCTTCACCCTCACAGCTGGTACAGTGCAAGAGATTTCTTGCGGCTTCTGGCCTGGAGGATGCGCCTAGCAAAGAGGAGCCACGCCCTAAAGATAAGCCGGCGCTCCAGAGGCTTTACCGACGTGGCAGTTGAAGCGTCAATTCTCGTCGGCCTTGGAACCGGAGACACGGGGCCTGCGTCTGCGAAACACCCACCAAACAGAGTGTGCAGCAGACAGAGCTAAGGCCGGCGCTTGCTGCGCAAGAGGGCAAAAAAAAGAGGGGAGACGAGAAAAAATACAGCGGGATGGAGACGGTTTAGATGGATTGAGAGAAGACTATGGCGTCGGCCAGCGCGCTGAACATGGACTGATTCAGCTTGGAGGAGATACAAAAGCTGCGATGTAGATTGAAGAAATGGACAAGGTCGACATGCTCTTGCAGAGATCAAATGGCGGTGGTTGGCATCCGTGATTATGGCAAAGGCTGAGGAACAGACATCACGTGTGGGGTTGGAGGGGAAGGTGCTGCCTGCCTTCCATTCCGTGCTTGCCCATGACAGAGTGCGCAGAGCGGGAAGCAGGTGCTACTGGGTGCTACTGGGTGCTACGAAAGGTGCAAGTGCCATTCCTATCACACATTATCCCGGCATATTGGCGTGTATTAGTAGCTCCAGCGCTTGATGGTTTCCTGGGCTCGTACAACGGCATCAACACCACCAGAGTCGCATGCAGGCGATGCGATAAAAGGCACACATCACCTTGCATGAGCAAATAGGATGCATGAACACATGCTGGTGCCCGCCATCACCACTGGCAGTGTTGCTGCTTGTTAAAGGGCACCTGCTGCTTGCCGTATGGCCCTCTGTATGGCACTATGGAGTACTGCTTCTTTCTATATCACCTCTCCTCTGCATTTCCTCTCTCGCCTCGAATCATCCGCCCGCCAGACGACTCGTGACCTCTCTCTTAGCCCCATCCACCAAGCGCTGGCAACATGACCTGACTCTCACAACCCCTTGTCTGCGCTGCTTCTGACTCCTCCCCTCCAATGCATCGCCTCCTCATGGGACACACCACTCGAGGCCCTCACGTGGAGACCTGAGCCGTCGAATCATCCGGCGTCAAGCCTCAAGCTAGTCGTGTGCGGCTCGGCCCCCTTGCGGCGTCGCCTCGCCGGCCCGCTGCCTCCACCGGGCGCCTCCAAAAAAAAAAAAAGTTCTGTACCTACTTTTTGCTTTCTGCGACCTGATGCTGGAGTCGGTTCCGAAGCCACGGTACGGGGATTTTCGGTAGGGGCTGTGCCTCTGGAAATCGGAAATGGTAATAAGGAGCAGCTCTTGTTTTGGGCATAATCGACGCATTTTCTCCAGACGGTGTGAATGAGGACTGGATTTACCCAAGCTGCCGTGTCCATGTATAAGAGGTGGGTGGCATTAGAGGTACAGCATTTCCAGATACGGTAAAATGCCTCCCAGGCGCCACCAGAACGTTCTTCTCAGCCCAGAGTGCAAGCAAATTCTAAGCCTCTTACGGCATACTTGTGGTGCCTCTGGCCTATTTATCCAGATAAACCACTCTGCTATGGATTACAACCACGACCTAGACAGTTACATTGGTAGCAATAAAATATTTAATTGGTGGGCTAACCTGGGTTACACACCCTCTCTAGCCGCCGGTAAGACCTCATCATGTTTACGATGCTCTACATGTATGTGGTCTTTCTTTGTGCCTGTTGATACAAGATTGTATGCAGTTGCACGACAGATATAGAGGCACCTGTGCATCCCCAAACAGCGCAGTTTCACATACACATTGGCATCGTGGCTGCCGTTTAGCGGGACTCAAGCACATTCAAGGAGAGATATGAGAGTTATGTGCCTGTAAAACCGGATGTTCGGATGGATACCAGTATAGCCGATTGAAAAGGTAATGTAAGGTGCAATGTGGGTAAATATATTGTTATGTAGAACATTGCTCATTGAGAGCATAATACAACCAATTGCCGTGGCAGAAACAAAGGCAGCATATAAGATAAAAAATGTATTTCGTCGTCAACTACATATATACAAATCGAATCGTGATGCTTAAACCAAACTATATACAATCCCATCGCATCATATCACATCGCATCGCATCATATAACAATTAAGTAAAATAAATAATAAATGCTTTATGGCTTAATGTTGGCCTGGTCAAACACCGCAGAGGTAATCTGTCCGGCAATATCAGCATACGCCACAAAGCCACCCAGCATGCCAGTCGCGGGATCGCGGTCGACAAAGACGACTCGGCCGTCGTCCTGCATACCGACGGCGAGCAGGTTGCCCTCCTTGTTGATGGAGAACTGGCGCGGGAACTGGCCGCCGGCAGGGACGATCTGGAGGAGTTCGAGCTCGCCGCTGGTGGGGTCAATCTTGAAGTTGATGAGCGGGTCGGAGGGGATGGTCTTGGAAGGATCGTCAAAGTCCGGGATGGTGGAGCTGTTCTCGGCGCGGGAAGAGACGATGAGGTAGTTTGTGTCAGGCTAAAGGAAAAAGAAAAGCAAAGCGTGTTAGCTTCAGATATTCTTCTACATATAGAACAAAAAAAAATATGCTGGCAGGAGGAGTGGTAAAAGTCAAATTCGGCGTCTTCAACTTACAGAGAGGACAACCTCAGACACGGCGTAGCTGCTGGGCTCGGCTGGGCCAGGACCGTGCGAGGGAATGCTGAAGAACTCGGTCAATTGGATCTTGCCCTTGGGGTAAGTGACTTCGTAGCCAATAATGGTGTTGCCCAGCTCAGTGACGAGATAGGCAAAAGTCTTGCTGCCCTTGACGACAAAGGCCAGGTGACGAGGACCCGAGCCAGGCTTGACGCTGACGGGAGTGATGCTTGTCAGCTTCAAGGAGTTCGGGTCGAAGGAGTAAAGGTGAATGAGATCCATGCCCAGATCCGGAACGAGCAGGAACTTCCCCGTGGGGTCAAGAACCGCCTCGTGAGGGTGAGGCGCATCCTGGCGATCAGGATCGGTTGGAGGGCCGGTCAGCTTGTAGTTGATGGTCTGGAGCAGCTTCAGATTGGTGGGATCGGACACATCCCATGTGGTGAAGGCAGAGCCACCGCTGTTTTGGAAGAAAAGATTCCTGTTAGCAAAGTCTTTTTTTCTCAACTGCTGCACAGCCAATAGATGCGTGCACTTACTAGTGAGCCATGGCCAGACCATGGCGGTTGTTGCCAAACACAACGCCGCTGACAGGGCCACCGGGCGTGGTAGTCTGGCCGAGCTTCTGCAGACTGCCATCACAAGCAGTCTTGAAAGTTGTCAGCGCACCACCGGGCGTGTTCAAGCCCTCGTTGATGCAGTACAAGATAGCATCGTTGTAGTCCAGAGTCAGCCACGAAGGGTTATCAGAGCAGCCCTGAGACACCGAGACGGGGCTCAGCTTCTGGATGCCCGTGTTCTGGCCGTGAGTGTAGTTGAGGGTCGTGACGGTCTGAGAGTAAGAAGAGACGTAGACCAGGCCAGCAGAGGCAAGATTGCCGGCGCAGAGCAAGGTCGAGACCAAGCTCTTTGGGAGATTACGACGGCTAGGCATTATATTAAGGGCTCAATTGATCAAGAGAGGGAAAAATTAATCAATTAGAGAGAATAGACAGTCAAGTCTAATTTATAGTGAGGGAAGGGAGAGAAGGAAGAAGAGAACGGCTGAGACACGGTCGTAGCCTTATATATAAGATCGGCATTGAGCTTCCCCCCGCAAATCTCCCAGGCGATCAGGTTACAATGCAGATCCTATTCCGCCACGTCAAAATAAGACGGTGACCCAAACAGCGCCCAAGGAAACAAGTACTACTCGCATAGGAAACAAAGCAACATGGAAAAGAAAAAAAAAAAAAGAGAGAGCTCCACAAGCTGTGACATATTCATCAAGGGGCTGATGACGAATAAGCATCAATCGTTACGGTGACATCGCCTGCCAAACCGGGAAGGAGGAAGCATCAGCTTTCGCTTTCGATGAGGCCGCTGACAACGTGGGGGGAAACTATTCGGGGGTTATACTGTAAGTCTGTTTGCTTTTTCCTTTGAGTCTTTTACTCGTTGCCTTGCTTTGTCTTGCTTAAACAAGCATTGGCATTAGCATAGCGTGTGTCCGTTTGTATTCTGAAAGACTTGGTGTTGCGGCATGTTACGTGACACAATTGAGGTTGAGGTGTGCCAACTCTGTTCAATACGGGGGTCTGCTGCTCTAGCGTCAATATCATCAAAACATATGGAAGTCAAGATATTTTAGCTATATGGAGAAGATGAACGGGCAGATCCACCCATTATCTCGGATAGG